AACCCGTCTGATCCCATTCTTATCTTCATTTTTTAGCATCACGGACGGGTGGGCGCGACCTAGCGCTACCGCACCTTGTCTTCGACCTCGAAGGTACCAAGCTCCCAGACAGCATATCACACTTTATCTGATACCGAGACAGTCGAATGAGATGCAGGCGTACTGCTTTTAAACGTCCTTGGAAATTACCTGTACTGCTGTATCAGAGACCTTTTCACGATCTTCTCAAAGGCCATCCGTGTCTCAAGACCACTTTCGACACAGTCATGACCAGAAGATCCTGTGCCGACTGGGCTCTGTACTACCTAACAGGTCAATGAGCCCTGAGCGAACTATTCGCTCCAGCTGACGATGGAAGATCGGCATTGTTGGATCCGGAGGGACACCGACTCGCGTGATGGTCTTTCTACTCTTTCGAGCCTCCTGCTTTCCTTTCCCGTGTCACGTCGTTCGCGGCCTTATCCTTCGATGGAAACAATATCGCGTCGGTCGCATCATCTGGATCCATGCGTGAGTAGAAGGAGGAGTCTCCACGCGCCGGTGGCTTCTCTGCTTCACAGGCTGGGTACAGTGACCGCAGTGGGCACTTTCTCATACGGTAAACCAGCGGGCCGTCAGAGTTGTACGGGCCCGTTGACACACTACCTGTACATAATCTTTGTGTTCTATAAAGGAGAACTTTCCGCTGCGTAAACAAGAGGTGATCTCTAATGTCGTTCCCAGTCGTCTCTCAGCTCTATTTCCTCGTCGGAGTGACGCTTTCCCTCGCTCTTGCGGCCGCACTTCGACGTTCTCGAAGGACTCTCAAGACCATCCGCGGTCCTGAACGCTCATCCTTTTGGTTGGGTGAATATGCAATGCACAAACCGTACGCGCGTAGGTGACTCACGCAGATGTGTCCAGGTAATCAGGGCGATATACGATACCAGGAAGAAACGGGCGATGTCGAGTCTCCATGGCTACACGAGTATGGGGGAGCATGGAAGGTTCATGGACCACTCGGAGTGCGCATGCCCTATACATCCATCATCTTCTTGCGAAGCTCATCCAACTCAGGGAGAGCATCTCATGCTCGCAGATCCCAAAGCGCTGCAATACGTTCTACAGACGTCTGGTTATCGTTTCCCCAAACGCGAAGATGCTAGAGCCGACATACGGATGCTCTTCGGAGAGGGGATCGTCTGGGCTGATGGTGAGTCAAGCGTAACACGACTACGCAGGTGTAGCGACTTACGAGCGCGACACGCGCAGGCGATCAACACCAACGACAAAGAAAGATCATGAACCCCGCATTCTCTGTGCCGCAGCTCAAGTCCTTCATCCCCCTCTTCTTGCGTTACGCGAACAAGGTAATGTTTGTGGCGGCCGTAGACCTAAGTGTCTATTAACATCATGTTTAGGTCGTTCAGAAATGGAAAGACGAAGAGATTGCTTCGGCACCTGGTGGCGAAGCCATGTTCAATGTGCACAAATGGCTGTCGCGGACGACGCTCGATATTATAGGGGATGGTAGGAACCGATCCTGCACTGACATGACGATGCTGTCCTCATTCTACTGATCTAGCGGGCTTTGGCTTTGAGTTCGGATCGCTGGACGGCAAAAGCAGCGAATTGTCGAGTGTTTACGACAACCTTTTGTACGTTTCGTTTGCTGCTCGTCGAGCTCCATGCATGTCGTTGAACCTTGTGCCAGCATCGACTCTACGCTGTACCCGCATCGCTGGAACATCGTCTTCCGTTCCTTCTGGAAGTATTTCCCCTCGGACGCCTTGTGGTTCTTGCGCTATCTGCCTGGTCGCGAGTATCGTCGCTTCCGGCATTACTTGGACTTCATGCGCGTCTATGGACGTAAGATGATCAATCAGACCCAAGTTGACACCAAGGGGGCTGGGAAGGATATCATGAGTGTATTGCTGCGCGCGAATGAGTCAGAAGAGTCGAGATTGAAGCTGAGCGACAGCGAGGTTGTCGACCAGATTTCGTAAGCTGACTTCATATCGTCTGCATGTTGGTCCCTCATTCTCATCCGTATAGTGTGCTCCTTTTAGCAGGTCATGTAAGTGTTCCCACTGCTCGGAAGAACCAGATGCTCAGTCAGACACGTACAGGACACAACCGCACTGTCTCTCACCTGGTGGCTTTGGGAGCTGAGCAAACATCCGGAGTGGCAATCTCGCGTTCGCGAGGAGGTGCGCGCCGTGCGCCGCAACTTGACTGAGCGTGGCGACGGCGAGTTCTCCATCGGCGACCTCGAGGGCATGTCGGTCATGCATGCCACGCTGAAGGAGGCTGTCAGACTGAACCCCATCGTGTGGGGTCTCGTTCGCGTCGCAGGACAAGACGACGTGATACCATTATTAACACCTATCACGACCACATCGGGCCAACAGATTTCGACCATTCCCATCCGTAAAGGGCAGAACATCGACATATCCATCGCCATGTACAATCGGTGCGTTGAGTGGTGCATCAAGCGAACGGTCAGATCGACGCTAATGCCGTTCTTCGCGCAGTAACCCGGTCGTGTGGGGAGAGGACGCCGATATCTGGAACCCGGAAAGGTTCATGAACATCAATAAGGCTAGTCAAACGTCGGTAGGGGTTTACGCCAATCTTCTCACCTTCTGTACGTGATATTATCCTCGCCTCCTTTCGGTCTCCTGACGATCAACCTTCACCAGCTGCCGGAGTCCGCAGCTGTATAGGTAAGGGCTATCGGTTCACGACAACCTGTTACTTCAGAGCTGACAGTCCATGCAGGCTGGCGTTTCTCGGTACTCGAGATGCAGGCCATCGCTGCGACGCTCATCGAGAACTTCGAATTCAACCTCCCGCCTCAGACCGAGGATAACCTCATCAGGCGCAGACCATCTGGGCTTATGGCGCCCATGGCGGATGGCCATCCCGGTATCTGGATGGGATTGAAGGTCAAGCAGTGCGAGGAGTCTTGAGTTTCCATCAAAGTAGGATTGTGTATTATGAGGTCTTGTACTGCTATGCTATGTATTGTAGTATCGTAGTGGGGTGACATCGATGAATGCGTAGCCTGTAGGTTCGTCGTAAGCTCGTATTCACAGTGAGACAGTTTTGATATATCGCGCCTAGGCGTACGTACCGGCCAATCCGTTCCAGTTTCCTCCGCATGGTGGCACTCAGCCAGCCGCTCAACCTCTTGCGCCCATGAGTCCCAACTGGTGAATCGCATGTGCCTTGGACATGGACGGCACTTGAGTCATTGACACTTTATATTCCTGAGTAACAGGTGGGACCCAGTGATTGTATCCGAGCTCCCGTCGATTGCAAGCGGAGGCATAGAATCAGAGCGAGGGGGGAGTACCGCGTCGGGCGAGCGAACCCTCTGCTCTTCGTTCGGGATCCCGCATATTGCCGAGTGCGCCGGCCCGAAGTTACCGGCCAATTCGCCGCTCACGTTCGCCCAGAATCCCCAGATCAGTCACTCTACTCTCACCTCGATGGCGCGCAGCTCTTGCCTCACGCCATATCTCCAATCCAAACCAGATTTTGCAGCCCTTCTGAAAAGATACGCGCTGGCCTCCTGCGATACCGACCCGGTCCAGGGACCTAAGTCGGCCTTTACAGGCCGCCAGTACACCAAAGCATGACCGCAATTACTGATATCGTCATGATTTTACTCGACCTGGCATCATTCTTGCCCAGGCTTCCCCTCCTCATGAGACGCTTTATGGAGCGTAGAAGCCTGCCTCGGCCGTCGCAATCACGACAGTGGCTTGCGCTCGCGCCCAACCTCAGGTCGAGTGTTCCATCGGGCAGCGGGAGCATGCGCGTACCGACGGTCCTTTGCCTTCACAGGATAGCCAAAGTATCCGTTCTGGTACTTCGACCAAACATCTCATAATTGGTGTTGTTCTTGGAACACTGATGGGCTTGCTGCGAGTACTATCCGGAGGGTACTTATAAAGAGGGTGGTCTCAGTGCTCGAAGCCAGAGGCTCAAATAGGCGAGCATCGGAACGATGGAATCACTCAACGTCCCTCAACTGTACCTCCTTGCTGGCATTGCGTTTGCACTCGTTCTGTCACTCGCTCTACACCGCCCGAAGCGAGCGCTCCATGATATCCGTGGTCCTCAGCGCTCGTCGTTCTGGCTAGGTACGTTCAAGTCCACGCCACGGAAACCATTAGGCTTACACACATCCAGGCAATCAAGGCGACATAAGATACCAAGCCGAGGCTGGGGACGCAGAGTATCCGTGGCTATGCGAATACGGCGGTGCATGGAAGGTCCATGGCCCCCTAGGAGTGCGTTCATGTGCCCATCTTCCTGTGGTCTTCCATTCACAAATAGTTGCAGGAGGAGAACCTCATGCTTGCCGATCCGAAAGCCCTGCACTACGTACTGCAGACATCTGGATACCGTTACCCTAGGCGACAAGATGCACGCGCGGAGATCCGCATGATGTTTGGAGAGGGTCTTGTTTGGGCCCATGGTGAGTGGATCGCATTCTGGTCGACGAGTGTTATGAACAAGTGCGTCTAGGTGACCAGCATCGGCGACAAAGAAACATCATGAAGCCAGCGTTCTCCTCGCCCCAGCTCAAGTCATTCGTCCCCTTATTCTTACACTATGCAAGAGCGGTATGTCTAAGGCGTCCCCTCTTACGGTTGTGCTCGAAATGGCATTGTTTCAGCTCGTTCAGAAGTTGAAGATTGAAGAGCTCGGCCCTGCCGATGAAGATGAGATCGTCATCAATATCCATAAGTGGCTGTCACGTACAACGCTAGACGTGATCGGTGACGGTGAGGTCATGATGCGCTTATTTAGCTTGGGTGTGCGTCTAACGTTCGGAACGCAGCGGGCTTTGGTTTTCTATATGGATCACTGGACGGCAAAAGCAGCGATCTATCCAAGATATATGAGAATCTCTTGTGCGTCTGCGCTTGGTGGATCTTATGACCAAGCTGATACTCAAGATACCAGTATCGACTCTACGCTGTATCCGCACCGCTGGAACTTGGTGTTCCGCTCATTGTGGAAGTACTTCCCAACTGAGGTGCTCTATTATCTACGCTACTTTCCCAGCCGTGAATACCGGCGCTTTCGGGGTTACCTCGACTTCATGCGCACCTTCGGCCGCAAGATGATCGCTCAGACGCAGATCAACCCGGAAGGCGTCAGTAAGAATATCATGCATGTATTACTACGCGCAAATGAGGCAGATGATGCTGGGTCCAAGCTCAGCGACCATGAAGTTGTAGATCAAATATCGTGCGTATTCGACGACCTCCCTCCGCTCCGTCACTGATCGTCTCAACTGTAGCGTCCTTCTCCTAGCGGGTCATGTATGTCCAGTGTCTCTCTGTCTGGAAGATCGTCGCATCGCCTAACTTCGCTCATAGGATACAACTGCGCTCTCGCTCTCATGGTGGCTATGGGAGCTCTCTCAACATCCGGAGTGGCAGTCACGCGTGCGTGACGAGGTTCGTGAAGTCCGACGTAAGCTCACAGAGCGTGGCGAAGAGGAGTTCTCCATCGGCGATCTCGAGGGCATGTCGATCATGCAGGCCACGCTCAAGGAGGCGATCAGACTGCACCCTGTCGCGGGGAGTATCTTCCGCATCGCAGGGCAAGACGATGTGTTACCGCTCGAAACGCCGATCATCACAAAGTCCGGAAAACAGATTACCTCCATTCCGGTTCGGGAAGGGCAGAACATCGACGTATCAATCTCTATGTACAATCGGTACATCACCATTCTGCCCGAGAGTGACGCTGAGGATGAACACAAACTTTGGCATGATATAGGAATCCAGCCGTGTGGGGCGAAGACGCCAATGCTTGGAATCCAGGACGATTCATGGCTATCCGGAAGAACGGCCAAGCTGGTGTGGGTCTCTACGCCAATACACTGACATTCTGTACGTTGCGTATTGCCCTTGACGTCGGTTCTCGTTCTGAACGCCTCACTTCTTAGCCGCCGGCATTCGAGGCTGTATAGGTCAGTCTCGCCGCCGCTATTCAGTTAGCTGCCATATCTTACACCTTCACAGGGTGGAAGTTCTCGGTGCTTGAGATGCAGGCTATTGCCGCAGTTCTCATGGACCACTTTGAATTCGGCTTGCCACCGCAAACTCAAGAGAACGTCATCAGACGCAGACCGGCTTCGCTCATGCTTCCCATGGCGGATGGGCATCCCGGCGTCTGGATGGGCTTGAAAGTCAAGCCATGCAAGGATGCATAAGCATATCGTCTTGTGCTGTATTCCACTTCTCTATGTATGTGTAGTAACGGAATGCACCCGGAATGTACCCACGTATTTGTGTTCTCAGAAGAAATGCCGCCGGGGCGACACCGCGTGAACAAACCCTTCCAGTCGCGACGCGACTGGTCCGCTGGTTGTGGCAGTTACTCCCGACCGTCACCACGATACAATCCCAACATGGTTGGATGACCCGTCTTACGTCTGCGCATTATCTGACGGAGAACTGCAGCACGGAGTGCGTCGTACACGCGAGACGGCTGATGCGCGCGAGGCGCGGCGAGCGAAGGAGCAGGCCAAGCTCGATGCATACCAGACTCTCTCGGATGATATCCTTTCACGAGTACGCTCCCCATTTCGTACCTACGCGATGCAAACTTCTGACTCTGGCTATGATCATAGAAGAAGGCAGGCGACCACAGTCGTGAAGCATTCGACCTAACCACACGAATGCTAAGCACTGGACCGGCTCCGAATCCCGAGTTCTATACCGTATGGAACTACAGGCGCCACATCCTCCTGAACGGAGTTTTTCCTCAAAGGTGCTTCCGTCCGATTGTCATATTTCATCATGTTCACTAAGAACTAACAGTGATCCCAAGGCGATCAACGAGCTTCTCTCAGACGAGCTGGCCCTAACGTTCGCCGCGCTCAAGAAGCACCCGAAGGTGTATTGGATATGGAATCACAGACGATGGTGCTTGGAGAATATTCCAGAGGGCGGTGATGGCGAGGAGGGCGACAAGGACGGTTGGCGCAAAGCGCACTGGGGTCGAGAGTTGCTGATCGTCGAGAAGATGCTCGAGGCGGATGCGCGGAATTGTACGTTCGGTCTCCATATCTGTCCCCAATCTTGTACTTATGTACCACAGTTCATGCTTGGGATTATCGCCGATACGTTCTTGCTGGCATGCCTGTGAAGCGTTCGGACGCATCTGAGCTCGCATACACCACACGCAAGATCGAGGCGTCCTTCTCCAACTTTAGCGCCTGGCATCAGCGCACCAAAGTGCTCCCTGCGCTATGGGAGAGCGGAAAGCTCGACCGCGCAAAGAGTCTACGTGACGAGCTTACACTCGTTCAGAATGCAATGTGGACCACGCCGGAGGATCAGAGTGTATGGTTATACCATCGCTGGTTGCTCGGAGACGGGAAGGACAAGGAGCTTTTGGAGAAGGAGATAGAAGGGATCCAAGAACTGCTGCAAGAACAGCCGGATAGCAAGTGTGCGTTACGAGTGGTGCATCCGATGGAGCTGGCGCTGATCGCTCGTCAGGGTGCATGGAGAGCTTGGTACATTACAAGCAGCTGATGGTGCGCGCTCACTCGAGGACTCTGGGAGAAGACCGTGCGCGAACATTACGTGCGGAGTGCAAGTCTCTCTTGGAGCAACTGGAGGCGCAGGACCCGATGAGACGACAGAGATATCGCGACCTAGGTGTGTAAGGAGGGCCTTCTTTGACCAACATGTACTGATAATGGCGCAGCGGCAAACTTGTCTGCCTAACGCGCACGGAGCGGAGGGATCACCCGCTTGTACAATACTTATCACTCAATCGAGTTGTATCTTTCATCACACGGATGTATCTCAGAGGAGATCTGCTTATATTGGCCGAGTCTCAATCATCGTACAACGACATGATACAGAGGTACAGATGGATCAAGGTAGGATGACATGCATCGGTCCGTTCAGCACTTGCACTCGCCGGGCTTGCACTGGCAGCTGTGACGGCGGTCAGCCTATGCGCTTCTACGATTGCGCAAGAGCACGTACGAAGAGCCGCAGCCGCACGACGAAGATCCGCAAGCGTTGCTGGACATGATAGCGATAGGTTGGTTGCTGAAATGCATCCGCATCAGCGACGCTCAGGTGATCATAGGTGCGCGCTCACTGGGTTGGTAGTTGTGTTGGTTAGTGGGGAGACGAGAGCCTGCAAATTCCAGACGCGCTGCAGCAGCTTTTATCCCACCGGCATCGCCTGCGCCTGCCGAGCGATCGATATCTGGAAAGCTCCGGTCTCGAACGTGACGAGTTGGGCCGGCCTTCTGCACATGCCGCACGCCGCACGGTCTCCGCCGTTACGGTGTGAGAAGCGCAGGGTCTTCCACCACGCCTGATCGAAAGGAGTGCGGGTTCCCGTTCGAGGCAGTGCAGCAGGGGCAGGAAGCCAGGAAGGCACAAGTGCTTGCTACGACCTTTGTCGGCCGCTCGCAGAGATTCAATCGAATTTGTCACGTTCATCGATTATCGCCTCGGCTGACATGCTACCAGAGATAACGGCGATCTGCATTTGGTTTTATGCTCAGGCTAGTGCTGAACGTGCTAGCATACAGCGAGCCTCCTGACGACTCTTGCTGCGCGATAGCCGTTGCCACATTGCGCCCTCTACTCCAGTAATCTGATCGTATGCATGCTCCATGGTTCTTCTTTGACGCTTACTCCTCGTTGCATAGCGGCCATTACGGTATGCTTCTGTTTATTTTTGGATGATACAACGCCAGTATCAGCTCGCATAGCAGTATGAATGATGAACGTCGCTTCACGGATGTCGCTGAGTAGGATCTTCCGACTAGTGTAGTCGACTCAGAGATTCCGTATTACATCTATCGACAAAAGAGCACAATGTGAAACATAAGCCCGGACTCCCGTATGACGCTCTTCCTTGTGAGAGAAGAGCACATTCAAGTAGCCACGGCCTATACATGTATGGGATAGAGTCGCTCATGACCCATATCTCATATTGCGCAGCTGACCGAAAGCACATTGTATACTCACCTTCTCGGCCCCGATATGCTCTCAGACTTCGCAGGCCCCTGGCTGCGTAGCGTACTCCCTTCCTTCAGCTCCGATGCCTCCGACGCCAACTTCGTGGTCCACATACGACTGGCCGGCCGGCGCCGATACGCGTATCCAGCGAGCGGCGGCCCAGTGATCAGCGCCAGTGACTGTCGCGTTATGTCACGCGTCGACGTCTATTTTCGAGAATCCTACCCCCGCACTGCGCGGCCTGCTATCTGTTCTAATAGGCTTATCTCACGCAGCGGGATATAGTCGCTCCAACTCAGGCATAATTTGTGTAGGTACGACAGCGATTCGACGGCTACAACAACATCAACGACAACATGAAGCCGCTCAACAACACGACAGCATCTTGACCCAACGACGACAATGCGACCCAAACCCCGCTGGCAACGATGGCCCAGCACGAAATAACATACGAGTCATAGACAGAGAGGCCAGATAGTGACGCGCTCAGCACTTGCACTCGCCGGCCTTGCATCCGCAGCTACACGACAGTCATTTCAAGCGCTTATACGTCGACGTGAAGGTCACATACGTAGAGGTGCAGCCGCACTTCGAGTCGTTGCCGGACATGATAGTAGACGGGTATGTGCTGGGAGATTCGCGCGTTAGAGAGGGAGCGCGTTGCGGAGGGAAAGGGAAGCGTACTGGGATGAAGGTTGAACTAGGTGGAGGATGGGTAAACGAATGCCTACAGAACATCGACGTGCTGTGACCGCTATTTAAGTGCGATGAGCAGTCGGTATCAATGAAGCTCCGGCCGGCGGACGCTCACGCATTGTAGGGTATCCCTTGTACTGGAAATATAAGCGAGATGTGCTCATCTTTGACTTGACCTGATTAGTGCAATGCGATGCAGTTTGTGATGTGAGCATACTTGAACGGTTATGGTCTTACCCGTGGCATGGAGGGGTCAGTTCTGTACAATCAGTCAAATTGGGAATGCAATATGCCTTCAACCTCTGCCTAGCGTTGCGCACTGGGTTGAGTTTACAGGATCCAATCAGCGAGCAATCGGACCACCGTTCGTAGTCGAGGGCGGAGGACGCGCGATCAGTCCCGCTTAGTCTTCTCAGACGCCACAGATGCCAAGAAGCCCAGTGTTCTGCTACTCACCGCGAAAGGCTCATTTGGGCTCACAGGCTCGCTGACCCCATGTAGACCGGGCACTAAGCCGAAAACAGCGTATGCCGGGATTCTTCCTGCATGATTCGGGCGGGAAGCTAACCTGAAGTCTGAATAGATCGCAGCTCGTCGCCACCTCCCGCGATACTGAGCCAGGGTTGATCTTCTGAGGCCGATCTGAGCGGAGATGGCTTGTTCTGTACTTAGTACACTACACCCCTCTTCAGGCGAAGCAGGGTTCCTGTGACTGCCGCGTGATGTCACGCGTTTGAGAAGCAACGGTTTGAGGCTGAGTTCGCGCCTATCTGACGTACTATGCAGGTCACTTTCAACATTCGGCGACGAGAAAAGGGTATCCATCAGTCATCGTCGCCCATAAGTTCCGCGAGCTCCCGTTCCTCCTCTTCTGTCAGTCCGTTCTCCGCTTTCGCAGCTGCGGGTGGGGGGACTGCCTCTACGGTCTTGGGGACTGGTACCACAATGTCTGCCGTAGGTGTAAGCGTTTCGCGCGCAGCGCCGGCATAACAATCAAGCTCACCAGAGAGTTTCCATCTCCTCAGCGTCCTGTCAAGTCCAGCACTGACAATCCAGACGCTCTTCCCTTTGCCCCCCTCGTTTCTGAGCCACACCCGCATACGTGTGACATCATGCCAATGCCCCTCGACCTCTCTCAATAGTTCCGGGGTGTCGGGTTCACTAATGTCGTATACTCGAATGGCATCGCCAGACGCAGCTAGAAGATACGGGAACGCATCGGCGTCGGCCGAAAGGGAGGGCACGAGCGGAAGAGGAAGGAGTGCTTTTGATTGCGTCGGAAGAGTAATTGGAGGTATTGGTTTGGCTTTCTTGGTAACGGGGGGCGGTACCGGAAGAGGATAGCGCACTACCTGTACGGTCTCATCCGAGCTCGCTACTCCAATCAGCACGATGCATATGAACGAATATAGACGTAAACTTACAAGACCACAGATGCCCATCTCCATACGCCATCTCCGTCACTCCCGTACGATGATGCCGCATTTCTCCATCAGGCAAAAGTGTTGCACGCCAGATGTCTCCTTCGTATCGCAGAGACCAGGCATTGATGAGTCCCGCGCTGTCAGATGTGAATAGGATTACGTCGCCGTTGGGCGCAACATGCGAAGCAAGGGCCTCGACGGGTCGGCGGTGAGATGATAACGAGCCAACCGCTTTGAGAGGCGACGACGAAGACGCCGATGAGAGATCCCTTCGAGTGGGCATCAGTAAAGCTAGCGTGCGTCGAGCGACGATAGACATACCAAAAGCGTACAGCCTTATCCGAACTTCCAGACACGAGAAGGTTTTTGGACGGGATGGCATGCAGCGACTTCACAAAGTCTTCGTGTGCAAGAGTCGTCGAGAGGAGTTCGCCGGTCTATTCATGTGAGTCTAAGGATAACGGTAGGTTCATAGCGCGTACCTCCGTATTCCAGGCCTTGATGGTCTGCGAAGTACGTTCATTCATGCTTTCAGCTGGGATGAATAGATGTGGCTCACCTTGTCCCACGAACCTGTCAATAGAATGCCTTCATCGCGGGAGCCAGGTTCCAGATCGCAGAACGCAAGCGAAGTGACCGGTCCGCCGTGGCCTTTGTATAGTTTCTCCGTCTTGCCTGTCTGCGCACCGTCGTCAGCACCGCTCCCCGCACGGGACACCGACTTCCCAGACTCACCTCTAGATCAACCTTCCTCGCGACATGACTATTCTCCGCCGTCCACGCGTAATCGCCACGTATATGTAAATCAATCGCAATGCCCTTCAACTCTATGGGATCTCCAAGCTTCGCGTACTTCTCCGCCTTGTCCTTCCGCGCCTAACGAGCTTCTCAGCTCAGGCGGACCCGCACGCGTAGCTGAAAGAGAAGAGCGGTACCTGCTCTATCACAAGCTCAGACTCTGCGCGGATAAACTCCGCTTGTTGCGATTTGGGTATAATCATGTTCGCCATGGTGGTAGTCGGTCAAGGTGCAAGGTAGAACGCGTGCAAGCGCGCGGGCGTGACTTGATCAAACGCGCTTGACGCGTGCCTCCGCGATTTGCTTTCGTACCCCCATCATGAGCCGTCTCGCATCTTTCCGCGGCCCTTCCGCGCCCTCCTCATCTCCCGTGCCAAAAGCCAACCCAAATACGACTCCAAAAGGCAAAGGCAAAGCAAATTCCAATCCGAAATCTCCGAGTTCGCCTGGCCGAAATGTACGCGGAGGAAGCGTGGAGCCGATGTCACCTCCTGCTGTATCTGGAGGAGTGCTGGAAACGACGTATCATCGCAAGCTGCGAAGTATGTTGTTGGAGATGAGAACGTGTTGTAGGACTTGGGAGGACCTGATTGATCATGATGGGTTCCGCGCGATTCAGAGGCTCGTGGATGCACGTACTGATCTCGAGTGCGTGAATGTCACTACTTTGAAGAAGAGGGCTACGTAGCTGAGATAGACGTATGTAGCAATCAACTTGCGCAGGTGCCTGGTGGAGGACTGCCGAGATCGCGTATAGTAGGGCCTAAGCTCGCCTCTATGGAAGAACGCATACGCGAACTTGACACTGTGATCGCGAAGCTTGTATGTACTATGCTATGTATCGACCACTACGTAGTCTCTGAATCGAACGCAGAGAAAGCAATTTGCGAAGATGAACTCGATAGTGGACAGCTTGGAAGCGCTCCTTTCCGATGCGCACAAGACGAAAGGATGGGCATGGGTCTCACAGGAGCCACTCTGGACGACATGGACATTGGAGAAGTTCGGTACGTCGCTTGGTCATGGGTGTACCTCATCATCTTATTGAGTTCACACAGTGACCGAGATCCCTGGCTTGCTAGCGCCACACCGCCGCTCGCTGGACGAGCACGCCGGACTAGTAGAGGAGGTACGGTCGCATGATACGCCTTTCGCGGCCGCGAAAGAGGCAGTATTGCGTTGGGCAGCACCTGGTACACTAGAAGACGAAGGCTGGGATGCACGATGGGAAGACCTATGTGACGTCGAAGTAGACAAATGGGACCCCAGATGATACACCCCATTGTACAAACAGACAGATTACAGCAACGTGTGAGGGGATAAAGTACAAGCATCAAAACAACATCTCCGCCTACTCCTCGTCTGAGATCTGGATCTCCTCCGCGTTGCCCACATCCACCGGCTGAGCCTCCTTGACCGGGTTGGTGCTCGCCGCCACGAACGCCGTCTTCCCACCGGCCCTCTCCGCTGCCGCCATCGGATCCGCCGGCTGCGCCTCCTGCACCGGCGCATTGCTCGCAGCAGTTGCAACCAAATAGCTCGCTTCCGTGTTGAACCTGGCCTGCACACTCCTCTTAACGCGCAACATCTCCCTGAACGTGTCCTCGCTGCCCGCATCGATCTCGAAGCTGTGCCACGCGCTCCAGAACTCGGCGTTCGTCCTCGGATCGCAAAGCTGGCTCGCGTGAGCATAGATCGCCCGCGCCCTGTCAATCTCGCCCAGCTTCCGCTCGAGGTTCGCGAACCGCAGCGCCATCTGGCTGGCAGGTTTGTCCGGCAACGTCTCCAACGCGCGCTCGTAGATGGGTCGCGTGGCGGGTAAACCGTAGTTCGATGCGGCTTGAGCAATGTAGATCGAGAACATCTCGAACTTGTCGCCGTCGGATACGACAGAGGTCGCACGGTCGTAGATCGACATTGCGCGCTTCGCGAGACCGTGCTCTTGTTCGAGTTGGGCGTACATGAGGAAGATGGGCTTGCAGTGCTTCGGAGGGCATTTGTCGAGCGCTTGTTCGAAGAGGTCGCGCGCGCGCTCCAATTTTGATCCGCCCTGTTCAGATGTCGTGTTATCAGAATAAGACATGAATTTGTGAGAGGGAAGAAGAGACGTACGTAGCGCTTGACGAACTTCCCTAGGTAGATGTTCCAGATCTCGAATGAGACGGGATACGTGAACAGCTCCACGCCACGCTCATAGACCTTGAAGCTCTCCTCGAAGTACTCGTTCTCCTCCAAGAATCCCGCATAATTCACGATGATCTGCGCATTTGCGATTCGCAACTCAAGGATCTTGTCGTAGACGGCCTTGGTCTCCTCGACGGTACCGAGGGACTCGACGAGGTCGACGTGGAAAGCCCGGAGCTTGGTTGATTTGAAGAGGCGGGCTTGGGCCGAGAGTGTGTGGTCGTGGTAGGAGATCTTAGAGTTGCGCGGGACAGCAGTGGCTCGTTGCATGAGACGGATGGCCTCGTCATAGTTCCTGTGCTCACAGTTAGCGAGAGCTACGGATGGATGAAAAGGCGTCATACTCGTGTCGGAGCTCCATCTCGGCCCACTCGACCCAGACTTCGGCAAGGTCCTCGACAGCCTTGAAGTTGACTTTCGTGGCCTTCTCGTAGATCTTGCGAGCAGAGTCCAGGTCGCGCTCTGCCGAACCAGTAGTGCCGCCATCCTCATAGAAGCGTGCGAAGTTGGTGTATAGCCGATAGAAGTTCGCAGTCGCCTTGCGTGGATTGATAGTCGAGATCGCTTGAGTGTATGTCTCTGCGACCTACGCGAATATTCAGTCACGACCCATGTTCGCAAAGAGGCATGCACAAACCTTCTCGTCATCCTCTCCCCACAATGCAATCCTCTTCTCCCACTCTTGCACGTCATTCGGATTTCTCCTCAGCAACACATCATTGAGCAAGAACGGTCTCCTGTCCATGAGCGCCTCGAAGTCCTTCATCTTCTCGTCGATCTCCTTCTCCATCTCCTCCTTGCTCTGCGCCTCCTCGTCCCCCTCGTCATCTTCTTCCGCGAGCGCCTCCATGAGCGCACTGACGATAGACTCGCTAAACTCGGCATACGCGTCGAAGATCTGCGTGAAGTCCCGGATAGTCAAGACAGCCGCCAATCCAGCCTCGAACGTCTCCTTCGCCCGATCAAACTCTCCGCGCTTAATCCAATATGTCGCGAGACCCGTCCACAGACGCCCAGCTTGATCCTTATAGACCGCCAACCCGTCGTTCCTCACAATCCGCTCAACGTTCTGTTTCACGGGAGACGAAGGGTCTTCGTCTGAGTCGTACGCTGGTACGGCCTTGCCGTCTTCGTTGACGGGAACGGCCGGGCCAGCAAAGCGGATGAGTGAGCCTTTTACGGACGCGGGCGCTTGTGCATCGCCGGCGGCTGATGCGGCGGCCTGGTCGGCAGCGGCTGTCTCGTCCTTTTGGTTGCTTTCGTCGGTTTCGTCGACGTCCAAACCGACGTCCTCCGCGTGAGCTTCGACGACGTCCAACCATTCTCCAAGGAGCTGATACGGGCTCTTGCCCTCTGGACTGATGTATTCGCCCCTCGCAGCCTGCCGTGCGAGTTTGAGAAGTAATTTGGCTGCCTCTAGTGGACGAGGTGCCGGGTTGTGTGGCGAGAGGAGAATGGCGGTGAAGCGTTCTGTCACGGACGGGTCGACGGCGAGGTAGCGCCTGTAGACGGCCGCTGTCGTCAGACCACCGCGGGCCTCTGACCAGATTAGGTATGGAGCCCAGATGCGGTGATGTAGAGATGGTGGGAGAGTTCGTAGGGCACGGTCGAATGTCCTACGAGCATGCGTGTGCGAGAGTGCTGGTGGGCATTTTGGGTGCATGAACAGTGATGTGTACTCGAGCCATATACGCGGCATCTAAACAGTGGTCAGATTAGTATATATGTAGCGAAGAGAAGAGAAGTGTATCATACATTGGGTAGCCACATCAAACACCTTTCGAACGTCGCGATGAGCGCCTTCCACTCCTCCCAGCCAACGACGCCATCAACACCGCCCTCCCACTCCTCGATATCCTCCTGCTCCTCCTCCAATGCGTCCTTCATATCCGGCAACCTCTTCTTCCCACCAGCCTTCTTCTTGTTGACAAGTTTCCCACCCACGTAGCTCTTGCGCAATTGCAAATACGACTTCCAGAGCTTGTAGCTGCCAGGGAAATGCTGGAGCGCTGACTCGTAGAGATATGTGAGGCGTTGCAGAGCTTCACGTGCTGCAGGCGACGCAAGTGCGCCGAGCACCTCCCGCTCTTCGTCCGTAAACGCATCGGCCTTTTCAAGCCGTACGAGCGCATTTTGGGCTTCTCGTGTAGTATAGATAGACGTCCACCAGTGTCGGAAAGAGAACGGATTTCGTAGGAGGTCTTCTTCCCGCGTCAGGTCGCTAGGTGAGAATAATGACGGGTGGGTAACGGGTGTCGGCACTGGGTGCGCGACGGGTAGGTGGGCCTGCAGTGAGGCGAGGGATATTTGCGACGACATGGCCGCTGAGAACAACGTCGGGGCGCGCTTGGTGCACGCGTTCACGCTGGACGCGTTTCGCACGTGCACTTTGATGCGATCAAGAAGGTTGGACAAATGTTGAGTCGTTTGCATTGCGTCGAATTATCGAACTAGGAGCACGAGGACAGAGATAGAAGACGGCTAAGAGTAGACACACAAGACTGCGACCGCTATCGGACGGGCGTATCGAGACTATAACGTACGGTATGGATACAAGACGGGAGGACATGTCACAAGTCCTTGCGAGTGAGCGTCCAAAGACGCTCCTCTAGCAGAAGACGATGACAAGATGAGAGACAAGGGGAGAAACGTAGAGTAATGGTCAATTGAAAAGTCGAATCATTGGTTAAGCGCCGGGGCCTTGTTTTTGAGGCGACTCGAACGTCGGTTATTCGGGCCTTCCGCGCCCGAAGCCTTGGGGATCACAACTCGCTGGCGCTTCAGCGGGCGCGATGCTTCGTTCACAGTCGTGTGTGTAGGCTGCGCTCCTTCGTGATCCACCCGCGGGCGTTTGGTCGAGCGAGACTTGACATCTGACGGCGCAACGCTGGCTGCACGCGTTGCTCGCTTGACCGGACGCTCATCCGCAATGTCGGGCTCAGGCGCGCGCCGGCGCTTGTTCGTGCGAGAAGCCGCGTCGTTGGGTGTCCTGATGGCGGGCCGGACCGAGCGCTTAGCGGGGTTTTCCTCGGTTGGCTCTTCGCCGCGAACTCTTGTGCGTTTGTGAGGGCGGCTATTCTCCACAGTGCCTTCATCACGCGGAATACTCCTGGTCGCAGAGCTGGCTGTGAGGATCGGAGTCGGAGTCGGAACGGCGCCTCGCGTGGGATGAGCACCTCGTTTCGTACGTTTGCGAGGAGGTTCAGCCGTCTCGCGTGCGGCAGTGGTAGGCTGAGACGGAGTATTGTCGTCCTCTGCGTCGAGTCTCCGCTTCTTAGAGGGAGCCGAAGGATGGTGTGCTGTGACTGGCGTGGCCGTAGTAGGCTTCGAGGCAGGTGAATCATCGACTTCAACAGAAGGATGAGAGAGCGCGCCGTCGATGACCGCTTCGGGGTGTGTCCCCTCTGCGTACAGACGTTGCAGATGATAGTGTCGCGCTTGCTCGTTTACCACAGCCTGAGTGATACCATGTTTGCGGCGGAACTCTTCGTCGTCCACTAAGGGATGCTGTTTATACACCCAATCAGGCATCGGAGGGACCCCTGCCAGTAGTACCGACTCGGGGCCGACGTCGTCAGGACAGTCGTCGCCATATGCGGCAGAGGAAAATTCGTGCCAGCGGGGGTGAAGACCTTGAGCAATGCCGTACACTTGCGACCAGATCTGGAATGCGGAAGGAAGCTCGTGGACTGTCGTATCGGGTCGGCGCTGGACGTGACCGAGCCAAACGTAATCAGGGTGGTACCAAGAGAGGCCTTCCGGGTTTTCGTGGGGGTGATAGAAGTCATCGGCCAACCACTCTCTTTTGAAAGAGATGTTGGTGCGTAGCTCGGTAGATGGGCCTAAAAATGCTGGCGTCGGAGAGCGCATCCTCGAATCGATCAGTGTTCTGGAGGTGACACGCGGTGATTTGAGTCGAACACCTCGTACTCGCGCCCTGCCGCAACATAGACACGTGAGAATAGGCGTCAGATCCAGACCGTGAATGGACGTACAGGACTGTGCGAGCTTTATATATCCCATCGCGACAGCGATTAGTCACATCGTAAGCAGTTCGAGCAATTCGGCCGGCACCCTTGAGATTTATGTCCTCGCCCAACTCGAGCAGCCGGAGTTTGAACTGCCAACGAGGGTGGCCCAGTCGTTGACGCTCTTCGGGCAGGCCCACACTCTCGATAGTATCATTTTCTCTGTATAAACGCCTGCCCCGATTCTCCGAATGCGATACTACATGAACACCGAGAGATATCGTATCCCCTTCACGGAGAGCGCGCGTCTGTCCAGCTCTCAATCGTATACCATTGACCTGTACATATGCCTGAGTGGATCGTGACAAGCTGAGGATGAACCAACGCACGAATGTTCCGTTCGTCGTCTTCTTCGCAGTGATCGTCACGGCCAGAGCAGCGCCGTGGTTCTCCACGTATACAAGCTTGCAATGATTCCAGCCTGGTGTGATGTTCAATGAAGAGCCTCGGAAAAAACTTGGACTAGTTGATGAACGTACTGACGGTGGTCTCCTGCACTACTACGTCGTTGTGAGGCCCTCGTCCAACATGTATCTCTCCATCCAGTGTTCTGTCCAGAAAGTAGCATTGACGTTCGGCAGTTGAATTGATATATGTATCCAGGTATCCAAGGGTCAGCGGATGTTTAGCGCGCAATGCCATGAACTCCTGGTCCGCCGAAGGCATGGTCATCCAGGTGAGTGTCGAGAAGAATCGGATTGTTTATGGTGAAAGCGTGAGCAGGAGTGTGTCGCGGGCCCTTCGGCGTGTCGAATTCGGGACATGCGTTGCGCGACCATGCTAGCAGCTGGTCGACAATAGACTAGAGCTAAAGCGGGACAACAAAGGAGATGGCGACAAAAGGCAGATCCGGCTCCTGCCGGCGCGTCGGGCCCAGGACGCAACCACAGACCACGCGAGACGCGTCTTGCTCACGATTACCATGCCACTTGGCTCTCGCGCGACGGTCAGTGCTCTACAGACCACCGACGTCGAAACTTCCATGACTAGTTGGGAATATAGCCGTGAAGCGCTGTCCTATATCCCTGTTCTATCAGGCGTCGGATCAAAATTAACACGCGTACGAATCCATCGTTGGCAGTGTGGTCTGTGGCCTACTGGGAGTAAGCTTTGGCCGCACAGCTCATCCAGGTCAATTATTGTCATCGTATGACTGATCGAGAGACCACCGGCGCGGCACAATATGCGTGGCTCGTGTCATTGTTTTCTGCTCGGATAAGCTGGGTCCATGCACATTCCAGTGACGCTCAAAAGCCCTCAAATTCGTGCGTACAGGTTAATCCGTCTCATTATCCCCGTTCTCTCGTGTCTCTCGCCGCCGCGACTCTTCTATCCGCTCAAACTCTGTCTCATGAGCTCTGAAAGGGTCTCGGACGAAGTGTGCCTCCGGTACGAACCAGTGGAGGTTCTCGGCGTTGGGAGTTTTGGTACGGTGGAGAAGTGCACGGTACATGCAGGGGACGAACAGTTGCCTGGATTTGTGGCTCGGAAGACAATCTCTTGGGGCGAAGGCAGCAGTCTCAACCAGGAGGAGGTTCTCTATGAGAAGGAGGCTTTGGAAGGCATCGCCCCTCACGACGGCATTGTTCAACTTCTGGATAGTTGGGTGAGCGAGACCGAGCTCTGTGCGTCAAATATTCAACATTGATGATCATGACCGCGTTTTCTGACTGTCCCTTTCAGATCTAGTCTTCGACTACTGCGAGAACAGTGATCTCCTTAACTACGCTAGCGCGCATCCACTTGGTGAGTCCGTGATCGTCACGCTCGTATATCTATCTGACTGCTTTGACTCCGCCAGACAATGATACGCTCTGGTCTATCCACGTACAGGTCATGGAGATTATCAGAGTATGTTGCCCGTTTTGTCGCTGAGATTGCGTGCCTGACAGGCCTACAGCATATTCATAGTCAAGGTTACATCTTCTTCGACGTAAAACTAGAGAACATTCTGGTTGTGGAGGCGAATCCGATTAAGGTCAAATTCGCGGACTTCGGCGGCGCATGCCCTGTGGAAGAGCTAGGCTTACGACCTGTACGTGTATTGCCTCGTCTTCTTCCCTACCAGTCTGACGTCTGATTCTTTCAATCTTTCAGCTCCTCTCAAGTCGCGTATACGCAGCCCCCGAGATACGCAACCCCAGGCTGTGGCCTACGATTGGTCCGGAATGCGACTACTTCGCCTGGAACATCAGTCTGTTTGTTTTGTATGCCTCTCGTACTGCATATGAGGGAACGTAAGCTAATTGGCATGGCTTATTCAGGGCGGTCACTTCGAGGTTCTGGCAAGGTGGTGGTCCGACGATTGATCAGTGCCTTACCTCGTTCTTGGGCGGATCCTCGCGTACACTACACGTTGAGTACATTCCAGCGCAGAACGCCCGCGAAAGTCTCTGTACGTGTCTACCTATGCTCCTGACCCCGGAAACTTCGGTTGACATGCGTCTACGTAGTCCTTGAATTCCTGACCGAAGCCAATGTCTCGTCTCCCGAGCACCGCGCGCGATGCATGTCGACGCACCGCTGGGTCACGGAGGTCCCTGCCTCCGTCTCCACAGCGGAAGGCCCAATCCCTTCTTCCGCTTCTACTATTTCCACCGCCTCTTCGCCTCCTCCGCAGGTGTCATCCCCAACGCAGCGTGCCGGTCGCCATGTTCCCGCTCGTTCCCCATCGGCTCCTCAGCAACGGGCAAGGACATCTTCTCCAGAGCCCTCGGCACGCAGAGCATCCACAAAGCGGACCGGCGTCGAGAAGTGTCTAGAGAAGGAGAAGGTCGGCAAGAGCTCGGGCGTGGGCTCAACCGCGGGGAGAAGGGTGGCTTCTGCTCGCAAGAAGGCGGCCAAGACTTGCTCTATGAGTCCTGTACCAGAGGCAGGCGGTCCCGCTCAGGCTGTCTTGAAGCTAAGGGCAACACGTCCCCGCAGGAGTTACAAGTACTGAGATCTCTCTTGAACGGATTCGGATGGCTATGGCTTTCGTCTCGCATGTATGGCTGGGCTTCGTATTATACGAGTATGTACTACCTCCGCATGACAAGTATGACAGGCTGCTATGAACAGACCACACCCAGCGATGAGAGGTGAGAGAGAGTGAACGAGTACTTGGAGCCTTGAAGGGGTTCAGCTGAGATGGTGGCGCTAACGGCTGAACTGTTGGACACTTGCCCCTGTCACGATACTATAATCGCTATGGATTCCGAGTGTGGAAGATGATGACAAACGATGGGTACAGTTCGAGTGCCAGAGCTCGACGGAAGACGTTCGTCAAATCCAATAATATTTCAATGCAACATGAACACACGATGTATATGATCAAAGAAGCCATGGGGAAAGGAAGACGCTAGGACAATGTGGAGGCTATGAGTAAAATACACGAGACTGCACGAGACTGCAATCACTTCAAGGCGGGAGTATCGAGACTACAACGTATGGTGCGGATACAAGACGAGAAGACAGAACATGAATCCTTGCGAGTGAGCGTCCAAAGACGCTCCTCAAGCAGAGGAAGATGGCGAGATGAAAGGAGAAACATAGAGTGATGCTCAGAGGAGCCCAATCATCGGCGATGCGCCGGGGCTTTGCCATTCAAGCGCCTCGAGCGTCGATAAGTGGGGGCTTCTGCGCCTGGGGCCTCCGAGGGCGTATGACGCTGACGCTTCGAAGGGTGAGGCGCGCTATCCACAATTACTTGTTCAGGCGGCGCGTCCTCGCGATGTACGCGCGCGCGTTTGAGGGGACGAGACTTGACATCCGGCGCGATGCCAGAAGCACGCGTTGCCCGCTTGACCGGGCGCTCTTTTTCAACGTCGGCTTTGGGCGCGCGCGGGCGCTTGAGCGTGCGAGAAGCCGCGTCGTCTGGCGCCTTGATGGCGGGCCGGGCCGGGCGTTTAGCGGGTCTTTCCGCTGTTGGCTCTTCGTCGTGAAGCCGAGTACGTTTGCGAGGGCGGCTTCCCTCAATGACGGTTCCATCGTCAGGCAACGAGCTTTGAGCTTGAGAGCCGGCCATAGCGGTGTGGGGCGGGCGTTTTGAAGCTGGCTCTCCCACATCGCCGTCGGGGCGTCGGCGCTTCGACGCGCAGGCAACTGCCGTGCGCACCTTTTTGGCTGGACCGGCGGTACGCTCAGCGGGACTTTCATCAGTCCGCTCTTCGTCATGAAGGTGAGTACGTGTATGCGGAGTGCTGCGCGATGTCAAGGTAGACGGGCCCGCAGTGCGTGAGTTTGCCGTATTGCTTGAGATCTCCCCTCGCGTGGTATGAGCGCCGCCTCGCTTCACGCGTTTACGCGGGGGCTGGAGAGTGTCTGTGAGTGGCGTGTCGACAGCAACAGGGCGCTGAGAGGCCGCGTCAACGGTCGAGTCAAGCTTCCGCTTATTTTGAGACGTGGGTAAAGGACGAGACGCTTCGTCGCTTCTCGAGGGAGGGACGTCGTCTGGGGATTGATGACGAGGGGGATCAGTGATCGGCATCCTGCGCGGGTCCTCGTTGTATATGCGCTCTTGTTCGATTTGTCGAGCCATCGACTTCAGATCGATATCCACCCATCCGCCTTCTCGCCGAGCTTCCGCATCCTCGGGAATCTGACGCAAGTAATACGGTAATGGAGGGATACCCTCCAGACGTACAGACTCGGGGCCAACGTCGAGTCGTTCATCCCCGAAGACAGCGGTTGAGAACTCATTCCAGCGGGGATGAAGACCTTGTGGGATGCCGTATACTGTGGACCAAGAGTGGAAAGCGGAGGGAAGTTCATAGCTGGCCGTGTCCTCTCGATGCTGAACGTGGCCGAGCCATATGAAGTCGGGGTGATACCATGAAAGGCCGTCGGGAGCGGGGTGTAGATGTAAGTAATCACCCTCCATATACTCAGCCGGCAAGCCCCTGTGTTTGCGCAAATCAGCGGGCGGGGAGGTGAACGGTGGCGTCGTAGACCGTCCAGCAGACGAGCCAACACGTCGTCTATTTGCTTTGCTCCGTGGTGGCTCGGGCAGTTCGTTGCCTCGCATCTGCCCGCTGGTATGAGGATCCCAGTCAGCATATGTATCGATGGGTTCAGGAAGTACAAAAAACGCACAGGAGTGCCCGTGCTTTGCGTATGCTGTCACTACATCGGACGCTTTGATGCAAGCAAGCGTTGACAGCTCGCCCAACACCGCTCAGACCGACGTCGTCTCCCCTCTCCAACAAATGAAATTTGAATTGCCAGCTGGGCTTTCCCAATCTGAGTCTTTCCTCGGGAAGACCATAGCCTTCTAGCGTGTCGTGTTCGAAGTGGTAATGCCGATTCCTGTTCTCTGCGTGCGACACAACGAAGACGCCGAGAGATACTGTGTCCCCGTCGTCCAGGACTCTAGTCTGTCCAACCTTTAGCCGTACCCCATTCACCTGTATATATCTGTCAGCAACATGAAGATAACGTCCTATAAACTGATGCACGCACGAAAGTCCCGTTCCTAGTCTTTTTCGCGGTGAGTGCGACTGCGACTGGGGCGTCATATTGCTCCGTGTATGTAAGCATGCAGTGCTCCCAGCCTGAAAGCTGTATAAGTATCCATTCCAAGGGATTCAAGTACTTCGCGTACTGATAAGAGGTTCCTGCAAGATGAGATCGTTGTGAGGCCCACGACCGATATGTATTTCTCCATCCAACGTTGTATCCAGAAAGTGATGGTCATGGCTGTCTACGGGGCCACCACAGCTCTTCAAGTATCCAAATGCGAGGGTATGTTTAGCGTAGAGCTGCCTGAAATTATGAATATCCGAGGACATGACTGATACGAGACTATGGTGGTTCAAGTTTTCCAGATGCCAAGTGGGGGGATGGGGTCCTCTGGAAAGTTGCGTGACGATGGCACACGCGCCGGGGAGCATACAAAGTGCTTCACGGCCATCAGGAGGTTAACAATTGGCGGAGTTTGGGACGAGGACGAGGACAAAGTAAGAGGCCAATGGAAACAAAAGCGAAAGCCTCGAGGCGCGCGTATGAACCACGCGCCACCACGAGCTCGGCGCGGCGAGCCCCGGGCAACTTGACAGCTACGGTGATGACCGAGTACTCACTCGGGTCTGCATTCTGCTTCCTCGCTCATACGAGCTGACAGGTTCTCGATCTGCTGGCAACTATATAGCCTCCAGTATGGCGAGGCCGCATTTGTGCTTCATGCCGGTGTTCATAGTGTATGAGTCACGTCTGCCCGTAAGAAGGGATAGGAGCAGGACGGCCTTGGTAGGCCGTTCTCTGGTTGTGTACGCAAGATTTATAAGTACTTACTAGGCGTACCTTCGTGATCTTCATGGACTCTCTTGTCGTGTTCTGTACTTTATGAACATCGTGCCCAGGTTGCTCAGGTACTGTCTTTCTTCGACCGTAAGTTCGTAACGCGTAACATCGTGCGCGGTACGAACTTCGGTAACGCCCGTTCGATGGCCATTCGAACCTGCGAGCGTTACAAACGGATCCGTTCGACGCTGCCGGGAGGCCATCATAGACCCCCATGGGCCCTTTCGCGCGCCCGCGAAGTTCGATGTATCTGACGCTCGTCGGAGGCCAACGAACCTACTCCCAGCAAACTTGTGGCGGGATAACGCGTAACGCGCCAGACCTCCGAACCTACGGTTGAAAAAAGACAGCAGTTCGAACGCCACGTGGCATCCCAATACTTTGCCATATTCGCCGTCGTTTACGAAAGGCATCTTCCGAAGCTTGGTTGAAGCGACTGATGCTAGAGTGTGTCACTACTCAAAATGACGCAAGGTTCACAGTAGACTGGATTGAGCTGGACAGCACGTGACTGGAATTGTGGTATGGCAGGGGTATCACGAGCGGATGTATAGATTACAGGTAGGGTGCAAGTACGAGAAGGGATGGCGCGAGAATCGCTGTGCGAGGAGCGTCCAAGAACGCTCCTCAAGCACGATAGTGACGAGAAAATGAAAAGTACACAGAATGACAAACACGAGAATAGTCTGAGCCCGGCGGTTTGTACGGATACATGAAGGAGATACGGTACACGGAACGAATAAGCAGTAGCTGGTCCCCGTAGACCAAGGGAGGAGGGGCAATGCGAAGACACGAGCGTTGAATTCAGCGGTATCGCGGAGCGGTCTTGCCCTTCAACCGTGTGGATCGTCGCGCTTTCCCGACATCCGGTCCACCGGCCTCTTCGCTCGGTGGCATCGTGCGATGTCGCTTGGCAGGATGAGGCGCGTCGTCGATTGCCGCAGGAGTCGAGCCGTCGCTGGGATCCGACCGCTTTCTCTTCGATGCAGGCCGGGTGCCTTCGACGCCGGCTTGCTGGTGCTCGGATGCACGAGGCTGCACTTTTCCTGTTGCTTCTGGCGTGCGTTTGCCGGAGCGAGACGCTCGTTTTGCGGGAGGCTGTGGGGCGGATCGCTCGGAGTCTGGCTCGAGACGTCGGCGCTTCACAGGACGAGAAACCGCGCGATCGGTGGTCACCGCAGCCACATTGATCGCGCCCGCCACGCGCATAGGGGCTCCTCGCAGTGCCGGCTCCTCATCTTGAGGACGTGTGCCTTTACGTGGGCGGCTCTCGTCGACGGGAGTCGAACTGCCCTGTGTAGGAGTCGAGACAGAGGCAGAGAGGCGAGCGCGACGTAAGTTTATTGTGTGATCAGAAGCGGTGCCGAGGTTTGTAAGAGCGTCTCGCTTCTTGCGTTTCCGTGGAGGTTCGAGATCATGAGGGCGAGCATTATCATCGTGCGAAGTCGAGGGACAGGGAAGATGCGGGCTCCTATCCACGGTAGGCTTGCGTTTCTTCGGAGACGAAGACGCTGGAGTGACTGCAGTAGATGACTCGGCAAGAGAGAGTGTGTGTGAGTCCGTTTGTTGCTCACGCCTCTCCGTATACAGTCGCTCTATCTCCACTCGTCGGGCCATCGAGTCGAATGTGGCACGCTCGGCTCCTTCGCGCCGCTCGGCGTATTCAGGGATCTGGGCGCTCAACCACTCTGGCATTGGCGGCACGCCCAGGAGCAGAACCGATTCACGCCCGACGTCAGGACAGTCGTCTCCATAGACGGCAGACGAAAACTCGGCCCAGAGGGGATGTAAACCTTGAGGGAGACCGTACACAGACGACCAGTATTTGAACGGGAAGGGAAGCTCGTAGCCCAGTGGGTCAGGCTTGTGGCGTACTTCACCGAGCCAAATGATGTCAGGATGGTACCAAGACGGGGCGCTCGGGTCCTTGACGAGACCGAAGTAGCCATCGCCTCCCTGATAGTCCACTCTCGAGCCCCTCCCTGTTGACGCGAACTTGTCTGGGGGCGGGCGGAAAAGCGGAGTTGTTGGACGCCTCGGGGACACATCGCCTTCGACCGCAGAGCCCGCCGTTGAGGGCGGGTAATCTACACCCTTCAGCCGTGATCTATGAGCAAAGCAATATCAGAAGCTTGTAGAATTTCGGGATGTATGAGATGAACCCACAATACCGAGCGGGAGGTCCCCATGCTTCGACGGCAATTGAAGATATCCTTCCAAGCCTCCCGCACAACGCGACTGACGTCGCTGGGACGAGGGCCATGGTCTGATCCGAAGAGGTGTAGCTTGAACTGCCAACGGGCATTTTGCAGCCTTCGGCGTTCCGAGGGTAGACCGTTGCCTTCGAGGGTATCATCAGGACCCAACCATTCTCGTAGTCGGGTCTTCGGAAGAGGCGCTTTGAACACGCCGAATGATATGGTATCGCCGCTGACAAGAGCCCGCGTCTGTCCTGCTTTCAAGCGGATACCATTGATCTAGGCGGGAGGTGTGAGTGCAGGTTCAAGCAAGCCGGTCGAGAACGCACGAATGTTCCGTTGGTCGTTTTCTTCGCAGTCACCTTCAGAGAGATGCTCTCGTATTGATGTTCGGCATAGGTGAGCAGGCAGTGCGCCCAGCCTGTGGCTTTCAATCAGCTCTAAATGCAGTTACAGCCGTGGCGCAACGTACTTATATGGGGATCAGGCAGCACCAAGTCGTTGTGCGCCCCGCGACCGATATGTAGTTCGCAGTTCATCGTTCTGTTGAGGCAATGATAGTCGGGCCCTTCTTCGGAGGTGCCACAGCTCTCCAGACACCCGAATGCGAGAGCATTTTTTGCTTGTAGAGAAGCGAGACGCTCATGAAGTAGGTTGGCGGTAGACATCAGGTAAGGGAGGGATAGTGTTCAGAGTGTGAAGTGGCGGGTGTGAGGCGTCGTTCAACAGGGATGGAAGGTAGAGTCGATAGCAAAAGACGCGAAGCCTTGCGCCAGGATGCGCATGCAAACAGAAACCATACGGCTCCATTTCACACGACAATAGGCGATGTTTCGGGTCTAAAGGGAGAACAATGAAGGTGGTTGACAAGGCACAAGAAGTTAAATAAGCAGAGGCGCGAGCGCGCGGTCGACGCGGCGTCAATGGAATTGCAACTTGACGCACAACCATCATGCACCATGTCCGGCGCTACCACTCGCTAAACCCAGGTTCAGGATCTTCGGGCGAGAATGGCGTCACGAGTGCTCGATGGGTTCAATGGTTACAATACAAACTATATCTCGACTTGTACAGCGGGTACTTACCGATCATCGGGATGGCCATTGTCAACCTATTGTTACGCTATTATCCGGCTCAAGACCAGGTTCTGATCGCTGTGCCTGGGATACATTGTCTTGAGAAAGCTACTTTGACATGATGTGGTTCGCTATCCTAGAATCACTGCGTGGCTCAGCGCTCAAGTTAGAGCGCCTGTGGTCGCCTGCGCTCGGGCCTGTACGCCCTATAAAGGCTTCAAGTCTGTCCTCCTCTCTATCGTTCGCTCACCTCAGCTCCCTCAAGCCTTCCGAATACGCATCGCAATGAGGACCTTCGAGTCGCCCAGTGGTCGTCGCTACGAGTCTCTAGCTCCAGCACCCATCGCCGAAGGGAGCTTCGGCGTCCTCTACAAGTGCACAAAACACGAAGGGGACGCGACTCTTCCTGGATATGCGGCAGTGAAGGTCGTCTCTTGGAGTCCCGGTGGACTCGACAAGGTATCGGTCCTCTCCGAGAAGGTGACACTGGAGAAGATTGCCCCTCATGACGGTGTCATCCGGTTGGAGGATAGTTGGGTCGAAGAGCAGGGTGTTCAGGGCGTGCTTTGTATGTTGTTCGATTATCTCTCTCGTTATGCGATGTCACTCAGCTGTCGCAGATCTGGTCATGGACTACTACGAACATGGGGACCTCCTCGAGTACAGCAAGACGCATCGCATAGGTCAGACTTTCTGGCCATGATTCTCCGACCCGCCTCTGATCTAGTCGATAGACGACAGTACGCTGTGTGATCTGCACCTCCAGTTCATGCGCATCCTCGAGGTACGTAGTCTGTCAGTACCTTTGCAATGCACGCTCCTTACGCTAGGAATAGCACGTCCATAGCCAGGGATTCATCTTCCTAGACGTCAAGCCGAACAATATACTCTTAGCGGACGTCAATCCACCCAGGATCATCCTAACCGACTTCGGTAGCGCTCGTACTCCGGATCAGATAGGTTCATCCAAGGTGCGTCTTTTCGCACAGAAAGCACTACGAATAAATGCTCATGGTAGTCCAGATGTTCTACACTGACCTTTACGCCGCCCCCGAAGTCCGCCAACGTTCGTCATGGTCCACTATCAAGGAGAGCTGCGACTACTACTCCTGGTGTATTAGTTTGTTCACCTTGTGCGATTAACTCCCGTCTCTACACCATGGCATACACTCGCTGACCGACTCTTTCTTCAGGATGGTTGTACAGGATTGGGAGAAGAACAAGCACGTGCACCCTCTCAACTCTTTCGGCGACGGCGATAAGTTGCGGTCAATGAACCTGGCCCTGATCCCGAACGACACTGCGAGGCAACAACTCTGTGCGTTGTCTTTGGATATCGCCTCCTTTCCCCGTCGCTGACGCCTGCGTGATAGTTCAAGGCTTTCTGACCGTCGGCATGATCTCGACGGCCCGCGAACGCAAGAAACGCATGATGGACCATCCATGGGTCGCAAAACGCCCTTCGGCCGACCCGGCACCCGAGGAACCCTCCCTCTTCGGTCGAAAGGCAGCTGTCTCTTCGTCTGGAGTGGAAGTGGCGCGCGTGGAGGCCCGGCTCTTTGGCTTCCCATCCTCGGCGGCGGCACCGTCTTCGTCTGTCACCGTTCGTGGCCCGTCTCTCAAGCGCGATAGCGCCGAGAAGTGCCTGGAGAAGGAGAAGGTTGGCAAGAGCTCGGGGGTGGGCTCGACGGCAGGCAAGCGGGCGTCTTCTGCTCGCAAGAAGGCGGTCAAGGCTCGCGCGGCAACTCCGGGGTCGGAGCTTGACGGCCCTGCGCAGGCTGTTCTGAAGCTCAGGACCGGTCGTGTACGCAAGTGTTATAAGTACTAGAGATACCTTATGAGCTATCTTCTTTATTGTACTTATGGATTAAATACTTGTATCACGCCTTTGAAGCTACATTGCCTAGCTCGAACACTCTATTCCGGCACGTTCAAGTTGACGGACCGAGATACCGAAGGCCGAAAACCCTAGGGCGCCGCGTTAAAAACCCGGCTCGACCCCTCGGTTCTCCCCGTGATACCATCAAAAACGCGAACACGAGGCTCGCACTCGCCGCTCGGCGATATTCCGGCATCTACACTTGCTTGCCCAGGACATTCTCATATTGCTAAACCCCCATAGTGACCTCAATCTCGCCTTTGTATTATGTGTGCAGACTGGAGGGGCGTCCGAAAGCGTCAATGTGCTTGCATTTGGTGGTAACTTGCGGGTAATTAACCCCTCATCAGGGGTTTATATTTCCGTTTGCGTATTGGCTGTTTGATACTTGTAACCACCACCGTGCGCCAATGATAGATCGGGAATATCGACGCAGAAGAAGGCGAGAGTAGTGATGAATACAGTAGCAGTGCGAGTAACGGCGTAAGACGTTCCTCAAGCACAAAGATACAAATGAAATCAGACAGGACAGACAACAGGTATGGGGGAGGTTATAAGGAGACATTGAGACAATAAATATGGGGTGGGAACGTAAAGCGACATCAACGGTACCGCGGAGCCGTTTTGCCTCTTAAGCGACTAGAGCGTCGGTTGGCCACGTCTTCAGTTGCTGGGCTCGCTGTAGGTGCCAATACTGTCTGAACAGCTTTCCGACGACGCTTTGCGGAACGTTGGATACCGCCGGCGGTCACATCTTGCATAGCAATGGCGGGCGGCATCCGTTGCGCGGGTGGCTCTAGCGCTACCGTGGTTCTATCGTCGTCGGTTTCGAGGTTCCTTCGTTTGAGCGAGCGAGGTGCAGCGTCCGTTTTGGCAGTGACACGAGCGGTGCGGGTGAGAGCAACGTCTTCCGCCTCCACAGCCTCCGTAGATATCACACTCACCGCAGCCTCGCGCCGACGTTGTAAAGGACGCCCAGCGATAAACACAGCCGCGTTCGGTACAATGCTGGCGGACCGTGTTGTTCGCCTGACAGGCGGCGCTGATGCCTCATCGACTCCGTTCTCTTCGCCATTGCGCTCGGGTCGCCGCCTTTTGTGCGGACGAGTCTCCATAGAATCGCTCGCCGGGGATGGTACAAGACCAGCAACGCGTGCCAGACGCGTCGCTGGCGGCTCCTGCACAGAAATGTCGCGGGCTGGGGGGCGTGAGCGCTTAAGAGAGCGAGATGGCCGGCCGGCTGGTGCCGGCGGCGTGTCCATCGCGGCCTCGCGGACCGGGCGCTTCGCAGGCCGCGCCTGTGGCGTCTCTTCGTCATCAGTCCGGGCACGTTTGGATACACGATGTCCGTCTGCGAAAACTGGAGTGCCGTGCGCTGGAAGCAAGGCAGCGGGATGTCCAGCCTGCGATTGTGGCACAGTTATCGGAGCGCTCCTGCGCTTGATAGGACGAGCGTCCCTCTTCGTGCGTTTGCGTGGAGGTTCGACGATGGCATCGATGGATGGTGTATCGGAGTGAACAGACCCCTGATCCATACCGTCGCCAGCCTCAAGCTTGCGTTTCTTCGATAAGGGCGCCTCTGAAGAGACCTGGGGAGGGTCGGAGGCGGTCGTCTTGAAAGCAGGGTGACATGGAAGAGATCGTTTGACGATCGTCTCGGGGTGCTTGCCCGCCTTGTACAGACGCACATTCTCACAATGTCGCGCCACCGCTTCATAGGAAAGTCGTGCAAGCCCTTCCTGTGGGATATTCTCTTCCTCTCCAAGAGGCAGGAAGTAGTCCCTTGGTATCGCAGGAAAACCTTTCAATATTGAGGTTTCGCGGCCGACATCTGGACAATCATCGCCGTACACGGCAGAAGAAAACTCAGACCAGCGGGGGTGCAGGCCTTGGGGTATACCGTACACAGACGACCAGTATTTGAAATCCGAAGGAAGCTCGTAGGGAAGCAGATTAGGCTTGTGTCGAACGATGCCCCGCCATATGATATCGGGATGATATAAAGATGGGGCCTCCAGGTCATCGATGAGGCAGAAATGTTCGTCGCCATGCCTATAATCCGCCTTTTTGCCGTTTGTTGGGTGGAATCTGTCGGCCGGTGGAGGGGTATAAGCAGGGGTGCTGGGTCGATCAGGCGGGCGGCCATCTGTTATCGTAGGTTCGCATGTTGTTTTAAACCCTCGCATGCGGGCTCTGAGCGCACTATTCAATCGAAGTTCGGTAGAGTAACGAGAATACGAGCTTACAAGACGGTTCGAGCAGTATGAACACCCTCTTTGCAGCGGATGATCCCATTCCAAGCCGTTCTCAGAATTTGATCGATCCCCTCTGAGCTCGTCTCATCATCTCGTGGGATTGCGTGGACTGTGAACTGCCAGCGGCCTCGACTAAGCTTTTGACGCTCTACATCCAGACCGCGACCCTCCAAGGTGTCATCCGGATTCATATTCCTCCATCGAACAGACTGTGGCTTCTTGAAGACGCCGAAAGAGACGGTATCTCCGTCGACTAGTTTGCGCGTCTGCCCTGCCTTCAATCGTTCGCCGTTGACCTGTAGTGCGTTCAATAAACCGCGTCGTCGAAGATTCAAGGAATGCGGGGCGTACAAACGTGCCGTTCTTGGTCTTCTTCGCAGTGATATTCATAGTCACTGGAGTGTGCGCGTATTCAGTGTATGTGATTTTCGCATGGGCCCAGCCTGGATGGAGGTGAGCTATACGAAATATGATGCACTGCCGGTAACGCACTGATGTGAGGGTCTCCTAGTACGAGATCGTTCTGTGGGCCACGTCCAATGTGCACCTCTCTGCTGAAGGTGCGCTCCAGAAAGTAACGATCTTGTTCGCCGTGTGTTGATGTTTGACAGCTCTCGAGATAGCCAAAGGCAATAGGGTGTTCGCGACGTAGAGAGAGCATGTGTGTATCGTTGAGAGGAAGAGCCGGCGTCAGTGAGAGCCCGAATAGTTCTCGTGGCGGTGAAGACGATGGTACAAGTGACGGAAGGCGTGTGGCGACTAGTCAACAGTGCGTGGTTGGAGAGAAGCACGCGCAAATTATCGCTCAGGCCCTTGCTTGCCGAGAAGAATACAAAGAACAGGCACGCCGACCATTCCGGGACAATTGGTAGGCAACTTAGCGCGATGATGAGAACAAAAGGAAAGCCGGCACACCGCGTCCGTCGCGCGTCAGCGCTCAGGCGCTCACCTCTTACCATGACCTTCACCGCGGGTCTCTCTCGGGACGCTCAGTGGCGTCGTGCGGCAGCGCCGCATATATTCTCGATTATCTCGAGCTCACTGAGAAGATGACAACTCCTATAGAATGCTGTCGCTGCTGCTCACGGTTCAATCTCCGTACATTGTTCGCTCGATAAAGCCTGATCATAGCATGTGTGATTGTTCTCATCGTTTCAGGCAATCTTGGCGTGCCCACATGTTGTATTGTCAGCCCAATACTGTGTGGTTGCGATCGGATGAGAGCTGCGTGCGGTCGGCGCCATTGTCAGTGACTGGCGATACTTGGGCCATGCACCCAAACTACCGTCGATATAAAATCTCCGTCTAGCCCCATGTGGTGTCGTCCTCCTCCTTCCACCTCTCTTCCTCTTCCCTCAAGCTGTCGATGTCTTCATTGACGGAGTTGTTGGCCAAGGGTCTCTCACACGCCGGCCGTCGCTACGTGGCCGTGCGGGGAGCGAACACTGCCAATGGGAACTTCGGTACAGTCTTCAAGTGCACCGTTGAGAAGAACGGGGTCGTACTCCCGGGATATGTCGCCGTTAAAGTCACTGCGTGGGGATCAGGGATCTTGGACCGCAAGACCGTTCTGGCCGAGAAGACGGCTCTCGAGACGATTGGGCCTCACCCTGGTATCGTTCCCCTCGAGGACAGTTGGACCGACGAGAAGCGCTGCGAACTCTGTACGTCCTTCGCTGACTTTGCTCGCTTTACAACACGTCTCATGCGTCGCAGATTTGGTCATGAACTTCTACGAACACGGCACTCTTCTCGACTACTCCAAGACGTATCATGTTGGTGAGCCTTTCTAAGTCTCGGGATGTGTGATGTTTTCCTTACCATTGTCATCAGACGACGCGATGCTATCGTCCATTCATCGGCAGTGTCTGGACATCATCGAGGTATGTCAGGCAACTCAATCATCTCGATCTCATACTGAGTGTGTGCGTAGCACATCCACGGCCAGGGATTCGTCTTTCTCGATGTCAAACCCGAGAACATGCTGCTGGAAAGCATTAATCCGCCGAAATTGATCCTAGTAGATTTCGGCAGTGCGCGTCCCGTCGACCAGCTACGCTCTGGCAAGGTATGCTCATGGGCTCTACACTGACGAGCGGTGCGCTGAAACTATTCCAGATCCCGGCGACCGACTTCTACGCCGCCCCTGAGCTGCGCAATCCGGCTCTCAGGTCAGACGCCGACGCGAATTGCGACTACTACGCGTGGTTCATGAGCTTATATTACATGTAAATGCGCATTCGTCCCAACCAGGGTGTCACTCAATATTTTAATCATAGGATGGTGCTTCAGGATCCCTCGAACGACGGCAAGTATTGTTGGGAAGTCATGGACCCGGTCCGCCACCCTCACAAGCGGGATTTGGTCTTCGAGCTCATTCAGGGCCACACCACAGATTCATGTGCGTCTATACCGAACTTCACGTTCTGCAGTCAAGCTGACGCTCTTCTCTGTATACCTAGTCCGTGGATTCCTTGTGTCGATGATCCTCTGTGACCCTGGTAGCCGGAAGTGGCATATGACCGCGCACCCTGGTCCGTGGGTAAAGGAGCATCTCCCTCAGCCTGTTATCCCGGCGGTTCCTGCGACTCTCTCTGTCGTGCAGCATGAGCATCCTACGGAAGCCGTCTGGCCTGCACCGGAGAGCTTCCAGCTTTTCGGCCCTGCGAAGGCGGCGACGGCGACGGCTGGGCCCTCCAACTCGACATCTGTGCGGGGCCCGTCTGTCAAACGCGCGAGCGTCGACAAGTGCCTGGAGAAGCAGAAGGCTGGCAAGAGCTCGGGCGTGGGCTCGACGGCAGGCAAGCGGGCGTCCTGTGCTCGCAAGAAGGCCGTCAAGGGCCGCGCAGCGACTCCGGGATCGGAGCCAGAGGGTGGTCCGGCTCAGGCAGTTCTGAAGCTTAGGGCCGGTCGTGTCCGTAAGTGTTACAAGTATTAGGTGTTCCTTCAGGTTCTCGCTGGTCTGGATACCTTGTATGCTTTACGCCCCCTCTCCTGTATCAGTAACTTTAGTCAACGTGCATCTTTTCGTATGAAGTTATCGCCGTGTGAACAACATCAGAACGCGGCTGAACTGGGGCGTGACTTAACCACGACGCGCGAACCGACGGAACGCGTCTTGTCTCCTGCCTCCTTCGCCAGACAAATGTCGAGCTATACCACACGCGTCGACAGTGTCGCCTCGGACACTATCAAGCGACACCCGGGAAACGAAGGATTGATCTCAGAGCTCGCGACGCTTCTCACGACGTTTCCGCCTCCCTTCATCCACATCCATGACCCCAACACACCGCGTCTCACTGGGGCTTTACTCCGACATCTACTTGGGGGACTTTCCGACATCGACGCGTCTACATTCCCCGCATCTGATGGCGCCCCGCGTCTTACGGTGGCTCATCTCGACGCAATAGCTTGCTTCGCTCCTCGACTCTTCTTCGACAATGCACTGAACCAGCTCGCACGGTGGCGACCGACTTGGGAAGAGGGTTGCGAGAACTGGGGAAGCGATCAGCCACTCAGATTCAACGACTCAGTCGATGGCTTTATACACGGGCTGCAGGCGCTGAGGGACGATATGCTCGCGGACGGAGACGTAATGGCGGCGAAGAAAATGAAAGGAAAGAAGGGGAAGGGGAAAGAGGTCGATGTCCAGAGGCCGGACGTCCGTCTCATACTCGTGATTGAGCACGCGGAACGCATCAAGGATGGCTTATCCGACCTGCTCATACCTCTGACTCGACTGGCTGAAATCGTGAGTCTACTTCACGTCTATGTAATCTTGTTACTGATTCTGATAGTCGCGTGTAGATGTTGCGACCGTCTTCGTGTCCGAGCTCGAGTGGGAAGGCATCAAGCCTCAACGAGGCGGAGCCCTGTCTCCATTCCGGATCTCTGTCGCGGCACCAGAGAAGCAAACAACACTACAACGCATGAACGCCACCTTCGCAGCTTTGTCGTCGACCTCGCTTGCGCATCACCCGAGCCTCACTCAGCTATACAACCTCTTTGCGTCCGCAATATACGACATATGCGCCCTGTACACTCGATCTCCCGACGAACTGGCGTACATCGCAGCTGCACGGTGGCCCGGGTTCGTCAAACCTGTCCTCGACGCGCACCAAGCAGCCTTGGAGGAGGATCCTGACGCAGAGCTACAATCTCCGAGTATGGAGAGTTGTATGCGTCTTATTCGGCACTTTGCTGGAACATACCGCTCCGCTGTCGACGCGCTGTACCCAAGAACGACGACCGCTGCAGCATGGGCCGAAGCGCACATAGCTGACGCCACCGTATCCCAAGATGACGAAGACAACTCCGGATCGCCACCGCGTAGTCCGCGAAAACGCGCAACACGAGGAGATGACAAAGACGACAATAACATTGCACCCGAGGAGATTGCCGGCGCCACCGCCGTACGCTCACTTCCTACGCTCTCGCGCTACATCCTGCTCGCTTCCTTCCTCGCGAGTACCAACCCGCCTAAGAGCGACTTGCGCATGTTTGGCAGCGCGGCGGAGCGACGGAGGAAGCGTAAAGGTGGTGGCGCCGTGCGTCAACGGGCGTCAAGAAACACGAAGACTGCCGTGCCACAAAGATTGTTGGGACCAACGACATTCCCACTCGATCGAATGATGGCCATACTCGGGTTCTTGCTGGACGCGTACGACCTGGACCACCAAAAGCCCGGGCGCGAATTCTTCATGGCAGGTAGCTACACGGAGCTTGAGCTCGGACGTGTGCATGTATACGGCGCGGTGCGTGGCTCGCGCAAGCTTTCATCGCGCTTATGTATCTGACAATGCTTTAGATCACGGAACTGTCAACGATGCATCTTCTTCAGAGGACGTCTGCACCGGATAAACTCGACGGACCGCCCACCTTTAAATGCGGGATTTCTTATGGGCTTGCGTTGGAGCTTGCAAGAGGGATGAAGATCCCACTGTTGGAACTACTATGGGACAGTCAACAGTAGGGCAACGTTCAAATATTATACAGCAGTTTGATGGGCTTCGGTCCGGTTGTATTCGACCAGCGCCAATCAACCTTCGTGGCGCTTACTGGGTCTCGTGGCTTGTACACTCCCACCCGTTGCTTCTCACCGTGTCGTGTATGTATGTCTAATTGCAATTACAGTTGTGTTCCAGTCGAGAACTGGCTTTTTTGGAGGTATGCCGCTATAGACCGGTCTGCACTTCGGCCCAATCATGAAGCAGAACAACGTATACGCTTGCGCCTCGTGTTCGATGGCATGGAAGGCCTCTGCTCGGCGGACGTGGGCACGGCAGGGTCGGCAACGACTCGGCGCTCCGCTCGAGTGATATACCCCTCTTCACAAAGTTGCCGATGTCCTATATGGGCGTCTGAAGTTCCTTGCGCCTCGAACACGCCGCGACTCAATTGCGGATATACGTTGATACTGCAACCACCACCCTCGGCGGATGTCTGTACATGCCAGAAGAGGTTCAGAGTGTCGCGGAGTTAACGTTCGAGAACCTGTGGGCTCCTGCGCGAACCGTTGGTTTCAATACTTTCATTGGCTCGATCAGTCCGCTGCTGCCCACACTGTATCCTCTTCGAGCAATTCACGATCTTCAGGCGGGAGTGCTTTTCTCATGTCTCTATGAGCGCTTGATATTGCCCTATAAAGGCTGCCAGATGAGAGCATCAACAATACAACTCGCAATCACCACTGCCTAGTCCTCACACATAGTCTCCGCGATCTTCCTATTCGAATCATCACCATGGCCCGCTTCACCTACGAACGCCTCGACAAGAACCAGGCGATGCTCATCGTTGTCGATCACCAAGAAGGTCTCTACATGCTCACTCGCGACCGCGACACTGTGCGCTACAAGAGCGACGTCTTCGCACACGCCGCCCTCGGCCAAATCTTCAACTTGCCCACCGTCCTCACGTCCAGCTCTGAGACCGGTGAGTGCCTCTTCATACTCTTCACGTGTTGTCCTGATCATCTTCTTCAAGGTCCCAACGGCCGCATCCCTGTCGAGGTCCTCGCGATGCACCCGAAGGCCGCCTTTGTGAAGCGCCACGGCGAGGTGAATGCTTGGGACAATGAAGAGTTTCGCAAAGCTGTCCAGGCGACAGGACGCAGACAGGTCATCATTGCCGGTATCACCACCGATGTACGATCTTTGCACGATGTGAACGTTTGCCTCGCACGCTGACCCAGAATTAAGGTTTGCATCGCTTTCCTGGCGCTCTCTCTGCGCGACGCTGATTACTCAGTATGGGCCAATGCGGATGCTAGCGGTACGTCTTTGGGCTCCCTGTCTTGACCGTCAGTGTGCACGCATACTGAACGCATCATAGGCACCTTCGACGTTCGTACGTCAAACGACGCAAACGACCGCATGCGCTCGGCGGGTGTGCATGTACTTTCCTCGTTCGCTCTGGCGTGCGAGCTTATGCGCGACTGGCGCGCTACTCCCGGCGCAAAGGAGATGATGCCCTTCTTCGACAAGTACCTTCCTGACTACGGCTTCCTTGCGCGCTCCCATGACTCCGCCTTGAAAGACGGTACACCATCGGGCTTGCCGGCGAAGCTTTGATGCAGCGACCCTACGATACCATACAACCCTCATAATGATACCTTTCGCACATTTTGTCTGATCTGACCGATACCTGTTCCGTGCTAGCCGACTCTTATCCATCTTGTAACTGTACATCCACATGGACCCATAAGTAATAAACCCAATCATCACTGCCTCACGCGGCCTCACGAGCCGTGGCACCCGGCACCCGTCTTGCCTTCGACCCCATGCTACTTCTGTCAAACCGTCACCACTGTTTGCGAGTGCGAGAGCTGTCAACCGGCACACGTCTCCGTTATCTACCGCCATAACGTTCGAAAGGCCTGTCATGAGCGCCTGAGCAACACGCTGCCATGTCGCCAGTGGTCCCCTTCAAGTTCGCGCGAGCGGGTGTGCTGTTTCTCAGCTTTTCCTTCGGTATTGTGGGTCTCGCGGTCGCTATCAATGCCGTAGTGAAGTACGTCGTATATCCTCAGTGACAATTATAGTCCCTCACCGCATTGCCTGTAACTTAGAGCGAGCGATGTGACATCATCCATATTGTCGAACCTTCCCTTCGGTATCACCGTCAAGCTGAGCGATAGCAGTACGTACCACTCTCTCCACTCCCGCACGATACTCATGAGGGACACGGCTCACTAGACATTCGGAACGTTGGTACCGTCCTCGCTGTTGGGTGCGGCCTGAGCGCGCTCATGTCATTTGTCTTCTTCCTCGGGACCCTCTTCTCCGGCGCCCGTGGCACCACAGCGGTGCCGCTCTTCACACGCACACTCCCCCTGCAAGCTGGAATACTGGCAATTCTTGCCCTTTGGATCTTCGCTTGCGCAATCCCCTTCGACGTCTTCTACGCGAACGACGATATCGGCATCGACGCTGGGATCCTGGGTATCCATGTGGCGTCACAGATAGTAGACCAAGTGCTGGCCGTATTGGGCCTATCGCGGCAATACCGCGACTATGACTTCCGTGAGTGCGCCGTTACAACAGCCTCCCACGCACTCGCTCATATCCCTCACAGTCCAGCTATTGGCAATCTTGCCCTGGTTTGCCATGTTGTTCGCAGCCATCTCAGCCGCCTCACTGGCCGTCGCTCATCGCAGGGCCACGCAACAGAGTAGATCTCAAGAGCGACTGGATGAAAAGCAGGTGGATCAGTGGAAAGAATCGGCATCGCCCCGGCCCTTGTAGTGTCGTTGAAACAGTCTGCGCAGAACCCAAAGGCCTCATGTCAGCACTTTACCCACAAGCTGTACTTGATCAGACTATACCACGGGAAAATGATGATCCTATGAATAAGAGTTAGATTGAACGTAGACCGCATTGACCAACGAATGCCTAACGGAATAATGAAGGGATGCGTCATTGATCATGCGTTATCTTATCTGTTCGATATCGTCGGCGATGAAAACTCGAAATGCCACTCATCTTTCACCGCCATCGTGTGCACTTTGTGCCGCGCATTCTACGTCGTACAGGCCCACAAGCACCTTTGCCTGAAGATGTCACGTCTGAACGACCTCTTGGCTGCTCGTCAGCCACTACTATTGACCGACGAGGCTGGAGCGTCGGCCGATTTTCTACTGCATCAAGCTCTTCTCACGGTATTCAAACTGCCGGATGCTCGCTGCGTCTTCGTCTCCACATCCGGGGACTTGACGCGATGGAAGTCTCTATGCTCTCGCAACGTATGAGCCAGCGTACCTCTGCGCCAAAAGGCGGGCTTTGACTTGGCCGCCTAGGGACTTAACCTCGACGCAAAGCTACAAACCGGCGCTTTCCGCTTCGTTGATGGCTCCTCTGTTGCACCTGAGTCTTCCGACGGTCTGAAAACGCTATATCTTGATATTCAGGGGCTATTGGAGTCCTGGTCGCAAGATGCCGCACCTAAGCTTGTCATCGTAGACAACGCTTCTTCATTCGAATGGGTAGGCTTCGAGCCGACACCGGTCGTTCGTTTCATCCGTGCATTGGCGGCGTTACGCCGAAAGGTGAGACGCATTGTTAATTCTGTGGAGTACTCATCTCATACTTCTCTTCCAGCATTCCTCGGGCTTGATTCTGCGCCATCATCTGGCCGTGCCGGATGAACCGGACGACGTGTTGCGTGCTTTGTTTCAACTGTGCACGTATCACATCGAAGCCAAATCACTCGCCAGTGGAAGGAGTAGTTCAGTTAGCGGAGAGGTATACCCCAATGCTCTATGTCCTTGTCATGTGCTGATGAGTCGAATAGATTGCCGTCCATCCCCTGCCGGCTAATAAGAGTAGCAATCCTCTTCTCCTCATCCCTCGCAAGAACGCGCTGCAGTACAGGCTGGGAGACACATCCGTGTCATACTTTGAGCGTGGAACGGGGCAGGCAGTCTTATGAAGAGCTGCTGCTTAGCTACCAATGCAATGACATGGAATGTAGCCATGCTGTGATGGCGGGCACATTGTGGTTGAGGAAACTGGGGTTGTGAGCGTACCGTAGCATGCACGGAGCTACACAACTATACTTCGATGACGGATATGTCCAAACGCGGTCAGTGTGACTGTCGCGCGGTTTCACTGAGCTTGCCGAGTTAGGCGCCTGCACTGGTCCCTCTGCTGCACAGCCCCCTGCCATATAAATGCCGGTCGGTTGGTTGCGAGTGATGCACCTTGCCTTCTCCCGTCATGCGCCTTGTATCCGTGCAGCCAAATCTTTTGAACACAGTTCTCTTTCGAGAATCCACTAGTGGGTCGCCCGTCTACATGATCTCATCGCCAGGATCGGGATCAAAGACTGTGATCAACAAGCACTCCGAAGCCAAAGGTGATAAACCTCACGAGGGCACTACCGATCTCGATGTCATAGCCACCATCACTTGGGAGAAAGACTCGCTAAGAGTCGACTACGACGGGAAGTCTCGAGATGGAGAGGCATTGTTTGCGCTTGCGTTTGCAGGGTGATTACGTCACGTCACTTATTGGTAACCATTCTTGCTTAAGAAGACTTGGTAGAGAATGGAGGTTCAAAACACCAAGCGGTGTCAGTTTCGTCTGGGAACCTCTGGACAAAGGAGAATGGAAGGTAGATCGATTTCGCTCTGGTGCTCCATGTAGCTCGCTGACATTTGCCATACAGCTTGTCCGTCCTCTCAAGCACGGCGAGTCATCGCGACCAACTGTTGCGCACTGGCATCGTCTCTCCGGCCTACGCGCGCTGATGAAGCGCAATGCATACTTGGATATTGACCACAACAACATAGACAAGGCGGACATCGACTACATCCTTGTGACGCTCGTGTATCTCGTGCGGCGAGATGAGCAAGGGTTGGCCCCATTAGAATACGACTCTCAAGTACGGCAGCCTCCGCCTAAGGGAATGGATGGGGACATTGCGCCAGGTACTGGTTTGGGCTTCTATCAGGGGCGGGGAGAAGGGCGCCATGTTGAGCCGGAGGTCGAGAGGAACGAAGAGGCGGCCGAACGGGAGGAAGGTGGGGGTGACTTCGACGTCGATACTGAGACTGGCGCCGATGGAGGAGACGGAGACGGAGGCGGGGGTGGCGATTGACTGCACATTGGACGTCTTGCTCCCTCCTTGGCATCTTACTTGTTCTAATCACGGATTTTCTTGGAGTACGTTGTAATAGCACGTCGCATCTCAGACTGTATATGGTACACCGTCGGTCAAGAAGGAATGCTCTCGACGCCCTCGCCATTGCCGATCGCTGTATGTGTTCCTTCTGAGATCCCTGGCGACACTTTCAATAAGTATGGGAATGTCCTCCACGTTTCACCTGACGGAACGGTCAGCAGATCGAATAAGGGTAATCAGTATAACACCTACGACACCCTTCTATTATGCAGAGGAGGTCTGTTCTTCTTCGCGTAAGGCAGCCCAGGAATCAAGACCTAGGTAAGATGGCAGAGCATTCCATGCAGGACCCCATGCTTCACGTTGCTTGTTATCGCAACCTATGGTGCACTCTTCGCACACATCCTCGATAGTCACAGGAGCAACAGACGACAGGAGAGACGCTGGCTGGAAGAGGTCGAGACGATCCTCATAGTATACATGTCCATTCGACTCGGCAAGATAATCCAACAGAGTTGTGACGTGGTGCTTATGTTCGTCGCTGAACCAGGCGGCCAACCAATCGCGAGTGAAGTCGTCTATGATGTCGCGCTTGAGCCTCAATAGCTGTTTAAGGCTGCGGACGACGGTGACGTATATGGTTAAGGGTATGTCTGCTGGCCAAGGAGCGCTGGATTTAAGGTCGAAGATGGTGCGATGAAACCTGTCTGCCAGATGAAGGAAACACGCAGGAAGGAGCAGTCGCAACCCGTGCGACTCCGCCAAGGATACGCAGCGAAGAGTAGCGGCATAAGACGCGACCCTCCTCCGCGTTACAACGGTAGTCTGGTAATCCTCTAGCCTGCTGGGAAAGAGGCGCTTAAGAGCAGCAACACCTGATTTGCGTGCAGCTGTGATCATGTATTTGTTGCTGAGCTCGAGGATGTCCAGAATCTGATCCAGGAACTGTGGGTTGTCGTCGATGGGATCACTTGACAAGGCAATGGGTTAGCGCCACACTTCACAACGTCCTGACGCCAAGATGACTTACTCGTGCAGAAGGAGGAGCCGAAGAAGGATATACATCTGGTCCGTATCGTCGCTCAGTTGCACGACCGGTGCATCGCTGTTCGCTCCCGAGGCCGGCGGTGGGAGAGTGAACATGTCCCGAAAGATTTGGGATTGGGCAGCAAGCAGCGAGCGATGCACGCGAAAGGCGCCCTCGGCGCATTGCAAGATGATATTCCCATCGTCCAACCAGAGATCCTTGTATTTCTCCGAGGGTCCAGCAGTTGAGCGCCCTTCCTCCATATTGCCGTCCAAGCGCCGGCGTTTAGTGCTCGGGGACGCGGTGTCCACAGTCATCGCGTCGGTCATAGTCGTAGACGTTCCCTGATGCACGGGTCTAGCAAGTTCTCTCGAAGCACAGATGAACGACACGGGATTCTGTGTGGTGATGGTCGGCGTCGTGGGCAGGCAGTGCGCAGAATATTGTGCCAGACAGACGCGCCAAACACGATCACATGAGTTGGTGTGTTCTCGTTACGTCTATCTTTGCTTTCGGTGTGTTTAGCCACATAGACGACTTCGCTAAGCTTAGAAAGAAGGTCACACAAGCTGGATGAGCCAGAAGCCTTCTTCGCGAGCGCTCCGAGTACAGCTATAGAGACATAAGAGACCATGTCGCATGTCCACGATAAATCTGTGCGATAGATCGAGGATACATAGATACAGAATAATCAGATTGTATCTACTATGTAGTGGATCTGCAACATCAATAAGTAAGGTTTATATAGAGCATCAGATACAACACACATAGCTATGCTGTGGCAGCAGACAACGCTTGACTTTCACGTTGATGGATCGCCGTCCAGCTATCTAGCGACAGATACCGCGGGAGTTCTCTCCACGCAGTCATCCACGCCATGCGCTGCGCATTGTCCCATCGCCCGATACATTCCTCGCATAGTTCGTCGACCCCTATCTCGTGTACGACGTCCGTCGCCGTCCAGTTCGGGTCGAAGAGGATCAAGTCCTCCGTGGGAGGCATGCCGCCGTTATTGGGTCCCAGGGAGTACCCCAGAAGTCCAGCAAACTCATGTCCATGTTTTCCGGTATGTTCTCCATACTCCCACTTACTCCTCCAGTCGTCGCTGAAGTCGTGGATCATCTCCTGTTTGAGATGGGAGAGTGCGGTCATGCTGCGAACGATAGTCGCATAGTAAGTGAGAGGTATGTCCGCTGGCCATGTTGAGGCCTTCTTGAGATACATCATCTCTTCATAGTATTCTCCGGCAATGTAGAGGTAGCACGAGGGGAGGAGCGTCGGAAGGCCGTAAGTGGTAGCCACCACAACGCAACGAAGACTGGCTTGGAACGTCACCAGATCTCGCCGCCTTTGTATCGTGAGTTGATAGCCTTGAAGCGTGTCAGGGAATAGTTCTTTGAGTATGTTGACACAGGCGGTGCGCATGACAGGAACGACGTATTTGCGGCTGAGCTCGAGCATATCGAGTATCTGATTCATATATTGCTTCGACGGGGCCGTTTTGGAAGGATACCTGCGACCAGTCAAGATAAGGCTCAATTCCCAGTCTGATGCAGACATACGTACTCGTGGAGTATGAGACAGCGTAAGAACATGTACATCTGATCCGTGTCATCGCTCAGCTGGACAGTGGGTACCGCGTCGCCCGCCCCTGACTCCGGTATAGGAAGCGTGAACATGTCGCGGAAGACTTCGGACTGTGTCGCGAGTAGGGAGCGATGAACGCGGAAGGCGCCTTGAGGGCATTGTATAATGACGTTTCCGTCTTCTAGCCACATATCCTTGTACTTCTCAGAAGGTCCCGTTGCTGATGGCGATGAGTCGTCTACGCCGTCCACTCTGCGGCGCTTTGCGGCGGGCGTTGTATCTGAAGCGCTCGTGTCGGCCATGTCCGTAGTTGCCAGATGGCTTCGCACAGCTCAGGCACTGGTCGAGTTCCGAGTTGAGATACAACTCGAAAGACCGTCAGAGGGATGGTGGGGGTACAAGAACAAGGTGATCGGGGCCTTGAAACTGGTTTCCGCGATAAACGCGATCACATGAGTTCGGCAACCCTAATGACAGCTGCCAAAGCCAGTGTTCGTTGACACCTCATCGTTGTTGCGTACGGTATGGCGCGTGTAAAGCTAGGCTGCGGAATACACTCTGATATGATACATACTGGCATAGATACAACCGATCGATAACGACAGGAGCCAGGCAGAACTCAGAGCTTGGCTTGGGGAATAATGAAGCTATTCGCGCCCCTCAAGCTCCTCGCCGCAGTCGTGACTATCTCGTCGACTCTGAGTAAGAATGTCAGTCATCATCATTGGATGAGGACAATCATGGGCGTTCACATCTCTTTTGCCGGCTTGATATCGTGAATCGATCCTGCGACCTTGCCCATGAGCCCTGCGAGCAAACCATCAGTCATCCGATGTAGTCCCCAAACAAAGCCAGACACGTACAGCTCCGCCCTTCAGCGCTCCTCTCCGGCTTAGACTCCAACTCGACCTCATGCGGGATCCGTCCCTTCCCTGTCAACTCCCTAATCTCCTCTTGCCTCTTCTCTTCCCACTCCTTCACATACGGCGTCTTCCTCACACTCATCGGTCGGCCAGAGTATACAAGTGTTCTCACGGTCCCATCATAGTCCGCCTCCAACAGCTCTTTCTTATGCCGCTCCGGAGCACCCGCTTCGACGGACGCGACGAACCGTGTGCCGACCCATACGCCTGCGGCACCGTAGGATAGTGAAGCCGCAAGACCGCGCCCGTCGGCGATACCCCCCGCTGCAACGACGAGAACGGGCTTCCCGGTTAAAGGTGAGATGGATGTGCGGCAGAGATCGACGACGGCTGGGATGAGGATGCTGAAAGGCGTGTCGCCGGTGTGGCCTCCGCCTTCGCCACCTTGTGCGCAGATGATGTCGACACCCTGGGTGAGCGCTTTGGGGACATGCTTCGGGTGACCGACCATGCTGTACGTCGTTCATGAGTGATTGAGCGGAGGAAAAGGAAAATTGAATACGAACTTCATGACGTATATCCCTGCGCTATGCAGCTTGTCGACAACATGTTTCGGCGGGACGCCGACGGCGCATACGAAGAGTTTCGCGCCGCCCTCGATGATGACATCGACGAGTTCGTCCAGCTGGCCTTTCGTGTAGTCGTACTGTGATCTTGAGTCAGTACGCCGACAGTAAGAGGGAGAAATGACGACGAACGTTCGTCTTGCGTGCGTTACCGCCGACTTGGGGGAAGAGTAGATCGACACCGAACGGCGCGTTCTTGTCTTCGAGATGTTCCTTGATCTCGCGGATATTCTGCGCGAGGACCTTCGGCGTCTGACGGAGGCCGCCAATAACACCAATACCGCCTGCAGCCATCCGTTGAGCCCAAAGCCGCTGAGAGTTACACTTGAGAAGAGCGTACCAGAGTTGGTGACGACTGCCGCAAGACGCGGTCCAGCGGCAACGTTCATGCCGGCGAGCATGACGGGGTGGTTAATCCCGAACAGCTCCGTGAGGGGTGTACGAAAGACGGGCGGCGAAGACGGCATTGTCGATATATGAGATGGGAGGCTGAGAGAGAGGAGAAACAAGAGTGGAATGTCTGCCCTCGTCTGAACATATAGGCATGCGCGCAAAGCTAACGGGTGCAGAGCCGGTCATGGGATGCCACAGCCGGCATTCGTGGGCTACCGAGCCGGTCGACTGGGGCTGTAACTGGATATTTGCGTACGGTCATGGGTCCAGCAATCCCATCATGGGATCTACAAAGGCACAGAGCCACGTCTAATTTCTGTAGTGTAGATGGAGGTCGAGGGGCAAGGGAAAGATAATGGGCGTTCGTGAGAAGACGTCAAATCGACGGGTTCCGACGCGCCGAGCGGTAAAGTCAGCGCTCGGACGCGGACCACGATGGCGGACAAGTGCCCGGTCGACCACGCTTCTCTCGCTGCTGCCTCTGTATCCTCCTCCCAGTGTCCTGTTGACCATACAAAGTCAACACCTGCTCCGGCATCTGCCGACGCTTGCCCTGTAGACCATACTACACGGTCAACCTGGGCCTCGCTCAACCTCCCGCATTCCTCTACGACGCCTGCAGCACCGCTCCCTCCAAATACACCCAACATACTCTCCCAAGACCGCGAAATATCTTCCATCCCGCGTGGTGCTTCCGACGCGCCTACAACAGAGCAGAAATGGGTGTATCCGTCAGAAGCGCAGTTCTACGCCGCAATGGCACGAAAGGGTCATAATCCCCGTGCGAACGACATGAAGGTCGTTGTGCCAATACATAATGCGGTCAACGAGCGGGCATGGTTCGACATCATGAGATGGGAGATGGGACGGGGTGGGGAGGCTTGTGGGGGTGTGAGGCTTATTAGCTTCAAGGGGAGGCCGAAGGACGTTTCGCCAAAAGCGAAGATATTGTCGTTACTTGGGTAAGGCGATTGAACATAGCCTTTGATTTTCAAACTGATATGTGTATAGTTACTCGCTACCATTTGACCGACACGACTGGATAGTCGACCGTTGTGGCACTCGCGTCCGCTACGTGATTGACTTCTACACCGGTGCCGGTCCGGGCGCTTCTTTTTACCTTGACGCTCGACCGGCGCTTGATGGCTGGGAAGGTGTCAAGATGCGGGCCCAGGGCTGGGCGCATGAGATCATTGAGACGGCTAGGGCAACTTTCACCTCGAGTCCCGCGAGCAGTCCTAGTCCGCCGAAGGCTTGACTTATCTTTTACATTTCACTACCGTAGAGTCGCGGATTGCCTTGTGCGATGTACACTGTAACATATGCACTGCTAATCATACTACACTACTGAGCACAACACGAGCAAAACATGATCGAGCGAAAGAGATAAGCAAAGCACTACCGTTTGCCCTTGGTTTTTTGTCTCTTCGGCGGCGGCGCCCTCTCTTCGGGCTCGCTATCGCTGTCCTCATCTTCGTCTCCGCTGACTTCACCCTCGGTGACCTCTTCCTCGTCATCCCAATCCTCCTCCTCATCTACGGCACCCTCGTCTTCGTCGCCGCTGTATACGCCCATAGCATCGTCGTCGTCCTCCGCCCCACTGACATCCTCGTCATCGACCTCGCCATCCTCGCCATCACCTTTCTTTCCCTTCTTTGCAGCGGCCTTTTTCCGTGCCACGTTCGCCTCCTGTTCGGCCCTACGCTGCTTTCTCAACTTCTCCCTCTCCGCATGTTCCTTCTCCTGCTTCGCCGTCTCCGACTTGCTCTTCTTAACTACAGCAGTTGTCAGCGCTGTCTTCTTGGATGGAGATAGATGTCGACTTACTAAATTCGTGGAAGATCACCGCGCCTGGCCGTCCCGGAATACCCTCCGTGATCTTCACAAGCCTCAACTCCATCCTCGGCCCAATCTCGTCGAGCCTGACGGCGCGCTTGCTCCCCTTCTTATTATTCCTCCCCACGTAATCGTCCGCCAGCCGCACTGTATTCCCCTCCTCGCCCTCCGCCGCACTACTTGCGTACCCATCGCTCGTCGTACCCGTCTCATATCCATCTGTGCCGGCACCCTTTCTCCTCAGCACGAAGTCGGCGATGTCTTTCTCGTTGGAGAGGTCTAGGGGCGTGTGGGATGTGGATGGGTCAAGTACTTTGCGGACGCGTTTGGATACGCCGGCGGGTTTGACGGCTATGCGATAGTGGCGCCAGTCGAGCGTTTTGCGGGCAGGGTCGTATGAGATTAGGACGACGCGGCGTGCGGAGGAGAGGGTTAAGGTGTGTGGTGAGAGAGGCGGGAAGAGGGATTGGAAGGCCTTCATTACGAGAGGTAGGTGCGGAGGTACGCCGGGTCCTGGTGGAGGGAAAGACGCTAGTACGAGCTGTATGCGATGCGTTTAGCATCGGGCAAACATGGCTAGATATGAGGAATGATACATACAAGCGGCGGACTCATGTACTCAACCTTGCCAATGCTCTTCGCATGCCGACTAGACGCCAGTACGTCCTTGATCAAGCTATACCGCTCGACCCTAAAACTGAGCGTCGGACCATCGCTAAGCCTCGCAATCCTCAGACTCGGTGCTTTATCCGTAAGAGTAAACGCAAGTAGATGCGAGACTTTGAGTGCAGGCGCCATGGTCAAGTAGTCTTTGAGTTTATTCCGTGCGCGTTCCTTCAAGATGTCTGCTTTCAGTTCTTAGGCCCTGTATGTGGAAGAAAGATGGGAAGGAAGGACGTACGCGTAGACGTGATGCAGTATTGGGCTCCATTACGCGTCGTATATCGCGTACTAGTTGAGTGAGAGAGGAGCCAACTTGGCCGTGCTTTACAACAAATGAACGAGGGACGCCGTCCGGTCCTCCTGTGGGGACAGGGACGTGCGTACGCGTTTTCCTTCGACGACCCATAGTGTCAAGCGTTCAAAGCCGATCACGTTCCCAGACTGGTGATGTGTAAACTTGATAAGCCTTCAGTTCAGAAACTACCGAGATACAGAAACTAGGCAGAAGTGCAGAGCAAGCCGAGTGAACGCAGAACTCAAAGTCTGTTCGAAAAGTTCGCGCCACGCCCGGTCCCGCGCCGATGTGCCGGGATCGACGCGTCCACGTGCTTGACGCGTTGTCGTCGCGACCCAGTTTGGTCGGAGCCGCTGACCTGTCTCGCCCGCCTCTGGGCTCTCAAGCCAAATGGCCCTGGTTGCCCTGGCCTGGGCCGGACGTAAACATGATGAGACCGAACATGTCCTCCACGGAGGCCGGTGGGGAACATCGAATACACCCTCTTGATCTCCTACCACCATCTGGAGCAATTGGCTTCGCCTTGGCTTGATCCCGTCAACGTTGCTATCCCCCGCACACGACTACGCTCTACGACCCACCACCTATCCACGACATGAGCCTCTACCTCAAGAGTACGCGTACAGCTCTGCTCTGCTAGGTGATGGTATATTGATTGGGTTTGTGCGTGTAGCTTTCTGGGTCCTCGGCTGCGACGCCCTCTCCCTGCGTAACAGCACGGCATACTGCACTATCTCCGTCGACGGCCAGCAAGTCAAGAAGACGCACACCCAACACACAGACAGTGCATCTCACTGGGTCACCAACGCTCACATGTCCGCCCTCTTTCCCAACTCCATGACCCTTAATGCGACTGACTTTTCGACCTTCAGCAATGCTGATGCATCCCAGACAGTCACTATCGACCTCTACGACGGCCAGACAGACGAATGCTTTGCATCCTGCGACGTCCGCGCGGTTGACATCGCGCAGTACACTAGTACGCCTCGTTCACTCTCCCTACATGCATTCCCCCGCTCAACGCCCGATGTGCATTTGTAGCCGGCACTATGACCTGTCCCTTGACCCGTGGCCAGGGCTATCTCGCGCTCAAACTCGTAGACGTGTCTATCCCGACGTCCGGCAAGCCCGCGGTGTTTGCTGCGTCCGCCTCTGCACCCATCGCCGCATGAGCTTGGGCTTCCAATTGTTCGCTATGGATTTTTTGTACGATATACCCCCCAATGGCCCGTTGCGGTGTAAGCTTCTGGCTTTAGGCTTCTCTTCATAGCTCGAGATGTACACGTCCAGATTCTACTTCGCAACGGCTCGCTTCGGTTCTCATGTCCGTGTCCTTGTACCACTGCTGCATATCCTCCCCTCTCCCATCCCCATCTCTAGCAAATATCACTGTGGAATCTCTTTCATCCCAAGCTTTGCGACTTCCAAGGACGTGATGCACGTTGCGCGACTGTATGCTTGTCATATGGATAATTCTCCGAGCGGTGAGAGCGGGATGACGGGAGACGGAGACGTCTCCGTTACCGCCGGGAACCATCGGGGTGAACACCCTCGACTTGCCTCTACTTTAGAAAGGGAAGCTAGAAGACTCTGCTGCACGGCAGAGAGAACTAGAAGGCGTATCCAAAGACGGAGAACATCGGACGACCAGTACTGGGCTTGTGGGTCATAATGGGTAGCCGCTCGGGCCGAAGTTCCCGAATCGTGACCTCAGACCCGCGAGTCGCGTCACACCTTGCCTTTCGCACTCGCCCAACACTCTACTCGCCCCGTTGCTCAAACCGTCTTTGGTCTTCATCCCGCTGGGCGATGCACATGCTTTGAGCTCGTGATTCCTGACCGCCTTGCAGGCCGAGCGGATGGAGATGAGTGCAGGGCGGGGGCTTGAGATCTTGAGATCTCAAGGCGTCGGATTGACCCAATAGTCTGTGCATAATCCCGCGACAAGTTCGCGGCTTTCCAAGATAGTATGATAGCTGGACGAAATGAACAAAATATTACAGATTATAAGAGGTGGCTGATGTCAATCTTCTCCCGACGCGACCTGCTTTTGTTAGGGCGGTAGACTGCATCCTCAAACCCGTCGTCGTCGTCTTCGCGACGTTTCCTCTTTCCCTTCCCGAAGCTCAACGACTTATTCGCAGACTGCAGTAGACAAAGGAGTAGTCAGAACATATCACTATGTGATAGGATATGTCTGACAGTACGCACCGGCTTTGCCTTCGGGGCCGCAGAAGCCTTCTTGGTAGCGGCTTTCGCGTCCTTGGGCTTGGATCTAGTTTTCCCCTGTAGAAAGGGTCAGACGTACTCCAGACGTTCAACAGAGAGCATTGACTTTAAATCTGGGCTTCTTCTCGTCTTCCGAGTCTATTTCTCCAGCCGCTTTCGCGCGCTCTTCTTCCGCCTTCTTCGCCGCCCTCATCTCCTTCCTTTCTGCATAATCGCGCTGCCACTTCGGTTCCCAAACGGCATTCTTCTCCACGATGCTTTTCTGGAAGTCTTTATCGAACGATACACAGTTCAGCACATAGACCCCAAGACGCTATTGTTCGATGTGAGTCCATCCATGTACGACAACACCATACTCGGCGAAGACTGACCTCCTTCCCTTTATTGAAGTCCGCCTCGATTTCATCCGCAGTGACTTCGCCCTTCCACTTATCCTTGCCCTTGGGCTTCGTCGCGGCCTTGAACTCCTGTCGCGTCGGTTCTTGGCCGCCATGTTCCCGGCGATACTTGACACGATATCGGATGTGCTCGCCCCATTCAAACTTAGAAAAATAGCTGGCCCAGGCACGGCGGAACTATGCACACCGAAAATAATGAGCGCCCTTAAAGAATTGCACCACGGAGCGGCTCACCTTCGGCGTCTGAGCGCGCCACTCGTCTTTGGTGAGGTCTTCCACGCGGATCCTCTGGTAATGTCCAAGATACCATGTGTGCCAGCCGCCCAGCCCTATACACAAGCGCCATATACCGCTCCGGTTCTTGGGGACATCCCCATTCTCTATTTCTTTCGCCTTGATTTCTAATGAAATGGTTCGCATCAGACGTCTAGAATCACGGTCACGTATCCAAACCCACCATCATTGCTCATACGTTCTCCGTCCTCATTCAGCCACTCGTCCTCTTCCACGAAAGCGCCATCCGCAGGCGTCCAATGCCCCAGGTCGAACCAAATTCCCGGCATTCCCGGGAACCTGGGAGCTGAGGGATGGGTCTCGACAGGGATGAACAACCAGTCGTTAAGTTTGTGCTTCTCCCAATTAACGAAAGACGGCTCCAGATACGTCCCGACGTTGCCGCCACCATAGTAATGAGAGATCCAACACCGATGAACTGTCTGCTCCAAATCTTCCGCCTTGAGATCGATGTTGAACTGCTTAGCACGGACTTTCGCTAGTCGATCGGCTAATGTAACTTGTGCAAGCTCTTCGAGTTTAGGCTTGACATCTGGCAGCTCTGAAGCACGCGGCACCTATTCCGAGTCGGCCAAGGCGTCAGCTCATAATGATGAGTATAGATACAAACAAAAGTGAGGCATGCCTTGATATCCGGGGGAGGCGAAGCGTGAAGTAGGAGGGCATCATCATCCTCAAGAATCTCTGCTTTTACACCCGTTCGTGCATGCTTCGCAGCGCTGGTACGGCCCTGCATCGGGAATACCGTGTATGAGCCCAACACAGTCAATGAATACGATTACTTGAAGCTGACCCTACCCGAGCGCGTGCCCGTTTTGGTTGCCGCACTCGCCGAGGGTGCGACGGATTGAGAAGTAGGTGACCTTGGTGGGGATTGAGGCCTTTGTTGTTCATCGTCCATGGTCACATCCACGTCGCGCGGGTTCAGTCGCAAACTTTTGTGCGCACGTTCGATAGGTCGGTCTGGTGTCTCATTCATCCCGTGGCCAGATGGTAGGGAGGAGAGGGAGGAGAGAGGAGCCTCAGAACATGGCTGTTTAAGGCCACGTCTGGAAGATGTCGAGGAGGGCGGGCCCATTGATTCTGACTTGTGTAGGTGGTGCGGTGAAGCTTCTTCCTTTGGCATAGCCTCAGGTGGAGTGATATTTGCCCAAGGGTCTGGCCGCTGGGAAGGCTTGATCTTAAAGCGAGAGATGAACATGCCGCCCATCGCCAGGTGCGGATCAGGATTGCATACCTCGTCTTTGATATCTTCATTCAACTCTGCCTGGGTATGTCTCGCATGTTGGCTAGGCGTGTCCGTCTTTAGTGGCTTGATCTGTGGTATCGTTTAGTCACGCCTCCCAGTCGTGCGCAAGTGTACAGACGTCGTGTTCATCGTCTACCTTTAGCTCTGGCTTAGCCTCCGCAGATGGTGCAGTGTTGGCGTGCATCGAACCCATGCACACTGCAGAAGAGAGATGACTGGTTAAGTGCGTGGTTACCGCGGTTGAAAGCAAGGTCTCCACGCGTCGTGGTTGCAAGCCGAGGTCGCCGTGTCGAGGTCCACGGACTGTGGGAAGCGCCACATGTCCGGATTCGGCAACCGGCGTTGCTTGGACGCAGACCAATCGCAGCCCTTCACTTGAACCTTCATGGGCCTTCAGTACTCAGTACTCCCCCTCATCCCAACCTGTAGGGACACCAGTGTATGACAACGAGCTATCGTATTCGAATGCTACCGGCGTGTCTTTCGCGCGCATGAGCATTCGCTTCTAAAGAAAGCTCTTCAGGAGTGCGCGCTCCGTAACAGCTTTTCACGCTGTGTTTCGCCCGTTGCCACTGGGCCGCCACAGGCACCTGCGATGCCAAGAGCACCTCCTACTCCGACCCACGGCCAACTCTTGGCGGCTATGCGATGGAGATATGCTATGTGTACACTGCAAGTACGTCTGTAGTGCTAGAAACCGATGCGATTGCCAAGATACGCGCAGCTTCACCGCCGACCGAGAATACTGTACGGATCGAATCTCAGATTATTTGCTACTCTTACTCTCGAGACGCGCAACCCCAGAAATGTATGCCAGCACTCATCTTTCAAGACAGATAGCGCTCACAGCTGAGCGCGCTTCAGCTACCCTGACCCACTGGCATGCGCCAGTATAAGCTGGCTCTATCGCCTTAAGTTTCCCCAATTGTTTGCTGTATACAAATTCGCGTGCGGCTCAACCACAGCATCAGCGCTCGTCAAATGCACCGACCCTTAGGTACGTAGTGTGCGCTGTTTTCTGAACCGAGTTATTCCTTTGCCATAGAGCTCAGTGTGTGTCCAGCCCAAGACAGGCTGAACCGAGACAGGCTGAACAACCGTAAACAGGGTTTCGAGGCTCTTTTAGTTGCTTCTGTACCTCCAGTAGTGAGGTTCCGGATGAGCGGGTTATCCTACCTACGACGTGACATTGTGCTTTCACTGGATATATCACATAATAAATCCGAACCTCATCAGCGCTCGGATGTGGTACGGCTAGAGTTCGCCTCTTGGTTTCATGTCCATGCTGCTTGCAAAGGCTCACATTGCTCCTAGAGTAAGGCAAGGGCTCGGTAAGGCTTTCGATGGGCATATAAAAGACTGGGCATCCCTAGTGATAAACCGACATCGTTGGCTTCCTCTCGAATCAGCGCAATCCAGTCTCTTCACTTCTTCAGCTCTTCCGAAAGAATGCTCTCTACTCGCTTCTTGATCTTCGCTATAGTTGTCGTTGCCGCCAATACCGCTCGTGCTGAGACGCACACAGTGACTTTCACCAACAAATGCGGTTTGGGTACTGTGAGCCGTCTTGTACCTTCGACAGCGTCATAACGACTGACGGTGACCGTGCTTCTAGCCTACGCTTATTCAGGGCGGTAAAGTTTTGTCCACCGGCAGTCCGTTTACGAGCAGTGGTCCGCTGTCGAGCGCAATTGCGTACCTACAGACTGGCTCGTGTGGATTCAATGGGGAGTCGTAAGTGCTATCACTCTCATTGTCATCTGATTAGTATCCTGATATCTTTGACTCAAGGTGCACTCTGAGTAAGTCTGCTGTTGGGTCTTCGCATGAAGACGGTAGCTGATGCATTGCACGTTACAGTTGAGACTACTCTTGTGAACCCCACGGTGCCCGGTGGAGGCTCGAGCACCGATATCTCGCTCATCGCGCCGTGAGCACCCTCCATCTGTTTCCTTCCACAATAAGGCTCACCGAGTCGCGCGTAGGCATACTTTCAGTGTCACTACTGGTGGGTCTCATATTATGGGCATGGATAGACGTTTACAATCGACGTGGTTCAGGCTTTGGGTACTACAACGGTTGCAATGGTGCCGGTGCCGACTGCACGAACGCGAACTGCCCGACGGCATTCCATAACCCCAACGACAACCAGGTCCAAGTTTCCTGCCAAACTGACAATGTACGTTGACGACGCACAGAACCGAGTATGCACCCTTATGAGCACCTCATAGGTCAACCTCGCGATCACATTCTGCGACTAAGTGAGCTATGCTCCTGCGCGGACGACGAAGTGGGTATTATGGGATCGGCGATATCAGGAGAAATGAGTATGCTCCTGGTTCGGAGGCTCTTTCCAAGCAACTGTTTTGTCGCGAATGTCGGTCCATAGATATAGCGGTGCCGTATGCACCTCTTACTTCTTCACCCAGTCAAGGCCCAAGCACTGGGTCTATCCAGAAGTAGACTCAAGTGGCAGACAATGACGCTCACAGCGATCCGTATGAGAGCTGATGGAAGTAGCGGACAAGTTGTGGCCCGTGAGTCTGGGCCCAGGCGGTAGACGCTCATGGGCGCAGATCGAACGGCTGCCGACGGGCCGACCCAAGGCCGACCCGCGGCTCGCACAACTCCGAGCGTCTCTTGTTGCTTTCTGCCATCATGATGATCTCAGGTGCAGAGTAAAGAAACAATCCAACGCTTGCCCCTGTACTCAAGTACTCAGGCTGCATGAACGAGATCTTTGAAGACTTTAGACCTCAGGCTCAGAACGGCGAGCTGTGTTTTTCACTCGGCTCATACGGAACAGGCCGACGACATTTTGCTACAGCTCTCTCAACGCCCGTGGCGCTGCACGATCGTGCCTTTCCAACGGCAGGAGTCGCAGGACCATGCACTCATGACTGCTCTGAATCGTTCAAGCGAGTATATTTAGCTCCAGAAATGGCCATCAAACTCGCGCGCAGCTCAAAGCACACGGACATGCAGGGCTCGACGTCAACTGGCCCTCTGGATGCCCTACGCTCCTACGGGCTGTGGGTTCCGTCCACCATTCAATTGAGTTCGTGGCCCTATCTTCCGAGGTACATCCCCTGCCGACTCCTTAAGGTAATCAGGGCCTCGATTGAACAGCCGCGCAGTCAAAAGCGTTGATCGCGCGAGCATACTCTGACCGCCTCGGCTTACCGGACTTCTGTGCCGCCTGTGGCACCCTCGAAGACGCCAGAAACGAGGTCAACAATTCCGGGTTACCAGCGTACAACCACACAGTACGCTTTGCCACCCATCCGAGCTTCTGAAGATCCCCGCTAATCAGGTACGAAGCTTTACCAGGCGTACACGCAGCCGTAAAAATCAGATCACTCTAGCATCAGCATCGCGCGGACGCTGCCGTATGGCCTGTAAACTCTCCAGTGTCTGGCTTTTAGCCCATCTGAACTGCACATGCATCCCCGACAGCAATATCATAACGTACCTTGACGTGCATGTCCGACCCACGTTCAGCAAAGTTATATAAAAGCGCTGTCTTCCAACTTCAGGAAGGGCATCGCCAGCCGATTATTCTAGCCAGCGCTCTCTTACTCGAGTTCTCTCACTTGACAATGTTCTCTATCCGCATCTTCACTGCTGCCGCTACCCTGCTCGCTGCTGTTGCGAGCGTCAGCGCTGAATCGCACACCATCACCTTCACCAACAAGTGCGGGTACGGAACTGTAAGCCCCGGCTGGCATATACTCAACTCCACTCAGTTGCTGACGCTCACCTCACAGCCCACTCTCATCAGCCAGACCGGCACTGTGCTCTCTACCGGTGGTGCCTACACCGTCGGCGGACAGCTCAATGGTGCGATTGCCTACCTCCAGACAGGCTCATGTGGCTTCAACGGCGACGGCTGCACGATGAGTACGTAGTCAGATATTCTATGGCAGTCACTGATGCTCACGCGTTGACATTACAGTCGAGACGACGCTCAAGAACCCTACGACGGCCGGCTCGGGCTCGAGCACCGACATCACTCTCATTGCTCCGTGAGTGATTGCCCATCTCTCGTGGGCCTCAAAGACTAATCACATCTCAACCGCGCAGCCATGCCTTCAGCGTGACCACTGGTAAGTCTGAAAGCTACTGTGTAGGATCTGTCTCTAACCGATCTCGATAGGTTTCGGATACTACAATGGGTGTGACGGTGCCGGCGCGGACTGCACCAACGCCAACTGCGCGACGGCGTTCCACGTTTCGACGGACACTCAGGTCCAGGTTGCATGCCAGACTGACAACGTGCGTCCCCAGCCCGCACAGCCTCTTTATCGTTTAGTCGATTCATATTGATCATACTTGCACAGGTCAACCTTGCCATCACCTTCTGCGACTAAACGAATCGTCGGGCTCGCTCTGCAACAGGGTCAGCAGTATCCTGTTGCCTATGTGAGGCAGCGTCTCTTTGGGTCTATGTACATCGCGCTCTATAATCATTCCCTCTGGGTTGAAGAAGTAGTTGAATAAAGTCTGTATACATCTATGCCACTCGGTTTACCTTGTACGATTGAGTCGAACTTGAATGCCCCTGGCTCCTTCATCATCGAGGTAGGTGCACTGAAAGCGTCATGCACGACCACTAAGCGCTAAAGGGCAATCCGCTCCTACTGGCGAGAGCGGCACTAGACGTACCGTGCCGGCGTTACAGGTATAGGTGCGCGCTGTTGCGGATTGCTGCGCTGTTACACAAGGAGCCACTGTGGCTCCAAGCCAAAGCCTTCCACCGCTAAGTATGTCCGTGGCCTTCGCCACAGCGACTTGGGCAAAAGCGGTAAGCGTCGTTCCCACACCCGGAGCGCCCAATCAACCACACCGCCCTCCACCTGTCACGGCTCGCATACGTAGCGTACGCGCGTCCATTCGGCAAATAGCACGATATGAATATAGGGGAGTGAGATACTACAGCATAGTGGCGATCGGCGCCAAGAGAGTCTGCGAGTCTGGCTAAATAGCAAGAGGGGGTTTACGAAGGTCGAAGTGGGGATGGAGGGAGCGGAGGGATCGAGCACACAGTACGAGACCGAGAGAGACAAGGCAGTAGGAGACTACTGGATATATGAGCAGGCGAGAACACAGGAAACAGGAGAACCATGTTACAGCAGGGGGATTGACGAGAGATACGAGCACGAGACGAGGGAGCGACGGGCGGGTATACCGAGGACGCGGGGAGGCAGGGACCTAAAGCAGGGCTACAGCACGGGTCGCGGATGCGATATGGATGCGGGAGAATGGAAGCACGGAGAACGAAGAGCAAAGCAAGACAGTGATATGTTATATGGAGGGATTATGGCTATAGCCGGGCGGGAGGATAGTGATGTGTATGGAGCGATGCGGTGGTAGACGGGAATGAGGGAACGAGGAGCCAAGGATCCGGATTAAATAGAACAGGAAGCAGAGGGAGCGAGGTATGGAAAGAGCAAAGCAGTGAATATAGCGATGTAAGAGTTCGAGGGATGGATGATGGGCGCGCGGTTTAGAACTCGCCGAACTGGAATCCGACGACGTCGAACGCGGCGCTAGAGCCTGTCTCCGGTGAGCGAGGCTCAGGCCGTACCAGTCCCGGAATGTCCTCCATGGGCGGGAGCGCAAGACGTGCGAAGTAGCGCGTGTCGTCGGGCCCCATGACGTGTGGCACTATGGGCGCACGTATCTCCCTGCGTTCGAGCTGGTTCCAATCGACGCCGCGGAACCATGCATGGGAAAGCACATCGGCTGCACCGCGCGCGCGCGAGCCGAGGCGCTGCGAACGGTCCGTAGTGAGGAAGCTCTGCACGAGTTCACGCGAGAGCGGGTCCATGTCGCGCGGCCAGGCTGGGCGGTTTGCGAGAATGCGCTCATAGATCCCGTAGGGTAGCTCGTCGAAGAAAGGCGGGTAGCCGACCATCATCTCGTATGCGAGCACGCCGCAAGCCCACCAGTCCGCCGGCTTGCCGTGGCCGTCGTTCTGGATAATCTCCGGCGCAAGATATTCCGGGGTGCCACAGAGGGTCCATGTGCGATCATCGACGACCTTCGCAAAGCCGAAGTCGGTAAGGCGGAGGTATCCACGGGCGTCGAGCAGCAAGTTCTCGGGCTTCAAGTCGCGGTAGATTATATTGAATTTGTGAAGGTAACGGAGGGCGAGAACGATGATGGCGAGGTAGAAGCGAGTGACGTCGGGCGTGAAACGCCCAACGCGTCGGAGGTGGGTGAACAACTCGCCACCAGGAACATACGACAGGAGCATGTAGATGTTTAAGCTGTCTTGGAAAGTCGCGAAGAGGTCCACGACAAAAGGATGCCGAACGCGCGACAGAATGTGGCGTTCGGCCTTGACATGTTCAACCTGGCGCAGGCGAATGACCTCCGTCTTGCGTAAGACCTTCAAAGCGAAGCACTGGCCAGCCGGGGCGTGGCTCTTGTGCCGGACAAGCAGCACCCGGCCAAATGTTCCCGTTCCTGTAGACCGCATCAGTTGGGTGCTCAATGAAACGATGGACAATCATTTTGAGACGTACCGAGCGTTCCCTTGACCTCAAAGTCGGTGAGCACAAGGTTGCGGTACAGACGGTCGGGTTCGTTCTCGAGGAGACGCAAAGGCCGATTGGCCGCCTTTTCCTGCTCTGAAGTATCCTCGGGAGCCTGCATCTCAGAGTCGGCCTCGGCAGCTGCCGTGTTGGTCGACGCGGACGGTGCTGGCGAAGTAGCGCGTGACGAGTGGACAGACTGAGACGGCCTGGAGACAGACTCCTCCTCGTCGACGGTGATATCGTCGAGTATTTCCTCGGACTTTTCACGTTCGGGTGAGAGAGGGGGAGACATGTTGGCGTCCGAGTCGTCGACGACGGTGACGACGGCTGAGGATCTGCGTTCGCCTGCAAAGGTGGCCGTCGGAAGAGAAGGCTCGCGAGGTGATATTGCCTGCATCGCTTGTAAGGCTGCGCGGCCTGGTTCGATTATGAGATTCGGGCTAAAAGAAAGGCGCGGGGACAGGCGGAGAGGCGCCGTCAGAGTCGTATGGCCGGATACAGACTGCGATTTATTTCCAGATGATATATCCGCCAGCGCCCCAGGCGACCTCGGGTCCTCGCGATCGGCGGCAACAGCGGGCGAGGCGCGGATGACAACCAGGAGCAAGAAGTTCACAACAATAAATCAGTTCCGGCACGACGGGCCCGCCTGACTGACGTTTCTCAGGCCGCTTCCGTCGCCACATGTCACGGAAATAGTATCTGACAGCTCGCATCAGTAGGGAAACCAACCTCCCATGGACATACGACACAGCGAAACCGTGGCGCCCATGCTCACACCCTGCTGCGAATACGCGCACGGCCATAGGGCCGGTGATGCCTGTAATCCGTATGCGGCGCCCACACCAGGCGCGCGCTGGGTAAGCTTACGCGCCCAGCATGCATCGGGCTTGTTCCCCGCCTTCGTGTCCTCCCAAGCATGGCGGCTGTATTAAGAGTCGACGAAGGATACCAGACTGTGTCTACCACCCCAGACGCTCCTGAGCCCGAACCCGTGGATATGGGCAGCAACGAATACGTCCTCAAGTCCGAGTACAGGCAAGGGGATACCATAGCTGGCCTGGCGGCAGGAGGCGCAGCTGCCGTACGTCTGCTCTATTATACTTTGATTTCCACATGATCTAACAGCCGCATAGCTCATATTCACGACGTCGCTTCTCCTCATAGCGTTGAACAATCCTTTCGCTCTGTCTTGGTTCACATGGCATGCGCCATCGAATACTCTATCACTTCTAGTCCTGGTTCTCGCTGTCGCACAACTACAACCAACAGCGAACCCGCGCACGAAAGCCGCCGGGCTATCGCGCCACTGGCTTGGTGCAGCTCCCGCGATACTGCTCGTGGTACTCGGCACAGCCGCGATGTTCACCAATAAGGTTATACACGACGCATCGCACTTCACAACATGGCACGGATTGTGCGGTATCATCGTTACTGCGTTGTTGGTTGCGCAGGCAGCATTCGGCGCGAGTACCGTATTCTTTGACGGGAAGGTGTGGGGCGGATCAGCGAAGGCGAAGATATGGTGGAAGTACCATCGGTGCGCATGCGACCATATCGGTGTACTTGGTCGGAAGCGCTGATTGATGATCTTAGGTTGAGCGGGTACATCGTCATTCCCCTCATGCTGCTGACCATCCACCTCGGCGGCGCGTGGTCCACCTGGGTTCAGATGCATACGGCCTTCATTGTACGCCTGTTTGCATACACGCTGGCCCCTATCGTCGTTGCATGTGGGCTGGTTGCACGTATAAGGTATGCACGGGATGGCTTGAATGCAGACGGGCAGTGCTGATACATGATACATCCAGACCAAGTAAGATGAACTTCTCATGAGTACAGTGGGTGTCTCTATGTGCAGTGTTGGCCGTCGAGTACGTTTCATAGATCCTGATCATATGCTACATACACGGTATACAAGATAAACTTTCATATGGACTCGAAGCAAGATGGTGTCCGGCGAAACATCCGGAATCATGATAGGCCAAGTACGCGTCGCATTCCCGGAGATCATGGCCGGCGGAAACATGCTTGTTCAAGCCATATACCCAAGACTTCATTGGGACGAAATCGCGAGCGTGCAAGAACGGGCTGGGAGCAAGTAACAGAGATGCATGAGGGCATGAGCTTCAGAAGCACGCGTGCTCGGCGCGTGGTTGCGAGCCTCGTGCTCCCAGGTGATGGAAGGCGTCACACGGTATGACCAACGAGAGACGAAACTAGACACCATAACTTCCATGTACGTATCTTAATCACAACGTAGAGACTACGTGCAGACCCGTCTAGAACAAAACTCCCTTGACCTGCTCGATCTCTGACACCTTGATGTTCTTGATCAACAGGACGCACAAACACGCGAGGCCCATGACGGCGGTACCCGCAATCAACATCCTGCTTTGCGCCTCAGCATATGCCAGGCTGATAGCCTCCCGAACAGGGTCGCCGACGGGATAGCTGAGCTGGACGTCCAGGGAGTCGTAGATTGTCTCCCAATCCGCCAAAGCATCAGCAGGGAGGTATTTTTGAAGGGCGTCGGGAAGCGTGTTGGTCCAGATCGCGCCAGAGATAGAGTTGCCAACTGCGCCACCGAAGTAACCGAACAGGCCGAGGAGGGCGAGCATGGCAGCCGCGTCCTTGTGCGAGCCCGCGGCGAGAACGGCGACTTGCTGGACAATAGTGAAGGAGGAACCGCCGATAGCGATGAGGATCTGGGTGAATACGATCCAGCCGACGGAGTGACCGGGCTTGCGGAAGTAGATCATAAGACCCTCCCCGAGAGTGTACAGAGGAACGCCTACAGTTGATGAGAACGAATATAGTCGTACTCATGACAAATACACGCACCGACGTAGAGGAGCCACTTATACTGCCCGGTCCGACGGATCAAGTAGCCAACCGGGAACATCCACACGGCTGCGACAACGTCGTAGATTGAACTGATGTAACCAGCTGTACTGATGGACAGGTGATACACGACCTGAAGGTAGGAAGTGAAGTAGCTAGAACCAGTGGTCGTCAGGGGCCGGTTCACAAGGACAAACATGCGCGGCAGGCTCACCTGTACCAGCAGTAATACGCGATCTGCCAAGTGAAGTCGAGCAAGCAAGCACCGAGAACAGTGCGCGAGGTGAGGAGATGGTACTGAACGAACGGCTTGGGCGAGAAGAAGCGCTCGACAATGACGAAGGCCACAAGGCAAAGGATACCGAGGACAAGCATGACGATGATGTGAGCAGTCCTCCATTCGTTGGCCGCTGATGCCGCGATGGAGAATGGAACGAGGAACAGGACCATGCCGGCGGACACGAGGAAGACACCAAGGACTAGGCGAGAGATGTGTGATCAGTAAGGGAAGATCCAGTAGCAAAAGTGACCTTACTGTCAAACTCGATGAGGTAATGAATCGTCAACTGCACCCAAGTCTTGTCCGACTTCACCTTGGCCAGCTTGCCGAGCTTCTCCGCCTTCCGCTTGTGCCACTGCATGATCCCGAAGAATGGCAGGCCAACGACGGGAAGGATGATGGCAAAGCAGCCAAACGCCCACCTCCAGTTGTCCTCGTAGAAGCGTTGGGAGATGGCGGGGCCAGCATAGGCGGTGATGATCCACGGCGAAGCGGTGAACGCGTAAGCGAGCCCTCGATCCTTAAGTTTCGACGTGTCCGCAGTGTAGACATCGACGGTGAAGATGATACCGATGAAGCCGACTGAGTAGAAGCACTGCCGTATCCGCCTCAGTACCAGCATCGTGTGCATATTCAGTGAAGATAAGACTCACCTGCGCGGCACAGTATGTGTAAATGTCGGTACATGCGGCACTCAAGATCAAACCAATGGTTGCGAAGGCGGTCATGACGAGGTAGCCGTAGCTACGGTCCCAAAGGTCGAGGATCTTGGCAAGCACCATGTAGGCGACGGCACTCATGACGTTGGACACGATTGAGATGACGGGGATGAGGGAATGCTCCTCGAAGCCGGATGTCACAAAGGCCGTCAAGTTGCTTGTAATGGAGGACTGGAAGGCATTGACGGCGTAGGTGAGCCAAAAGCTATCAAGGGTACCCATCAGTTCATGTGCAGACTCAGTGGGTGAGATGGCGCGACACACAAGATGTAGACCGTCGTAAGCGACGTCTTCGACCAAGTAGCAGTGATCGCCTCGGCCTGCCTGACACCGTCCTGGACGCTAGCTCCGTCGTTGACAGCCTCCTTGTCGCCATCGCCACGAACAAGATCGGGAAGAGCGTGAGTCTCGCCGTCAAGGATCTCCTTGCCGTCGAACCCTAACGAGCCTTCCTCAGCGGCGTCGACATGAGCACCCGTCTCTGTCAGATTGAGCTGTTGATCGACCTTCATTCTACAGGATGCTGAGTCAGTGTATAGGTTGGTAGCCCGATATAGCCAATGCATGCATACTTAAGTGACTACGATGGGGGATCGTAGACGGTAGTCAATCAATCTCGTAAGGCCTATAGCCAGGTCAGAACGGGAACACGTCTCACGGAGTCGAATTTACTCACCTCGACCGAAGACCGGGGGAGATGAACAATGGGAGGCAAAAAGCCAGTCCACACTACCAGGTATCAGTAAGTAGCAGTCAATGACCATACAGATGACTGCTGCGCACCTCGAACGCTGGGTAAATGAAGCGGACGGGTAAGGAACCTCATTTCACCTGCATTGCATGGTTTAAGTACGCTCTACTACTCAGGTCCATGCGCATGCCGGCACGACATATCAGATTAGATTTTCAGCCCGCCGGCGGCTAAAAGCCCCCTGATCCAGGCTCGGGAGCGGAGACAGGCGGCGTGAAGAGGACCTGCGCAGACGGCGGAAGGGGCCCTGGAAAGCCTGTTTGCCTGCTGTTGCCACCTCGTACAGCTACGTACATGTTGAAGGACTATAGGAAAGGCATCGTATAGAATCAAGTCAAGCTCTGACACAACGTTCGAGTAGAGAGGTTGGAGGTCGGTGCGAGAGAAGAGATCGCACGTTGGAAAGAGGAAGGTCTGCCGGCGCGCGATGATCGAATCAAGCTCGATATCTGATAATAACTCAGGCACTCCTATGATCGACGTTCAAGATCGGGGCTGCGCGTCCTGTTCCGGGTCCTGGCGGCACGGATGGTGGTAGACCTGGTAGCCACAACCAGAAGCTACTACGATTGATCGTTATTGATACTTCCAGTCCATGGGTATTGCAGGGGATCGCACCATGTTTCAAGAGCCAACTATGATCTCCGTCACCAGTGTCCAACTATGCAATACTTTGACAGATACACACTCACCTCTATATACGAAGGATCCAACCCGTGTCGAAGGCCCAAGGTGTCATCCTCAGTAGGCCTGCTCCGCTTTGGTGGATATGAAGCTTGTGGAAGTTACAAGGGTTGCTGCCTCTAGAGTCGGGGGAGTCTAAGCAGACCGCTCGATATTGACGTATAGTATGAAGTAAGCGCCGTGAGATCCCTCTCCATGCCTGGTCATGTAGTGCATATGAGCATGGGGGTTGGGCACCAGTGTATAGCCCGTCACAGTCAAACCTAACCACGGCCCGAGTCCCGTTCGGCGCCGGTGGACCGAGTGTGGCGTTTCCCACAGTCCATGGACCTCGAGGCAACGACCATCGACGGCGACGCGACAGCAACGCGTTGCGCGTCTTCTCCTCCCGCGACGTACTACTTTTCGATACTTCTGTCAGCTGATTCCTCAATCAGAATGGTTGGACCTAGGAGGACGTCCAGAAAAACAGGCATCAAGAAAGAGGATATCAAGAAAGAGGATATCAAGATAGAAGTGCGTTTCCTTGATACGTGCGAGAATGAACCATGTGCTGATTCTTAGAAAGACAGACGCCTTGGAGGAACCTGATGCCTGGAAAGGCGTTCCTAGTACTGAGGCTAAACCTAAGAGAGAGCAGTCAACCTCTGACCGCTCCGACTCCGACCATAAACTCCAGGAGATACCTGACGATGAGACCATTCTTCGCAACATTGACCGAAAGGTAAGGCGGTACCTAAACATCAGATACTTAAACGGCAGCTGATGATCATTGCAAGAACCTCGCGACTGACGACAAGGTCAAGATCGAAAAAGAGCTACAGCTTGACGATAATATCTTGCGGGACCGCTACACCTCAGCCGAAGCGTTTGACCCTATCAAGGTCGAGTTAGATCAGGATATCCAGGGAGTACTGGTATCCCGGGCGTATATATCGCACTACTTCGGTGGAAATAGGCAGCTCGTGCACCCACCCGTGTCGAAGGAGAAGTACGACAATCCAGGGGCAGGGCTTAACGACTTCATGTTTTTGGATCTCGAGAATCACCCTAGTGCACCAACCCGGCCAGGACAACACGGCATCTGGCACGAAAACGCTGTTTGCGAGTACCGGGACCTTACAATAGACCCTGCAGTCGCAGATTTCATGGAAATCAAACTACGTAAGTGGTAAATGTCGACTACTCTGTATCACTACTCAAGTTTACATTAGTCAAGGAAACAAGGAAACCATCAACGACAGCGCCGGTAAACACCTCGGGCATTTATCGAGTACATGTTGGAGGTTACGCGGGTACAAACAAGCGAAAGTGGAGATACGCCGGTCAGTATGAACTGCCCGTGGCTGTTCCATTGACGCCTGAAGAGCTGAACGATCACCCCGAAAAGGTGAGCTAATGATACTGTGACGGATGTTATTTTGGCCTAATACACAGCACGCGTAGTTTATATCCGGCTGGGTCAACTGGTTTCAGAAGAAGTCATGGAGCTTAGACATTCGCTTCCGCGTGAAGTACCGTCGCATATATGGTCGAGAGCCAAGCGAGGAGGAGGAGACTCACCTTCTGGCGCTTGTAAAGGCCAAACTTGTTTCTGCGAGTGATTGGGATGTCAGCGCTGATTGGATCCGGGAAGACCTCAACTCGGGCGTAGAGGTGTGCCGGCTTCCGCTCTGTTTAGACTGTCATTGACCATCCTGCAGCGTCTCGACGTGCACGTCATGAAATGCGTTGACTACGATGCAGACTACCAGCGCAAGATCGCAGTCGGAATGGAAAATCATATCAAAAATCCGCCCCCTCCAGAGGACGAAACACGCACGCCGAAAGCCGCAGCGACTGGGGTCAAAGGAAGGAAGCGCGCCCCATTGACTCCCGCTAAGTCCAAGTCGAGTAAGAAAAGGCGCATTATCACACCGTCTGATGATGAGGAGGAAGAGGCGTATATTCCCAAGTCCAGGGGGACGAAGTCGCGCCCCAAGTCCACGTAGTTAGTCCCTGCCGTTGTTCCATAGCGTGTACGCCTGTATCTTCCCTTACTATCCGTACGTCGAATGCATCTTGAAGTACCGCACCACGAAACTCGCACCCTGGAACATTACAAATGCGAGGCGTAAGAACAGGCATGCATGATACATGTAGTATGGGCTACATTTGGGTTTTGGGCACGTATCTGCCGACTCTAGTCGTCACTATCCTCGTCATCATCCTCGTCATCTTCTCCAGCGTCTTCATCGCTGCCATCTTCGCTCTCCTCGTCTTCCTCGTCATCGTCACTGTCCCCAGCAGCCCAATGAGAAGCCTCGAGCTTCTCGTGCCTCGCCTGCTCTCCAGCACCGACCTCATACCCTGTCTGTGTCACGACACCCTTCATATCCGCCTTAGCACCGACCTTCGTCCCCGCCCCCAAGATGCAATTCTCAAGCTTCGCGTTCTCGCCGACAACGCAGTGATCGAGCAGCACACACCCGGAGAGCTTCGCGCCTCGAGCGAGAACGCAGTGACGGCCGACCACGGAGCGCTTGACTGACGTACGCTCGCCAACTTGGGTGCTTTCTCCCACGAGCGAGTCGGACGCGATTTGCGCCTTCGTGTCGATTAGCGCGCGGTCTTTTTGGTCCGTTGGTAGAACGTATGGTGTTTGGCCGAGGAACTGCGGGATGTTGAGTCAGGACAAGCAGAAGAGCACAGAGTGTCAGTCGTACATGACGGTTCAGCTCGAGTAAAGCCGGAAGAGTATTGGCGCGTCCGGCAAGATTGCCTCTGTGCACGCGCAATCCCACGCGTAAACTCGGCTTGACTTGCGCATCGTCGTCATCATGGTCGATGGGAGACGACGGTGCTGATGCAGCCATAAGAGAGGCGGTGGGTGCACTAGGTGAACCATCGTTGGATTGGCCGTCCCATTCCGCGTTCTGATGACGCGCCGCGAGCGAGAGCGTTGCGTGTCGTAGTGCGAGCGTCTGCGTCGTAGTCTCGCCATCCGGTTTGAATACTGCGCGGTCATGAATACACATACACTCGGATGCACAGATGATTGTGGCTGACCGTATCCGTACTTCCTCTGCTTCGTTCGCTGGTATTGTAACTTGCATAGCCACGGGATGAACTCCTTGTTGAAGCTTTCGAAATGTGGCTTGAGAGCGAGGGCGTCGATCACCGCATGCCTGCACACGTAGACATGGCTGTCCTGCAGTGCAGTCGATAGTCGTGTGCGTGGGAACTTGTTGACGAGCGCCATGCGCAGCTCTATATCGTCCCCATTTCGCTCCGCGTCCTCCTCCGTATCGATATGCAATAGACTCCCGCTCGCCTGGTCCCACACGATAGTGCTGGGTGAGAGCATACTGCCCCATTCGTCCGGGACTGCGCCCTTGTCTGGTCTACTTGGCGCGAACCAGCAGCCCGTCGCAATCGCGCCATCTACGGCGACGTCCACGCGGAAAGCATCGAGGATGGCTTGAAGTGTGAGGTCCGATGGGGGTACAAAGTCGCACGGTAACAAGACAAAATCGTGGGTGATGCGAGGCTTGGCGGCAAGTAAAGCGACGCAGGTGCCATTTGTGTCGGCGGGTTCGTATGTAGTGAAGGTGATAGACAGAGATGGATAGCCCGAGGATGAGGCGCCGGACTGGATATGATGGGAGATCTGGGCCCGATGCGCGGTAGGGCAAACGACAAGCACCTCTGGGAGTATCCCGTTACTCACCGCGCTGAGAATATTTGGGCGGAGGACGCGCCTGTGATGCCGGACGGTTCGATCCAAGCCAGCACATAGTCAATCATCGGCTTGTTCGCGATCGGCACGAGTGCTTTGGGCGAAGGCGCTTCGCCATTTCCAGAAGTCAGAGGTGCAAGCCTAATGCAATATTATAATAGGATCGTGGCCCCTGTGTGCATGCAGTCCTCACTGATCGCCCTCGCCGACGAGAATGACGGCGACAAACTCTTTCGCGAGCAGGTTTGAGGTGCCATCCTCAAAATTCATGGCGGGCAAGATCGTGGTTGACTCGAAAGACGCGTCCTTCACGTGGACGCGAATTCGCTTTCGGTCAACCTTGGCTGTTGCCTTCACGTTCTCACAGTTCGAGTCTCTGTCAGAAGTAGCTCTGTATAACTCTAGCTTTACTTTCGGCGCTGGCGCATGAACGTAACACAGTCGGGCAAGAGTGTCCACCAGCTATTTAAGCGCCTGCAGACGGTCGGCAAGGGCTCCTATGGCTCCGTGCATAAGGGCGTCGAGCTCGCCACTGGCAACGTCGTAGCGCTCAAGATCATCAATCTCGATGACGACGAAGTAGACAGCATCCAACAGGAAGTTGCTCTACTGTCGCAACTACGCGACGCGCCCAACGTCACGCGCTACTATGGCTCCTACTTGGACGGTCCCAGGCTATGGATTGTCATGGACTTTGCGCAGGGAGGGAGCGTGTACCAGCTCATGAAGGCCAGCCCTGGGAATATACTCGAGGAGAAATACGTCGTCGTGCTTGTGCGCGAAGTACTCGTCGGCCTCGCCTATCTCCACAAGTCTGGCATCATTCACCGCGACATCAAGTCTGCCAACGTCCTGGTCACTTCATCCGGGCGGGTCATGATCTGCGACTTCGGCGTGTCAGCGCTACTCGCGACCAACTCCAGCAAGCGCAACACCTTCATTGGAACGCTCAACTGGATGGCGCCCGAAGTCGTGCAGGCCGTTCCGAATTACGACACGAAAGCCGACATCTGGTCGTTGGGCATTATGATCTACGAGATGATCAAAGGCTCGCCGCCACACTCGAACGTCTCGCAAGAGCGTATCATTCAGCTCATTCCCCGCGCGAAGCCACCACGCTTGATAGTTGGCGAAGGAAGCAAGGATCTGTTGGACTTCATTCCGCTATGTTTGGCGGAGAAGCCAGGAGATGTGCGTGACTTGATCGCTTCGTCTGACATTAAGCTCATCTTGACACAGCGTCTGCCCGCCGAAGAACTCTTAAAGACCAAATGGATCAAGACTGCCAAGGCGCCGGTCACCGTTCTGAAGGACCTTTTACTCCGGTACGAGACGTGGGCGAAGTCAAGTAGCGAAGCTGCAGACTTGAACGAGCCATTACCCTGGGAGCAGGATGAGGCTGACGAGTGAGTTCTACCGCACTCTCAGCCTTAGACAAGTGCTCATATCTGTAGGCTAGGATATGTGGACGTGGGCGGAGAGAACCCATGGGAGTTTGATACAGTGCGCGGCAGCCGCGCTATTGGCATGCGGGGGATGGGTCTTCTCTCTCCTGATACGTCCATGGACGACTCAGAGGCCGATGCAGCCTCAACGATCAGACCACCCGCTTCCAAGTTGCCCAGCTCTTTGCGGCTATTATTCGATGACGGCACCGAAGAGCCGCCAGATCCCTTCCGAATACCTGGATTTGGCGGGTCTCCCGCTCCTCGCTCGGCGGACTCGCCCGCACCTTCCTTCGCCACACCACCCTCCATCAACCCGACGCCGTCACGTGCACCGCGAAGAGCTCAGACGGCAGCTGCGTCGCCACTGGCCGATGACGGACCAGACCTCAGCAAAGCCGCATTCTCCTTCCCTTCACGCGCTCCAGCCCAGACTCAGCCGCGTTCAAAGTCCCGGCTTGGTGCAGATGACGACTCGTCCTCGGAGTCTCTAAGCGTCTCGCGCGGACCATCGCCTGCTGAGAGCATGTTGTCCGGCGCAGAGCCACGCACAGGCCCCTTCTACCGCGCCGTCCGTTCTGCCCGCAATGTGCCAGACATCGAAATTCCCACTCCGGCGTCATCAACGCCTTCGCCTGCCCCGGCATCTTCTGCACCGGAGGAGCCTTCCATCAACCTTGATGGTGCTATGATGGGTACCACGACACGGCGCCCACCGAGTGCAGGTCGCAATCGCTCGCGAACGTACGCAAGCCCGCCAGTGTTTCAGTTCCCGCCACCGTCCACGGGGTCGAACACACCTGATTCGGCACAGTCCAGTGGAAGTACGCGCACTGTGCGTCCTAACCATGACCGCAGTCCAACCACTGGTCACGCACCAGCAAGCAGTACTACATCTGGTCACTCCGCAACGCATTCGTTGGATGCGCCGCCAACAGCACGGCGCGTACCCGCGTCGGCTGCGCCTGCACTAGGCGCCGGCCTTGCACCTGGCGCCAATGCACCTACCCTTCCACCTTTAGGTCGTTCACAATCTGCTACGCCGTTTGCGGAGCGCGCGGCCGCGACGCAGAGCAGTACCGGGAACGGCCAGCCGTCGGGCCTCGTGCGAAAACCGTCGCTGAATAGACTCGCGAGTGTCGCGGTGATGGAGACCGTGCCACCGACGCCTACATCTGCGCGGCGGGTCAACCGCAGCGGAGGGTCATTGGCAGAACTCGGCTTGCGAGACGTGCTCAAGGTGCCCGCGCTATCAAGCGAGCATCAAATGGGCATGGCGGACTTGCTACCGCCCAGTCCGAGTGCAGCAGCGCTCGCCCCAAGACACGCGCCAACGTCAAGTCACAGTCCGCTCTCGCTCGAGTTACCGCGCGCGCCTCCACTCCCTCGACCTATCGATCTGCCTGCCCTCGCGCGAAGCCACGCAGACACGCATGCGGAGCTAGCGAGGGTCGTGGACGAGCTTGGGCAATGGCTCGCGCTTGTTGATGCAGGTTTGGGGAGACTGCTTGAGGGTGCGGGAGGTGATCGGATTGAGGAGGGTGAGGAGGATGGGCTTGAGGGGAGGAAGTCTGCGTTGGCTATTGGATGAAATGGACCCATAGCTCAGAGTGGGGATGGCGGTCTCTGTAGTGGGGGAAGAGTTAGTGGTCGCTTTCGATCTCGCTTTCTGCATATTTGTGCGCTCTTGATCTAGCTTTGCGTGTCTCGAACCGGACTTTTCTCGCTGGACGATAGATTACAACTCGTATTATAATGTATGACTAGTACTACTCGCGGAGCGGTATGATGAAGCAGCAAGCTACAAGTGCCCAAGTCAACGGCTCTGCCGGCGCAGAGCCTTGACCGAGCCTACGCTTACGCGTGACGTCACGCGCTTTTTTGGATTTCCTCATGAGATTGGCGCGCGGTAGACCATCCTCAATTGTTCTACGCGAGCGTTCGAGAGTTATGCCTAATGAATACGAACATACACCGGTTTGTATGGCGGGGCATATGAATGGGTGGCGTACCACCGATCAGGCCCAGGTCGCGCCCAACGTGGGAATGTAACCGCGGGGAAGCTTGACGCGACGCGCTCATAGCCGTTTCGCTCTTGAACTCCTGCCCTCATGATGGTCACTCAAAGTGTTTTCCCAGCGTACACGCACACACCTATCCTATTCAAGCTCAAGCATGCGCGCGCTCATTGTCGCGTGTCTTCTGACGGACTGATGCAGTCTAGTTCACTCCGACGAACAATGAGCCTCGCGTGCCGCGAGGTGATGGTGTGGTTGAGATAGCACCGCCAACTTCTTCCCCATTGTCGGTGCCTGTCGCGAGTCATGGAAGTCTGGAGGATGAACCACTTGCGCTTATAATATTGGCAGCACTCTCGTATGTGGCGTCTGCTGCTCTCTTTCTCTCTACGACGACGATCGCCCGCTGTTCGGTGCGACTCCTCCCTAGGACGAACACATCTTCATGGGCCGAAGAGGTGAGCACATCTATATGACGTGATTCTTAAGCCTCTACAACTGAGCCTCGTCAGACTCTTCTGCACCTGGTGGCGATCCGGACGACACCAATCCCTCTACTAGCAACACCGTGAAGCTTCGTCGATCAAAGCGTAATCTTCGAACCAACGACCATGATGAATCCTCTTGTGTCGCCACATCTGCTCCCGAAGGCTCTGTTGATTATTCGGAGGCTCTCGGAAATACGCACCGAACGTCTCTAGAATCCATCCCCGTCGCTGGTCCATCTACGGCGTCTTCAAATCGGCCGCATAGCACGAGCAACGATCCGAAAACGCCGAACACGACAACGCAGCCGGAGCCCGGTGCTCCTAAATTCACTCCTGGAACGGGCGTGGAGATGCTGTGGGCGTATATGCTGGAGGACTGTCGAAACAGGACGAGGCACGATGTTTACCAAGGCAATAGGCAGCGAGCAGAGGGTCAGATTGTGGTTGGCGTTCGGATAGCCGATTGGCTTGCTCAGTGCGCGCCTCTGACCCATAACTCGGACTCGAACATGCCGGAGTATTGGGAGGCGAAGTCACTAGAGCTCTTCACCGAGAAGAAGGTCCCCTCCGTTCACGGTGAAGCTAAACTCGTACGTGATACGTAATCATACACAAAAAAACGCTCAGTGTTGCATAGTACAATGCCATCAAGGTCAGTGGCGTCTTTCCCCCCGGTGGTATGATCCCGAAGGACACGCACTACCTCAGAGGCGAAGATGTGAACGACCCCGTGCAGAAGTATTCGCCTGATATGGTTGTCGTGGATCCAGACGTCGACATCACTGTACCTGGCGTTGCTCGCGCGCGATTGCTTCTGCCCCGCACGCAACTGGTAGCAGACCAGAAGTCAAACGCCGAGGACCCTGTGGGCGACTCCGACAAAGGCCGCGAGGCACTCGGGCAGTTAATCACGTACAGCGAGGTCGTGTCTTCCAACTCACATCGTACCAGTGTTCCGGCCTTTGTGGTCTTGCCCGAGAAGGCGTACCTCATCCGGCTTGATCACAGCGGCCTCATTATCAGCGAACCCTTCGCTTGGCGTAAGACGGGACATCTGCTCTGCTTCCTGTCTCGGCTCAGCAACATGTTGCCTGTGGAGCGCGGTGTCGATACGACGGTGGAGATGGTCTCTCCACAGGATGAAATGGCTAGGAAGATGAAGCGGTTGCTCGAGACAGATCTACGTGACGCTCTCCCGACTGGTATCGCACCCAAGACCATATTCCCGACGGGGAAGTTCGGCGACCGGGCCCTCTTCCATGTCTTTGATTCGGAAAATCGGCGTATACATCGCGTTCTCTCTCACCGCCCTCTCCACTATGATGCTTCCGGTTACGTCGGCTCTGGCGTCCGCTGGTGGGTTGGAGTCGATGTTGACGACGAGTCCGTGGTGTTTTTCAAGACCTACTGGCGAATCGAGCGCCCTGGAATCCTCTCCGAGAGCGATGTTCACCGGATCTTCCGTGAAGCGCAGTCGCCCGTCGAGCATACTCTTGGCTTTCTCTATGGAGGGGACGTTCTCGTTAACGCTTGGGAACTCCGCAAACAGTACGGTGCCGAGCCCATTCCCATGCATGAACCCCTCGTAACTCAGAGGACATTTACGCATGAATTCGTGAAACGAAATAGCACGGAGTACAGCCGCCTATGGTCCGAACGTGGGCATAAGGACGACCAGGACGTAGAAATCTTGCCGCGAGTTCATCACATATCTGTTTTTCGTACAGTCGCGCGTCGCTTACGCACATTTGAGAGCACTCGGGAGCTCGTGCGTGTTCTGCACCATGCTACCCTAGGTAAGGATATCATCTGGCCTTCTGCCACCAAACCATGGTATCTGATGAATATTACTTGCAGCTCTTGAACAAGCCTACAAGGCGAATATTCTCCATCGCAATATAACCTCCATCAGTGTGGCAATTGATTGTCAAGGGAATGGTGTGGTCATGAATTGGGATTGGGCGTCCCTGGCAGTGCGCGGCGATGACTCCCCTAGGACGAAAAGTAGAGAGGTGTGCATAAACTCGTGGGTCATTGATCATTGATCTACTAACCAGAGTCCCTTAGATATCTCTGCTCTTCGCCTCAGCCTCCATGCTTCAATTCCCCGATGAGCGCGCACACCTGTTGCGGGACGACCTCGAGTCCATCTTGCATCTTCTCTATTACCACGTTTTGCGGTTTCGTCCGACGCTAAAGACACGGCAAATACGAGGGTCTCAGGTCCTCCAAGCGTTGAAGTCGATTTATGAATCCTCCACTTCGACGGAAACGAGAAGGATTGACGCCGGCTCGGAAAAGGCGACGTTCATGAGTGGGGAATCGACATTCAGTGATCGGCGACTGAACGGTGCCATCCGCCCGCTTCCGCTTTGGACCTTGATGCGTAGCCTTCGCGCTGTTTTCGAGCCGCTCTACATCCCAGAGCCGTCATTATATGGCGACGAGACCGCGGAGTCACTTGTGAAGGTCAACGATGATAAGCGCTACTGGAGAGAGCAATTCGAGTGTGCGGGGACTCGGCTCCAATCTGCACAACCGCTTCTTGCTTGTTTCGAGGACGCTCTTCAGAAGTCGGATTGGCCCCCGTCGGACGGTGCTGTGGACCAGTACCCAAAGGATACCCGGCCATCAACAGGGTCTCGGGCGTTTACCAGCAGCCTCACCAGCTCTCTCGCCTCCGCGTCTACGAAATCCGGCACAAAGCGTTATTCCGATGGACCAGGTAATCTTCCTGTTGCCAAGCGGCAGAAGATGTCTCCAGTGGTTGTGGATGATATATTTGGGCCTAGCACCAGTACTCGATCCCCCAATGTTGAGAGTACAAGGGCTGACGAAGACGAAGATGAAGACGAGGAGAAAGAGAAGGATGATGGCACTACAGAAGAAGACTTATTCTTGGGGAATAGACGTTGAGCGCTCGCGAGTACGGATCTCTACAGTTAGCATGTGTAGTATGTTAGCCTACGCACTTTTTCGAAGAATCGATTAATGCAGAATGTATGCTTCCTTCGCTTGATATTCTCCCTTGAATCGTCTTTGGTCGTTGGTTGCAACTCGAGAATGGGTAATTGTCGGGCATTTGCCCGCTTGGTCGATGTTGCAATCGGCTCACCAAAGTTGGAAGATGCACGCAGACTCAACTTGCAACTTGCCGGAGTCACTCTACAACAGTCTAAGAGGTCACTACTTGCCGACTATGAACCCTGAACCTTGCTATAAAACGTGTGGGGTCTTGGGGAGCCGGGGTCGTGACCACTTGCAGGCGCAGTGGTTGTTCCGAGTTCGACCTATGGCCTGCTAGGCATTCACAAATTTGAGACATTATGCAATTTATGTTTAGGTTCTTGTATGATAATAATGATAGATGAAAGAGTACAAAGCAAAAATAACGACATGCTGTATCATTGAGCCTTCGAAGGGATTACCAGGCGAGAGCTCTCGCGACCAGAAGCAAGACAACTTCGCGCAGATGCACCAGCAGAAAAATCCCCATCGATTGTGACGCGCCTCGCCTTCCCGGAATGCGCACACGAATCCTCCGCAGGGTCAAGAGAGCGTTTGCGGCTACTACGCGAATCGAATAAACTTGGTTTTGTCGCAGAATGTGAAGGGCTGGGAGGGTGCATTTGGTCGGTGGCGGCATCGTCCGTAGGCCACTGATAGCGTGTGGCGTCGCAGTCTTCAGTCCATGTACGGAAGAGTGAGCTCAAGTACCCCGAGGACTCCAGCCGGGTACAGGCAGCGTCAAAGGCCTGGCGGTATGCTTGCAGTTTCCGCAACTGACGAGCACCCACATCCCCCTTGAGCGAGCCGTCCATTAAGGGCTCTGACGCGTACAGAGGCGCAAAGGTATCGCGTACAACGAACATGAGTCGGCGCAGGGGTTCGGGGTGGACATATTCGTGCATCATGCGCGGGTCGAAGTGTGTGGCAGAAGCCAGATAATTTGATTTGTCGTCCCCTCCAATTACCTCATCGCCAGTATAGAGCACTGTGTTGAACACTTTCTCCATGCTGGCGAAGAGATGTTTCTGGATTGGTGATCCAGCGGGCGCCGTCGGTCGATAGCGGAAGACGTAGTAGTAGAGAATGTGAACGAATGATTCCAGATCGTCGCGTAGGAGATGTGGTCGTTCGTCGAAGCCTAATTGCAACGTGGCTGACATGAAAGCCCAAGTACCCTATAATCGCTGGTAAGCTAGCAGTCGCAACGCCGAAGCGAGTCTAATTGAGTAACGGACAATCTTCTGACCAATCTTCTCAACCTCCGCCTCATTCTCGCGCCAGACACACATATCCCAGTCGATGAGCATGCCAAAGCCATCCTTATCGATGAGTATATTGCCACCGCTAATGTCACGATGGAGAATCCGGGCGTCTTCGTACGCAGCGCCATGAGCTACAACAAATAACATGAGTCCATATGATATCGCACAGATAAATGGCGTCGGGCACGTACATTGAATTCCATGGTGCAGTGCGGTACATAGCTGGAGCGTGCTCTCAAACGACTTCAAGGGACGTCCAATCTTCTTGAAGAGCAGGCGATGGTGTACATGTGGATTTAGCCCGACCTTGATGGTGCCGGGTCGACGGAGAAGGTCATCGCGGCTGCGGACGAAGTCTTGTGAGCGCGTCTTGTGCTCGATACCAGCAGTCGATGTCGTCGGCTTTGCACTTGACCAGGATGCGACGTCACCGCCGTGGTAGAATCCCGGGAGATATGGGACCTCGTGTTTTATAAGACGCCTGTAGGTCGCCGCCTCCGACACTGCGTTCGCAGAGGCTATGCGCCAAGCATCCTTCACATACACGACAACTCCTTCGTCCAGATCCACGCCGTAGAAGCCGAGTGTCGAGCGGCCAGTGAAGAACTCCACTGACTTGATAGGCCGGTGAACGACAATCCGATGGTACGCCTCTTGCTCGTCATCGTATACGTTCATAAGGGTGAGCGTGCCGCGGTGCCGCTTTGGAATGACAGACGTTTTATGCACGCCTGCCGGCAAAGCATCCGAGCTTTCCAGGATCTCCTTCGCCTGCACGGCCTCTTCTGAGTCCGACGCGATCGCTGACACAGATGTATCACAGCCACGCTGGGCTGGCGTCATACGGTCGAAGGTGGCCATGAAGTGTAGCAGATCGCCGGACGTTCTCCAGGGAAAGAGTTCGGAGTAGACAATGCCGGCGTGGTCGAAGCGTAGTAGGCGAGCGAACTCGGGCATGACGACAAAGGCGAAGCAGAATGTGCGGTGAGAGTTGACAGCGACGGCGCGCATGATCGCGGCGAGTCGGCCACGCGTGTAGGCGGCTTCTTCTGTGTCCGGCTTTCCCTCGGCGAACGGACATGGGTCGTATTTCTCGGGGACGATGTCGCCGAAAGCGAGTGTGCAGCCCAAGAGCTCATCGCGTACGACGCGACTGTCGTGATCAAGCGCAAGATCCTTCGAAAGGATCGAGACGTCGGCAGAGAGGAAGGTGTTTGTCGTGTGATCCTTGCCGTGCACACCGAGTGTGGCGCGAGGGAAGACGGTGGCACAGACCCCACTGCTTGTGATGTAGTCCTCCTGGTATAACAAATCAGAGATCTGCATGTCAATCTGAGTAAATGAGTAGACTCACAAATGCAATTGCATCATGAGTGTCCGGTAACGCGTCGGAGTCGAGTTTGGTTGGTGTCTCGCGAGATGGCAAGAATTCCTTCGTCCACTCAGCGACGCTGAGAGGCCCGTGCCAAAGGCCGTCCGTGGACTGGGCGTGATCGTGATATAATTTCTTAAGTCGACTCTCATTGATCAACTCGCAGCTGCAGCGCTGTGCGGGCGTGCTGCAAGCGTCCAGTGAGGACATGGAGGTTGATGCTGAGCTGCGGTCATAGAAAGACCTTTTGGAGGGCGATGAAGGTCGCGAAGAGGAAGCACAAGGGTAGTGAGAGCTGCTGCTAGATGCAGAGGATACACTGGGAGAGCGAACCATGACTGAGATGGTGGTAGTGAGAGAGCAAGAGCGGACGCGCAATGTTGTTGGATCTGAACCACACCGGCACGTTTAGCCGTTGATGGGAAACGACGACGCGGCGCTCATTGTTCTCACGCCGTGGGAAACTGATTCCAGCCTTACACTGAGAAATATTGTACTAGCACTACCTGTGCTCGTATAAGTTATGCATCGAGAGCCTCTTAGTGTACGGAAATAATGCCAGAAGGTCCGAAACCGTGATCGAGCGTGACGCCACTGCAGCACGGCAACCCACGTGCGGCTGCCAGAGCAGCTCCGAGTCGCGACTTGCGACTCTACTTGCATTGCTGCCTGATATCGACGTGTTAACGATTCACCGGGTGGGCATATGTTACCGCTTGGGAGCCGGGCAAATTACGGGAAGACGAGTACAGCAAGTCGTAACATTCTTCGGTGTATGGGTATGGACGCCCTGCTCTGCTCGTATACTTAAATAAAGCGTGGACATGTCGCATCGCCACGGTGATTTTTGATTGGGCATCGACGCAGTCGGCCAGTCGAGTCGCGTTCTCACTCCTACCTCCATGACCGCGCAGGAGCCGACATCCCTTATCACCACGTCCTACGCTTCCTGCGCTCAATATGGAATGCGCTAGAGCGACGAACTGATGCCCGAGTTCACTCCGACTAACAATGAGGTTCGTGTGCCTCGAGGTGATGGTGTGGCACCGTGGTTGAGCACTGCTATCTGCGTTCTTCCATTGTTCATCCTACCGAGTTGTTCAACCACATATACACGTGCTGCCATGTAACTGTTTGGTATCTGTGTGTGGCGACCTCCGAAGCTTTCCTCTGGCCTCCACGACTTGAATCGGTCCTGCGCTCACTGGCCCGCTCCGGCCCTGTAGTCATTCCGCTATGGCTCGTACCCACAAGCAAGATATGCAAGGTCAGTAGGTTACTTTCTGCGCTCACGCTGTAACTGACATGCATAATTCTCAAGGCACTCGTCCAAGTATACCTGTCGCCACCGACGGTCCATCCACCAACCAGGACAACTCTAGCACGTATCCTGTGCCCGGCTCTACGACTGTCGAACACACTATCAAGCGCGACCAATCCAGAAAGAGGTCGGCGCGCGGCTCGAGACCCACTTCTGTCCGTGACGCCCCCAAGGTTTCTAAGCCTTGCATCCCCCACGATTCATTGCCATCCAATACCGTCGTCTCAGGATCGTCATCTGCGCTTCTTGACGACCCTCTGTACAAGACACCGGACAAGGCACAGAAGAAGGAGACCTCCAGCCCTCCCACGTCTTTCTTCACACCGGCCACCGGCGTCCAGCCTGACCCTCACTACACGCTTGCTGAGGATAAGGAGTGGACAAGGGAAGATGCTTTCGAGGCTAATAGGCAACGGGCAGAAGGGCATATCATTATGGGGATCTCGGTGGAGGATTTCATGGACAAATGCATGGGTGGATATTCGAAGGATGACCATTCGCCTGAGGCGCTCGAGGAGCTTTCTAAAGACTTGTTCACCAAAGAGAAGGTCCCAGCAGCCCATGGAGAATCACAATTCGTGCGTATAAAATGCTCGTCCGCTGTCGATACACACTGACGACGTAATCAGTACGAAGCCATTGTCAAGAGCGGCATCTTGAAGGCACTCGTGGGACAGGGTCTCATCCCGAAGGACACGCACGTCATTCGAGGCGCAGATGTCAACAATCTGAAGAAGAAGTACTCGCCGGACTTTACAGCATTGCGCAAGGACGTTCCGCTCGAGAAGGCCTGCCTCGAGCGAGCGCGAAGTATCCTGAAAGGGGCGGAAGGATACGGCGACCAGAAATCCGAGGAAGAGGATCCCATAAAAGATACGGACAAGGGTCGATGGTCATTTGGGCAGCTCATAACCTACGCGGAGGTTATGACCTCGAATGCGCACCGCACACATATCTTTAGTTTCGTACTCCTTCCTGAAGATGCCCGCTTGATCCGTTTCGATCGGAGTGGGATCATCATCAGCGAGCGCTTCCCCTGGCGCATCAGCGGACATCTCCTCGCATTTCTCTCACGTCTGGCCCAGATGACGCCCGCAGAGCGCGGATGGGACACTTCTGTTTCGTTAATCTCTCCGACTGATCCTCGGGTGGAACGGGCGAGGGAGTGGCTCAGGCGACCCGAAACCATTCTAGGTGGTGCCCTGCCTAGCGATATGTCCGTCGAGGACATCTTTCCCGACCATGTTGAGGGGTTCGGAGATCTTTCCATGTTTCATGTATATGATGAAGCCAGCCACACGATGCACCGCGTCCTGGCCCAGCGTCCTTTCGAGTACGACTCACTTGGTTATATCGGGCAAGGGTCCCGATTGTGGGTGGGCGTCGATCTACAAGAGAAACGCGCCGTACTTCTGAAGGACTACTGGAGGGATAGCCGTCCGGGAATACCTTCCGAGAGTGATATTCACCGCCGTTTTCGCACCGTCGATCCGCCCGTCCAACACACACTCGAGTTTGCTTACGGTGGGGATGCGGTGGTTGATGGAGAGGCGTTATGGGAGAAGTTTCCTGCGGGATCAAAAGTCAAGATTGACGCTGAAGATTTGGAATTCCAAACCACCTGGTCGCATGAATTCTGTGAGCGGCACCAGTATCCACGTCTGCAATCCGTCCGTTGCAGCAAGCCAGAGGCCTCTATCGAGATCGTGCCTCGAACCCACCACTTCGCCGTGTTCAATACGCTCGTCAGGAGATTGTGTACGTTCAAGAGTACGAAGGAGCTTGTCGGCGTTTTGCACGATGTTACCGAAGGTTCGTGTTCCTCCTAAGGCAGTAAAAACCTTCCATCGCTGATTATGCAACAAGCTCTGCAACAAGCCCACAACGTGAACATCCTTCATCGCAATATCACAACCTCGAGTGTAGGAATCGATAGTGAAGGCCACGGTAGACTCATGAACTGGGACTCCACAGGCGAAGTCACCCGAAGCGTGCAGCTCGCGAGGAGGAAATCTCGAATGGTGTGTTTTGTTGCTCTTATCCATTGGCACGGGACTCAATGTAAAACTCACAGGTGTCTTTACACACTGTCTCTGTTGATCACTTGCGGGATCCTCATAAACGAGACCACCTTTTACGAGATGACCTCGAGTCCATCGTATACCTAATGTTTCTTCTTGTCCTGCGCTTTCGTCCTCCGGCACCAGGTTCCCCGGCAAACTCCCGTGGCGACATACTGTCAGGACTGCGCACCGTCTTTGAGAATTGCTTTACCACCGAGAATGGCGAAATCAGAGGCGGCCTGGACAAGAAGGCGTTTCTCACGGGAGGCAGCTCTCTCAACGATACCCAGCTTATGGATGTTGTGCAACCTGTTGCGCTCTGGACCCTGATGCGCGGCTGTCGGCGCTTGTTCCAACACGTGTACACAGACGAGCCTCGCCTATTTGCCGGAGCCGACGAAGAAGAAGAGGCAGGTTTTGCCTCTGCCGTTGAGCAGTGGAAGGCACTGCGCGACGCGGCGCAGAAGAACCTCTCTTCGGCTCGACCTTTTCTCAACTATTTCCGGAAGGCACTTGACACACCCGGCTGGCCTTCTTCAGATGGCGCTATAGACCAATACCCCCCTTCGTCACGACCGGCGCTCAATAATCGGGCATTCACAGGCAACCGTGCCTCCTCGCGTCAGTCCTCTCTTAGGTCCGGGATGAAACGCAGTCTGGCAAGTTATGGTACCGGCACTGGCAATCTACCCCCTTTACCCAGTGCGAAACGGCTCAAGTCGTCGGTCACACACAAAGCGTCCAGGTCTTACGTGTCCGATGAAGGAGAACCATGGGATGACGACTTGATGGAAGACGTCTTCACTGTTCAGGGCCACCGGGGGGGGGACAAGTCTCGCCCACAAGCTCCAGCAGGCGTGACGGAGGAGACCATTTTCCTAGGTTTTGCGCACTGAACAGGAGTCAAGCTATATCATATTATTATATTCTAGTATCTCGATGTTACCATGGCTTTGTGTATGTCTGTTCTCTAATTACATGCGTGTATGAGGGCTAGCGCCTATGCAATTGATGTAGGGTATTCCAGCCTTTGCCGTTTGGAAATTGTCAGCTCTAGCATCAGCCCCAAATGTCCAGCAACATCCACCTTGCGTTCAATCTGTCTGCTGCATACATTTACATACTTCTCTTAGAGTCAGTCGGCGTTGGAGCATGAAGATTCCAATCGACAACAATACGCTGATGTTTAGAATTATGCTGGTGGGATAAGGCACAATATTGACAGAATGATAGGATACATCTCGGGCAAAATATATCTGAATGGACATAGACATCTGTGGACCAGAACGTCTGACAACATCAATGAGCGCGTTCGCTCTGGGGATTAATCGCGCGTCCCTGCTCTTGCGAGAGCTCCTGCTGACACGTTGCGACTACTTGTCACACGCTGCACCTTGCCTAGGGGCGCCACTTTGTCGCCAAGCGACTCAGCCGAGCGCTTTCGGGATCCACTGGACGAAGGTGCGGCCATCGCACTATGATCGTTGGTAGACTCTGGCGGGAGATCGAACTGGTCTACGGCACCATCGTCCGACAACCACTGGAACCGCGCACGATCGTAATCCGTAGTCATCTTCTCGAAAAGCGATATCAGGTATGCAGAAGACTGCAGCCGCTCGTGAGCCGTGTTGAACCCTTGCTTCCAACGCTCCAGTTCTTTCAACTCGAGGGCCACGTATGCGTCGTCACCTGATGTGCAGACCAGGGGTTCGACCGTGTAGATTGGCTCGAAGGCTTTGCGCACAGTGAGCATCAGTCGGCAGAGGGGAAGGGGTTGGATGTGCGTCCGCATCATAGCAGGATCGAAGTGAGAGGAACTTTGCAGATACAGGCTCTTGGGGCCGCCACCCGCCATGCTGCCGCTCTCCGTCCTCCACGCAGTATTGAACACGCGATCGATCTCCGCAAGGAGTTCGTTTTGTGCAGAGCTGCCTGCCGGTACGGATGGCCGATAACGGAAGACGTGGTAGTAGAGGACGTGCACGAAGGACTCCAGATCATCCCGTAGCAGGTGGGGGCGCTGTTCGCGTCCCATCAGCAGGCCAGCGGAGATATAAGCCCAGGTGCCCTGCAAGAAACGTCAGTTGTCCATCACGCCCGCTGTGCAATACGACTCACAATCTTCTGACCAGTCCTCTCAGCTTCCTCTTTATTCTCCAGCCACACGCACATGTCCCAGTCGATAAGCATGCCGCAGCCGTCCTTGTCTATCAGGATGTTGCCGCCGCTGATGTCGCGATGTAGTATCTTGGCGTCTTCGTAGGCAGCTCCATGCGCTATATGAGAGAGAAGGTCAGCAGCTGATGACTACGCGGAGAAGTAAGAAACGTACATTTGAGCGCATGCATGAGAGAGGTACATAATTGGAGCGTGCTTTGGAATGACTTCAAAGGTCGACCAATTTTCTTGAAGAGTAACCGATGATGAACGTGCTCGTGAAGCCCGACATGCATCCTGCGAGACCGTCGAGGCGCTTCTTCGTGGTCGGTCACGAATAATTGAGATTGGGTGTTCTGCTTTGGGCAGGCGGTTGATGTACTAGGTGCAGGATGCAACAGAGCGGAGGTATCCTCCGGAACGTCGCCGCCGAAGTAGAATCCGGGAAGGTAGGGCACGCTGTGCGTGTTCAAGCGCCGATAGGTGGAAGCTTCCGGTGCTGTGGCGGGGGAGGCAATACGCCAGGCATCCTTGACGTAAACCACAGCGCCTTCGTCCAGATCTACGCCATAGTACCCCATCGTCATACGGCCGACATAGAACTCTACCGACTTGATGGGACGGTGGATGACGACACGATGATACGCCTTCTGCTCGTCGTCGTAGACGTTCACGAGATAGAGCGGACCGCGATGCCGCTTTGGAATGACCGATGTCTTCTGGACGCCGTCTGGCAGAGCATTCGAGCTTTCCAGGATCTCCTTCGCCTGCACGGCCTCTTCTGAGTCCGACGCGACGGCTGACACAGATGTATCGCAGCCACGCTGGGCTGGCGTCATACGATCGAAGGTGGCCATGAAGTGTAGCAGATCGCCGGACGTTCTCCAGGGAAAGAGTTCGGAGTAGACAATGCCGGCGTGGTCGAAGCGTAGTAGGCGAGCGAACTCGGGCATGACGACAAAGGCGAAGCAGAATGTGCGGTGAGAGTTGACAGCGACAGCGCGCATAATCGCGGCGAGGCGTCCACGCGTGTAGGCGGCTTCTTCTGTGTCCGGCTTTCCCTCGGCGAACGGACATGGGTCGTGGGTCGTATTTCTCGGGAACGATGTCGCCGAAAGCGAGTGTGCAGCCCAAAAGCTCCTCGCGTACAACGCGACTGTTGTGATCAAGCGCAAAATTCCTCGAGAGGATCGAAAAGTCGGCGGAGAGGAAGGTGTTGGTTGTGTGATCCTTGCCGTGCACACCGAGTATGGCGCGAGGGAAGACGGTGGCACAGACCCCACTGCTGGTGATGTAGTCCTCCTGGAATAACAAATCAGAGAACTGGATATGACTCCAAAGCAAACAGTAGACTTACAAATGCCAGTGCATCATGACTATCTGGTAAGGCGTCGGGGTCGAGTTTGATTGGTGTCTCGCGAGATGGCAAGAATTCCTTCGTCCACTCAGCGACGCTGAGAGGCCCGTGCCAAAGGCCGTCTGTGGACTGGGAGTGATCGTAATATAGTTTCTTAAGTCGACTCTCGTTGATCAACTCGCAGCTGCAGCGCTGTGCGGGCGTGCTGCAAGCGTCCAGTGAGGACATGGAGGTTGATGCTGAGCTGCGGTCATAGAAAGACCTTTTGGAGGGCGATGAAGGTCGCGAAGAGGAAGCACAAGGGTATTGAGAGCTGCTGCTAGATGCAGAGGATACACTGCGGGAGCGAACCATGACTGAGATGGTGGTAGTGAGAGAGCAAGAGCGGACGCGCGATGTTGTTGGATCTGAACCACACCGGCACGTTTAGTCGTTGATGGGAACCGACGACGCGGCGCCCATTGTTCTCACGCCGTGAGAAGTTGGTTTCAACCCAGGACAGGGAAAAGGTTGTACTGTTATTACTACTCGCATACCCTATGCACAGACAGACTCATATGCTACAATATAATGGTAGATCTCTCGTTGAGACCGAGGGTGACACCACTACGGCACAGCAAACCACGTTTCCTGCGTCTGCCCAGAGCTAGCCCGCGCGACTCGCAGTCTGCAGCTTGCTCTTACCTGGCTTCAAGCCGCAGGCAACATGCTGCATCGTTGTGCATTTCCGAGGTAATTATAAACGTGCATACTGATACAAGTGCGTTACAGCGAATCCAAAACGATCGAGCAAGGGTCCTCCGCAGACAAATAGTCTCTACTATGCATGACCAGACAGGAATAAACACAAACTGGACCGCTCATGTGCGATTCCACGAGAGCAGGCTCATATCGCCCAACCGTCTGAGCAAATGTTAGCTTGGGGTTGAGAGCGGGAGTGCCAGACGACACGAACCTTGGCTTGAGAAGATGACGGATGGTTCCCGCGATGGCAAGCGCGACGAACAGTGATGCAGCGGCAACGTATGCCCACCCAAGGAAGGGATTCTTGCCGCCTATCCACGATACCGTCGAGATCACGATGCTCTTGGTGCCGCTGTATGGCTTGACAGGGAAGTCTACGAGCGCTAATCAGTACAACGGATCATGTCAGGGTGATGGACCGGAAGTGCGCACTCATGTCGACCAAGATAGTGTAGGTGCCTGCGACGAGCTTGTCGTTGTCGTTGCGCGAGTAGAGCTTCGAGAATGTTGGCAGACCAGCGACGCGCATCCAGTTCTGGAAGTGCTCGTCCGAAGAGAGGTCCGGCAACGTGTCGTTCGTGTAGGCGTCCCCGTATTTCGCATGCCAGTTTGGTGGAGGTACAATATCGTCAACTGAGTAGTCGGGCTTCTTGTACTTCGACGACTCTCCTGGCCATGCGATCCCCTTCTCTGATAGGCTGTACGTGCTTGATGTTCCAGCAGGAGGATTGAGTAGTGTCAAGCTGCTGAACGTGTCTGAAAGACATTCTCAGTACACGCAACACTAAGCGGGGTCTATAGCAGGAGACATACCGTTAAACAGGGAGTTGGCTATGAGACCACAGGGATAGATGACTTTGCGGTTGCTGCTGACTGCCACAGGCTTGCAGTTCGAGTCGTCAAGATCGCTAACCGTTCGTGCCTTCCCCAGCAACTGGTCCGAGTCGTAGCTTTGCACGTAACGCCGATGATTTTGGTAGAAATTCGTAAGGCGATAGTAGAGCAGGACAGAATGGTCGAGATCATACGGAACGTTGAATTGGATCAAACATTGGCCGGCGTGGCCCTCAGACGTGGTGCCATTGTTAATGAAGGCATACTTTGGAGACGTGACTGTCGCCGAGGAGTGGCCAGCGTTGAGGCGGTACGAGTATGAGGGCACGTCTGTGAGGGCATTCGCCGCTGAAGCTGCATCGGAGTTATTGTTCAAAGAATCGCAATTGGTATAGTCGATAGTGATCTCAGTAATCTAGGCATAGTGTCAACCTCTGAGAGAGTACAATGGTCTTCATACGCACCAGCCCGCTTCCCCACACTAACAAGCCGCCTATTGGCGCGAAGAGGATGCCGATGATAAATAGCGTCGGGAGTACAGTCTTTGGTGTGAGTATAGGCTGCCATGCCTTTAGGCGCTGCTGCTTGAACGCGGTATCTGCGCAATATATCAGTCAAACTGAGAGAAGCCGATTCTAAGGCTACGCACTGGCCGGCCGTTTCCTGTTTCCCTTCTCACCCACGCTATCACTGCCATCCTGGCTCGCATTATTCCGTTTGAAGAGACCCATAACGAGTATTTGGGCAGGCCGGCTAGCCCGAAAGAGGATGACAGAAGGACGGCGAGGTTGAAGTAGGAGGCAAGCTTGTAGTTGCCGTACACCGTCCGCGATTCCCGAGGCACTGGGCGCCGCGACCATCACCTCATCTTCGTGACTGTACACAAGCGCCCGCCGCGCAGCAGCCCTTGGAACACTACCACCACCACGGTCTTCGCGACTTGGAAGTACAGCATCAATATCAATCACTACTGGCTATCGCACAATGGGCATCCGCCCGAGCAACGAGTGGGATCGCAAATAGCGCCCATGCATAACTATTTTACAAAAAAGTTGCAGGATGTAGAGGTATGGAGTACTCTAGTCATCAAGCTCGATAAATGTCTATGGGTTATGATCGAGATTTTGTCGGACGTGGTTGATAGACTTGGCCGAAGTCATCTTCCTCATCTTCACCGCCTCCATAGTCGTCGTCCCGATCAGTGTCTGATTGTGCAGGAGATGCAGCTCGGCGCTTCCCTTTGTTCTTGTTGGATTTCTGCGTTGCAAGCTGTAGGAGTGGAACCAAAGCTGTGTTTGACAAGGCACTCACCTGCTTGCTGGGACCGGCTTGGGCGTTCGACTTACGCTGCGACTTTCCGGGCTTGGACTTTGGCTTCGGAGGAGGAGGGTTCTTGACGTAGTTCTCCATGACGACTGCTGACCTGCGTATGAAGGACTCATCATATCCGACGCACTTTAAGACATCGACAGACAAGTGCTGTATATGCATGTCAGATACACATATAGAGCAGATGTCTTTCAAATGTACCTCCTTTCCGGCGCAGAAGTCCTCCTTAATCCACTCAGGCTCGGGCACCCAATCGTCGAAGCTGATGACGTCACTTCTTGCCAGACGCCACCAAACACGCTCTTCTTCCTCCATGGGATCTCGGTCATATCTTCGCCGGTAAGTGGCACGAAAGCAGACGCCACTGCCCCATCCATCACTGTAGGCCTTTATTAGCTCGCGCGCCCACGCGGTATGGACCTACGCCACTGTGAGCTATCGGAAATGGGCGCCCAATCTGTGCACTTGCCTTCCTATCCTGCAAAATCCACTCTTGCTTGGTCAGGGCTTCGACGCCTATGGTGGTGTACTGGCCGACGTATAGCCAATACCGTGAGTTCTTTCCCTTGAAACCGCCTTTCTCGCCTCCAACGAGGACTGTGTACATGTTCCCTCCGGATAGTTGAGACTTGTCATCTTGATTCACCACGGGCTTCTTCTTATCTTCAACTCTAATCACTATGTTTAGTGTTAGACGCGTACGACTCTGTATGGGCAATATCACTCACGGTGCTTGTGATTCACCAAGAAGTCCGCGATGTAGTCGTCAGGTGGTCGATAGGTCCCATCGACGCCCCAGTGCATCGCGCCATGCTCCCCGGGTCTCTTTGGCGCATTAGGATGCAGATGAAGGGGTATAAACGCAAAGTTATTGATGCCTCTGCCGGGGAGGTTGAACTTTTCTTTGGCGGGTGTCGGACACATATCTTGAGGAGAGCCGCCGAAGTACCAGGACATACACGCGCGCGAGAACAGCACGTTCTGCAGAAGTTCCGGAACTCCCTGCACTTCGAACGGGACGGTCGCGCCGACTCGACTAAAGCGCGTCTGCATTGTGATCTCGTCGAACTCTAGTTCCTTCTTCGCCTTCAGTTTGACATTTGTGGCCACGCTCTACAAGGTGTACGTGAGCAAACAAGCCTTCAATCTGACGGCTGATCAGCGTACATTATGGTTGATGGCATTCAGAATGATATCGTCGTCCACGTCGATAGGCTCATTCTTTATTCTGACAGTGGGTCTCGCAGTGACACCGGCCCTCGGAGACGTTGCGTGAGATTCGGCAGGGGTGAGGCCACGAGAGGGTTCTTCGTCATCGGCCTCGAAGGGCGGGAGAATGTCATGATCAACAAAGGGCGCTTTCAGTTCTCTAGACTGTGGCATCAGTGAAGTCACACAGCTTAGGTGACTAGGCTTACACAAGAGGCATATCGACATCCGCGTCAGGCTCGTCGAACTCATACGTCGGAAACGTCACAGTTTCCAGAGGGGGATCTTCGGCCGTTGCCATATGGTGATCATATTTGAAGCTGGACGTATGTTGGTCCTCAGACCCAAAAACTGCAGGTTCAAGTGGCCATGCTAGGCTGATGGTTCGAGAAACTCGGGCCCTCTTACTGGGAGCACGTTGAGGCGGGACGGGCGGTTTCGAATTTGCTTCGAAGTCGGAGGAAAGCGCAGATAGAGAAGATTCGGAGCGTGTGCGCTTCATACCACGGTGTAGCATGGGAGATACGGATGCCTTGGTAAACGAAGAACTTGAGAGCGGTAATGCGTCAGCAGCTTCCTCTTTCTTCGGTGTCGCCGGTGGCAAACGAGTGATATCGCTCCAGGGGTCCACCGTTTTGTTGACCTCAGGTTTATCCTGAGAGTTACTTCTGAGTGGTAACGGTATTGATAGTGCTATCCACGGACCTCTTGAGCCTCCGAGGCGAAGTTTGCGGGGTGCCATTCAGGGAGCGCTTGTGCCATCTCTGGCTTGCCAATGCTCGGGGTGATTCCGCTTTGCGTCTCTTCATCTTTGGTCACTGGCTGCAAAGGGGTGATATCGTTCCAAGGGTTGATCGTGTCAGAAAGTGGAGGCGGTTTCAACTGGACAAAGGTGCATGAAGCTCTGACGAAGATGCCAATACATATCTAGCAACTCACGCCACTTTGGTCGCTGTCTTGTGGTTCGGTCTCTACGAACACCTTCAGTTCGACTGAGGACAAGGGCTGTTCCGGAATGGACCGCTTCTCCGTTATGTGCGGCGGACTTCCATCGCTAGTACCGGACACGGGTGCTATTGCGGGCTTAGCTAACGACAGTAGTGAGCTTCCTACTGCAAGCCTACCACTCGGCTCACGATGTTCTTCGCTTTCCATAGTCAGCTGCTCGTTTGTGCGGGGACGCTAGGTGCTGAAGACGTGTTTGAGAGAGCTAAGCGAGACGCGACCTGCACGTTGGTCTGCGCCGGGTTGCCACCTGGCTGTCGCGTTGCTTGAGGAACAAGCAGGCGTGGGAAGGATGTTCGTCCCGAACGCCGGCGGCGAGCGGATGAGCCCGGGGTAGGTGATAAACTGCATTTCAAAGACTAGTGCAGTCCTATGTCCTACTATGTGCCTACTGACCGGCGTTACCAATCCAGGGCAAGTAGGAGAATTGATCCATAATCGAGGCAACTTAATGTGGGAGCGTACAGTACCAATATCGTCGTACAGCGTCATTTACAATTCATCAGTCACCGATTACAACAAAACGTGACCGAAACTGTCGTGCATTTATGATATGATACCCAGTCAGTAATCCCGTCTTCGCAATCCGAGTTGGTCTATCCGTCTTCGGCAACCTCGTCTTCGATGCGCCCATCTTCATCGTCTTCCATCTCGACATGGGGGTCTCCGAAGTCGGACGGGCACTATGAAGCTTGACGACTTTCTTTGTTCTTACCGGAAGGCACATCCGCATGGGTCACCGCGTCTGGCTTCTGTCCTCTAGCCAGACTTGCCATACCAGCCTTCCTCGCCGAGATAGTGCCTTTCTCTTCACATGGTTCAATTAGAGTTCAGCTTTCCTTTTAGTGAGCTAATCGCCCTCGGCGTACCTGTGTATGGGCTGGCTCGGTTTCTGCATCGCCATCAGCTTTCATGATGGTCTTCTTCGGCCCTTTCGGGTTCTTGAAAGCCGGAACATAGTTCTCCATATCGAGAGCAAGCTAGCCTTGCAGATCAGCATCCTACAAATGCACTTCATGACCTCAACTGCTAGACGCTGCAGACCGGGTTGTCAAATCGTGTCCGTCAAACTCCAGTATAACCAAGGATAGCTCCTTCCCCTAAGGGTCAGCTGTCGTGCGCGACTCGATCTCTGCCTCGATGAGACCTCTACTGGTAACAAGTACATTCAGGGTCAGCGCATAGTATGCCTTAACGAAAAACAGATTGGAACAAGAGAGCGATGGTGATCAGCGCGTTCGTCACTCGGGCATACAGTTTTAGCGCCCGTGGGGTTGCAATAAGCCCTACACCGCGGGAGGTTAACACAGTTATACATCGAGGTGAAGGAGTCGAATGCTGACCTACGTTATCTGTCCCAATAAAGTACTAGTCAAGTCTCAGTTGATAACCAACCAACTCGTCCCAACCGACCCAGCAACACTGTATCCTTCCAATTCTCGACCTGGATATCAAAGACCGGCGGGAGACCGGATTATTTGGCAGCGGTGTGCATGGGTATCTCGGCGCAGTTGTGCACGCATGCCTTTCATGATCCATATTAGGTAGCGAATGCACGCGATATGCATAGTTCGCGCGGGAGGGAGGGATGATCAACAGTGGAGACCACGACAGTGTCATACGTTGCAAGTTGATGTATTGCGTGGCAAGCAGCCCAGGTAGGTGACTGGTAAGTACATATCATGATGGCATTCGAGTCAGGCCTAGCGTCAATGTGAATCGGGCCCGTAGGCTTGTTGAGTTTAGGACGTGGTGGTCAGAGACAAGCGACGAACACGTTGCACACGTCAGTTAGACGCGTCGCGACGCGCTATTTCAACCGAAGTGCTTGAACGCGTCTCGATCCAACACTTTACGCCTCTTCGTCTGCCATCATGTCGACCGCCGAGCACTCTGGTGCAGGCGCCGTATCGGCCAAACATGTCATCTACGCCGAGATCCTGGCTGTTACCACGGTCATGCGCAAGAACTCGCGCTGGTCTTCGTCTAGCCAGTACTATAACACGCGCGACTCTGCCCTAGCGAGCGACCTCGGATTGAAGCGCTCGGGGCCATCAGGCAGTGCAGCGCGTAGAGGGACGGAAGAAGAGGAGCTTATGTCTGCATTCGAACAGCTGAAGCGCGAGTTGCGCAGTGCACCGGGTATGCGATCTAACCCATATGCGTATCATATATGGAACTGAAGCTATGTTAGATATCTACGCGCTACCTCTATCCAGTATATTATCTCCTTTCCTGGCCATCATACGCTCGCCTCTTGCTACTGGACCCATCGCATCTGCCGCATTGTCTGCCGTTCACTCGTTCTTCGCACGCGGGCTCGTGCTACCGGAGGCACCTACTATTGACGCCACTCTTGCGGATCTGAGCACCTCCATCTCGCATTGCAAGTTCGAGGCTAGCGACTCATCTGGTGATGAGGTTGTACTGCTACGCATCCTAAAGGTCATCGAGGATTGCATGTGCAGCCCGGTTGGCACACTGCTAGACGATGTGGAGGTCTGCGAGTTGCTCGAAACCGTCTTGACAACTTGCGTTCAGATGCGCCTGAGTGGTAAGCGCTGAACCATGCACCTATATATGCATGACTCTTATGACTTGTGTCCTTACAGAGACTCTGCGCCGCTCTGCTGAGCTTACCATGCACGCCTTGGTGCGAAGCACATTCTCGCGAGTGCACTCATTGGACCCAGTCGAGGAGGAGAAGAAGCTCGTCAACGCCCGGTCGCCCGTTTCTGGGCAGACCGACATGACTATGACCCCAGCACCCTCTACAGTTACAATTACGGCTGCAGACACCACCAGTACTCTTGTTGCAGAGGCTACCGCAAACGCCGAGGAGGCGCCTGAGCCTACCGCGGTAGAACAGGCAATTCGAACACCCTGTCAGTCATAATTCTACTCTAGTACACGGACAGTGGCTCACACACACATCTCTAGATGGTGTTCCCTCGCTTGTCGAGCTACTGCGCGTGATCATCAACATATTGGACCCTAACGAGCGTGTTCATACCGATTCGACACGATTGCTGGCTTTGGGTATCCTCAACACGATCTTTGAAGTCTCTGGTTCGCGCATCGGCGACTTCCCCACATTGCGTACCTTGGTGCTCGACCACGGATGCAAATATCTTTTCCAGCTTGCGCGCTCCGATAACCCTGCAATCCTACATCTGTCCCTTCGCACGATCGCAACGATGTTCACGGGCATGCGCGCGCACCTGAAACTTCAACAAGAGCTCTTCCTCGCCTTTACACTGGACCGTTTAGCTCCACCCGCAGCCGGCAAGACGCCGAAGCTACAGAGTACACCACGTCTTGGTGGCCCTACCGGAAGAGGGACGCCGCGCACATTCTCTCCTTTACTCGAGCCCGTCGACGAGTCCGACTCCGAGAAGAGCGGACTGGCACCCGGGAAGCCCTCAGCGCTACCTGCGCGGGGCGAGACACGCGAGTTGTTACTGGAGACGCTATGTCAGATCGCTCAGCGCCCGGGCTTTATGGTAGAGCTCTTCGTGAACTACGATTGCGACATCAACTCCGAGAATATTTTCGAACGTCTAGTTGACGTCTTGACGAAGGTACATCATCCCCTTATCGTTAACCCTGCCGCGCTCATCACCTATGTCAGAGCGTGTATGCGGAATACTACGGAGATAGCGGATTGAGCTCCACGAGCTCACAATACCTATCTCTCGACTTGTTACTTGCTTTCGTGAACGATATGGCCAATAGATCGAATGAGGTGCGTTTTTCTCACACTTTGCGCCACTGGTGTACTCACACGTTAATAGATCCATTCGGACCCGAACTCAGTGAGCTGAGCGATCTCCACGTAAATTCTCGGCTCACAATGCAAACAGTCACTGGACCCGGTGGAGCTCATGCGGGTAAAGTCGCAGAAGCAGTTGATCCAAACTGGCATCTCCCGCTTCAACGCGAAGCCCAAGACGGGCATCGCCTTCCTCGAAGAACACGGTCTCATCTACCACGATGTTACGCCAGAAGGCACCCCGGCCGAGCTTCAGGTGACCAAGCCGCTAAGTCTTGCGCGTTTCCTCAAGAGCTCTACGCGTCTCGACAAGAAGGTCCTCGGCGAGTATCTTGGTCGACCTGAGAACGTGGAGGTCCTGCAGGAGTTCGTCGGCTTATTCGACTTCCGAGGTGTACGTCGCATCTCTTCTTAGTGCCACTGTAGTTTCTCAACGATACGCGCAGAAAGATGTTGCCGACGCCATGCGCGAGTTGCTCGAATCCTTCCGTCTGCCGGGTGAATCACAGCAAATTGATCGGATCACGGAGACGTTTGCGAAGCACTACTTTGCGTCGGGCCCTGGTGTGTTTCTACATAACTTCGTCTGCATGGTCGAGGCTTATATATTGTTATGCAGCGGAAATCAAGACCCAAGATGCAGTATACGTTCTAGCCTTCTCGGTCATCATGCTTAACACGGACCTACACAATCCACAAGTCCGCGTACGTGGAAATCAGCCCATAACTATTGACACGACTGAGCTCAGCGCAGAAACGTATGACGATCGAGGACTACTCGCGTAACTTGCGAGGTGTCAATGGTGACTCAGACTTCTCGCCGGAGTTCTTGGTGCGATGATACCTCGTCCCTCAATCGTCTCACGTTCTAACGAGCCATCTAGTTGTCCGTGTATGAGTCCATTCGTAAGCAAGAGATCGTCTTGCCTGAGGAACACGCCGGACAGCTTGGCTTCGAGTTCGCGTGGAAGGAGTTACTCATGCGCTCCCGCAAAGCCGGTACGTGCAGATCCTTATCTCAGGTCCTGAACATATCTTGACCATACCCAGGTGAACTCGTCCTCACTAACTCGCCCGCTTTCGACAAGGAGATGTTTAAGTCGGTTTGGAAACCCGTCATCACAGCGATCACCTACGCCTTCATGACCTTCGACGACGATTACGCAATCGAGCGCGCCATTGCCGGCTTCAGGCAGTGCGCAACCCTGGCCGGCCACTTCGAGCTCCCGGACGTCTTCGACTACGTTGTGATTTCCCTCTCGCAAGCGACCAACCTCTTGTCCGAGAGCCTCATCACAGAAGTCCCGATGTACCCCGTCGTCACGGTCGAAGGCCAAAGCATCACCGTCTCATCACTCGCCGTGAAGTTCGGCGCCAACCTCAAAGGCCAACTTGCAGCTGTCGTCCTCTTTAACATCATGAACCGCAACGGCAACGCTATCCGCGAAGGGTGGACACAAGTCTTCGAGATCTTCCAGAACTTGTTCATCCACTCGCTCTTGCCGACACGGATGCTACAGATGGAGGACTTCCTCGGCGGCGTATCGATGATCCCGTTGCGCGGCGGCAAGAACCAGCCCAGGCGCGCTCCTGCACGCCAGGACGGTCTGCTGTCGACGTTGACGTCGTACCTTATGACGCCGTACAGCGCCCAAGATGCGCCTCTTCCTCACGCAACGGAGGCCGATATCGAGGCCACGCTATGCGCGCTTGATTGCATCAACACCTGTCGCCTAGAGGACCTCTACGCGCAGCTGCCTCAACTCTCACGCGAGCCACTCGTCGCTGCCCTCCGTTCCCTTGAGGCTCTCGCGTACGAACGCACCGTCGCGCGCTTACAGCAAGAGGTCGACGATAACGCCTCGAGCGAGAGCCTGGCGCCATTGGACGCGCCTGAGCGTGTCTTGTCATACGATCCTGCATCCGTATTCCTATTGGAGACGATGGTCAGCATCGTGTGCCGCACACCCGAACACGTCGAAGAGCTTTGGCCAATCCTCTTCGAGCACGTCTCCGCGCTTCTCCAGTCGAGCCAGCGATACAGCATCCTGCTCATTGAACGCGCTGTTGTGGCGCTGCTGCGCATCTGCTCGATACTTGCTACGAAACCGACTATGCGGGATCAGATCTACATCTCTCTCGATCTGCTCGGCGGTCTTCCGCCTGCGGTGGCGAACTCTGTGGCGGAGCAGATCGTCTCGGGCATTGCGCTCATTGTGCAGACGCATCGCCAGGTGATCAGGTATGTGTGCAGCGGGCATGTAATCGACCTCTACTCAACGCCCTTTCCAGCTCGCAGACGGAGTGGAATTTGGTCCTTGCGCTCGTGCGCTCGACAATGGGTCACCAAGAAGCCGCTCGTGCGTCCTTCAAGCTCGTTCAGGACCTTGTCCGCGAGGGCGCAGGTGTCACCGCTGAGAGCATCCTACCGATCGTTGCCATCCTTGACGACTTCGCCGCGACAGCCGGCATCGTAGCCGAGAGCGAGATTGAGCAGCAGCATATCCGGAGACGACAGAAGCAGGAGGCGCCGCCTCCATCTCCAGCTATTGAGCGTGGTCGCGAATCTATCGACTTGCTCTTCGAAGTTCTCAAAGCTCTACCGTCGGCTGTTGAACCGTCAGACGAGCGTTGGGCACAGCTCGCGTTCCCCATTCTCATCGCGTTGTCTGCGCACTCGGCGTCTGCGTCTGCGGAAGTCAGGCATGCGTCGCTGTCACAGCTCTCTCGTGCGCTACTTGGCCCTCTTGTACCTCCATCACCCTCGCTCGATGTGCCTGCGCTCTTTGCGCGTGCGCTGTACCCGCTCTTGGAGTCGCTCCTAGACGCACCTGCTGGGCCCGAGGCTACTGAGGCGCGCGTACGCTCTGCTGCTATCGCATGCAAAGCGTTCATGCGTTTCGAAGTAGGCGCAGATGACCGTGAGCCTGGTTCGGATGGTACAGATGAGGTGCTGTCTATCTGGGTGCGCATCCTCGAGTACCTCGACGCGATGTTGCGCGCGGACCAGAGCGATCAGATGGTAAGCTTATGGTGTTGCGATCATTTTACGCCCTGTGCTGACTTTCACCTGTAGATGGAGGCGGTCCCGGAGTCGCTCAAGAACGTCGTACTGGTGATGCACGCTGCGGATCTGCTGGTACCACCAACCGGCGGGGGCGCACACGATACGCGGTCTCCTCGACAACAGGTCCTGTGGGACGCGACGTATCGACGGGTTGAGGGTGTACTTCCTGGGTTCTTGGCTGCTGTCATACCCGCGCCTCCGCCACCACCACCTTCGGCACAACCGGCTGCTGAAGCGCCGGCGGAGAGTGGAGAGCTGGCTGTGGCGCCAATAGAATAGATGGGGTTCGGACAGGATTCTTGGACACGGATTGTTCCTTTCAATATCTTACATGTAATTTATATTGCACGTTCGCGAGGAGAATTCGAGTTCCAGCACAGACAATGGGCATTCGTGAACGTATACATACAGTTTGATCTGAACAGACAATCATGCACCAGGAGTGTCCGTCGCCCTCGAAGCCATAGCCGCCTGCCCCGCAGCCGTAGCCGCCAACCTCGTCCTCTTCCTCTCAGCCTCAGCCTCCTTCTCACGCTCAATCTCCTGCACAATCTCCTCGATCTGCTCCAACTGCAAGTTCGTGATCTTCCCATAGCTCTCCATCACGCTGATCTCGATGTTCTTCGCGCCGGTCTGCACGACCTCGAGCAGGGATTTGACGGTCAGCTTGATGCTCTCGTCGCGCGTGAGGTCGTCTTTGTGGTTCTTCTCGAGGAACTCGCGGACGGTTTTAGAGGAGCGGCCGATGGCGTTTGCTTTCCAGGCGCTGAAGATGCCGCTCGGTTCGGTCATGTATAGGCGTGGTCGGGTGTCATTGGGGTCGAAGCCGACGATGAGAGTTGAGATACCGAATGGGCGGACACCGCCGGATTGTGTGTATTTCTATCACGAGTGTCAGTGTCTGAGATATATGGCTTTTGGTGCACATCAAACGTACCTGTTGAATACCAGCAATGTGCCGTGTGATGTACTCGACCGTCACTGGATCCTCGACCGTCAAGCGATGACTCTGGCACTCGACGCGCGCCTTGTCAATTAATACACGTCCGTCCGCGGTCAATCCTACATGATTATTAGCATTAAGATGCAAGTTATAGGCGGGGATTTACTCGCCAGCAAAGGCTAGACAAACGTGATCGTCCAGCATCACAACCTTTCGTACTGTACGTGGGTCTTGCAATTGCAATACCGTCTTCTTCTCCACACCGAGGACTACTACGTCCTTTCCACGCACACCTACCTGCAATACATGATTAGCACGATACTCACTGTATTATCTGTTGGTATACGCACTGCACAAGTACCCTTCTTGACTGCCTCAGCTGCATATTCGACCTATATCCACGCGTCAATAATCAGGTTCATTCGCGACGCGTCGTACCACGCACCTGAAACAAGTGGCCATCGGGCGAGAAAACGGTAAGAGCTACATCATACTGTCAAATTCAGCGGTTTACGAGTTCAAGTTATATATACCTACCGCGGTCGTAGGATCTAGACATGGTGGGCTGAGTAGTGAGAGCAGGAACGCAAGATGCGCGAGACGCGTACGCGCCGCGTGCTGCATCTTGATCGCGACGCGTGTTTGGGAACACGTCATATCTCTGACATCCGCGTTTTAGACGCCTACCCAGTCTTTCTTAATCAAGCTTTGAATATGATCAGGATATTGAGCATTGCATGAGTATGTGCGGTAAGCGTATGAAAGAGTACAGTAGAGACCATGGTACATTTGTCGACGAGATGAATCAAGATCGGGTAATAGAGTCGAGAGTAGGAGCGGGTAAGCAGGTCAACAACATCACAAGAGCACTGTTCGTCCCCAGAGCAGAAAAACCATTGGCACCCATGTAGGATTTGGAGGTTATCTGAAAAGTTAGCGGTAGCACGAGTGAAGGAATATACTTTTATCCGGTTTCGGTTGGTACGGGTTGAGTTATGGAAGCGACGTGAGAGCACTTAGACCTCTTGATATCTTGATGTATTTCTGTAGCGGGGACCGAGGGATGGCGGCAGTGGTGCCTCGGAGCTGAGAACGAGACGACGAAGGCGCGGACTGAAGTCGCTTGGTAGGAAAGGTAGCGAAAGGCTCAGGGACTGCGAGTGAGGACGTTCTTACTCGACTCGCGCACGTTTTGAGTCTGTGAAGTGGAGTCAGCATGTTATAGCACCGTGACATATCGACGAGCGCTTACCTGGTGTGGCGGAAAGCTGACGCGAGGTATCAAGTCCATCCGTCTCATCGTACTCCTCAAGATCATCATAGCGACGCTTCAGGCTGCTATCGGACACTGCGGGCGCGATAGTCTCGCCCTCGTACGAGGCATCGTCCCAGTACTCCGATGCACCGGTGCTCAGACCGCTGATTTGGCTCTCACCACCGTTGGCGAGCATAGGAAGTGCCAAACCTATGGAAGATACATGAGCCACACGAAATTCGAAGATGAAGAAGTATACGCACTGGAGAACACGGGAGACGTCTCATCGTTGTCAGCGGCAGGATCAGTGCGCGAGTGCTCATCTTCATCTAAAATATACAAGTCAGCACGATGCTAAGTGACCCGGACGATCTAAGAGCATACCTTGTTCACCTGCCTCTGCGCCCTCGTCATCAGGATAGCCGTCCTCATTCAACGGCCCGTCCTCTCCACCAGGATAAGCGTCGACGCCGCCCTCCTGGCCATCATCACCCTCAAGCGTCCCCTCCGACGCCTCCTCGCCCTCGTAGACCTCTCCGGTCTCGTCAACGGGCGCGGATGCGTCAAGAGCTTCAGCGGCAGCCTCTTCAACCTCGTCGCCTTCTTCCTCGTCTTCCTCATGCGGAACAGTCTCTTCGGCGTACTCAGTCGTCTCGGGTGTAAGACCTGTAGTTGCGTCCGTGTCGGCTTGGGCGTGTACGTCGTCGGCATCGAGTTCGCCTTGCAAGTCCGAGGGAGGGTCGACAGGGTCGTTATAGGGTCCGTCGTACGTCGTCTCGAGAGCGTGGGCGTCTTCTCCGGTCACTGCATGAACGGGCGCGTCGGCTTCTTGCTGAGTCGTTGATGTCGGCTGGACTTGCTCGTCGTCGTCCTCGCCTTCAGCGTCGGCATCCGCATCGTCGTACTGGTCTTCTTGGCCTTCATCTGGTGCCTGGTCTTGGTGGACCATATCAGGGACGGGAGCGTGGTCGACGGAGGACTCTTGTTGAGCTTGTCCAGATTCGAGGTCTTGCTGTGCGTCAGTCTCGGCTTGTTCTTGGACGTGCGTCTCAACTGGTGGTGCTGGAGCCGCAAACTGTTCTTGTGATGCATCTACACAGATAGAATAAGCCACTTCGCCCAAAAGCATCCAATTTTAGAACAAACCTTGCTCGTACTGTTCCGCTTCGCCTGCTTCTTCGGCGTCGTAGGTTGTACCGGCCTCCGCTAGATCCATACGATAGACCTGTTCGCGCAAGGCGTAGTAACGCGTCAAGAATCTGAAAGGAGAGCAACGCAGTCGGAGACGGAGTGGGCCGTCGTGACTGGTGCCGTCGTGTAAGCTGTTCAGATCATGCAGAGAGACCTCGCTTGCGAGAACGTTATCCTGTGGGTGAGTTGATTAGTCATAGCTTTCTGCGTATGTAAATGAAAGCTCTTACCTCAGATACCACTAGCTGAAGGTCGTATGCATCTATCATCATCTCACCCTCGGCATAGTCGGGTAGAAGCCGCTGAACATCCTCGACCGAGCGAAGCTCGGAGAAAATTTCCGACAGCGGGGCATAATACAGTGTTGGTTGCTCTTGAAGCAGTACCTGGTACCGAGGAGGCGTCGGGGGCTCACCACCCGAGCTACCTGCGCGAGAGGTTGAGGGCTCGTTGAACAAGCAGTAAGACGCTTCGGCAGAAGAGGTTGACAGATCGAGAAGGACAGCAGGCGGCGGTTCGATCCACATGCCGTCCTCAATCTCGTGCGGGTCGCCCTCGTACTCTTGTTCGAGGCTACCTTCAGGTTCCTGGTATACCTCGGCTTGATCCTCCGGTGACGCCACGTAAGCCTCGCCAGCATTTTCACGCGGTGGTTCCTCAGTGTAGGGATCGCCTTGAGCTTCGTCGTATGGTCCGTGTTCTGGTTCGTATGCAGCGTCGGCGTTGGCATCTTGTCCTTCGCCCGCTTCCTCGTATGGAGCTGCAGCTGATTCCTCGTAAGCGCCACCGGCCGCCTCCTCATAAGGACCATCCACAGCCTCTTCGGATCGCTCAGCGAGGTACTCTGGATGGGCCTCGGAGGGAGCGTCAAAAGGTTCGGGCTGCGAGTCGGCAGGTGCATCTTCGGGTGCGTTCTCGGTGCTGGGAGCCTCGTAGTTTTCCTGCGGTGATATCGGCTCGATTGGGGCGGAGGGCTCCGCTACGGTGATGTCGCCTTCAAAAGCAGTAACAAACGACGTCTCAGCCAAAGAGTCAACAGCTTCAGGATTATGAGCCTCCGTAAAAACAGCGAATCCGGGAATTTCCGGAGGGTGTTCGGACATGTCGTGTTCCACAGCGACCGGGTTCCCGTCGTCAACGTGCGCGTCGACAAAATCGACATCCACAACGGGCACCGGCTGCTCCTCGTAGCCCGAGCTTTCGTCTTCCATCTCGTACTCCACGCCATCGCCGTATCCTTCCATATCGACTTCGACGTCGGCAGTCTCGTACGTATCGTCGTCCATTGTGGCCTCGTTCCATGTTTTAGGCGAGCTGCCGAATGTCGCGTGCATCGGCACGTCCACGTCGGGCTCTAACATCGGCGCATCGTACATCTCCATCATTTGTGCGCTAGAATATTATGTTCAAAGGGAGAAAGTGGGTGGTGGGAGTCGCAAAGAGAAAAGCGATCGCGACCTGGCGACCCTTTGCCACCGTCACCGGGCTCCGCGCCCGACATCCGATCCCGAGCCTCTAGCATCCGCGCCGAACCAACGCGCATCGGTCTTGCTCTCCTCTCTCACCACTCCTCTTGCACTCTGACTACCATGGCCGATCCAGCACAGGCTCTGGCTCTCGAACAGGCTCGCGCTGCCGATACCGAGTTTCTGACTCGGCGGTCTATGACCAAGGGCTATGAGCTGTTCTCGCTTCTTACGCCGCCTCTGTACACTGCGTTTGTCTTGCTACGGAAGCCGAAGGGGCACTTCAATGTGAACAGGCTGCTACGCGCGACTTGGTTTGGCGGCGCTACTGGTGAGCTTGTGTTATAGAGTGAGAGGGACTGGGTGTTTATGTGATCGTGTGCAGGTATCGCGGCTGGAGGCGCGTTTGGGTATGTGCGTGCGACGAACACTTCCCCGGAAACCTTGAGGCACCGTAGGATACAAGCCATCTATGATGTACGTGGCCCGGACACTTCAATAAACTTATTCTGATGTCCGTGTGTAGGCCGACTCTATGCGCACCGACGACCACGCTACCATTGGTGCTCTCTTATTCGCCGTACTGACTCCAGCCATGTTCTGGAAACGAGCAACTACGATTCACTGTGAGTGCTCTGTATCTACTCATGCCTTTTGGAGATGACTTGCTAATACCTCTCGTCTTGCAGTGATCTTTGGTGGCGCAGGTCTTGGAACAGGCGTAGGGATGATCACGCATTGGGTTCGGCACATCACAGGTGACCCGGCCCCTCATAACCCCATACCTGAAGCTCTCACTGTACCATCTTCGAAGAACTAGCCTCTATAATGTCTCTTGCTTGACGCTCATGCAAGCCCTAATGAGAACCTCCACACGGTTAAGTACTCTGCGCGGCACCCTCTCAGGCCTCATCGAGAACGAATGTGGTACGAGCAACTTGAGGTGTCGATGGAGTGCGACTACAATGATGCACCCGCCAACTTGTCGTACCGCCAAAAACCTCATCAAGGCTGAAAGCATGATTGCGGCGTCGACAGCGCGCTGCAAATCCCAGTAAACCAGGGTGTGACGTCACGCGTTTGATCTGCTAGCACTGTAGCAGTGCACTGTGCAGTGAAGCCCCATTCCTGAGGGTCACCCTATGCAAGCCCGAGTTGGAAGGAGACTGCCAGATGCGGATCGTATGATTCAAGTAGATGCACTCTACGTCGTATGGGGGTCTTGTACACTATGGCAAGACGAGTTTAGCCACCAACGCGTCCTTCTCAAGTATCTGCTCCTTCAACTTCTCAACGTCCCCGAGATCAACAGTCGAATCGACGAAGCTGATTGATACGCGATCGTGAGTCTTAATGCCATCATGCAACAGGATAGCATGCTTACCGTCCGCTCAGCCAATCGTACTTGCCCGATGTCAGCGCCAGGATCGTGGCGGTGGGAAGTTGAGGAGTGTCGATGAAGATCTCAGTTGGCAGCCCCGAATTCTGTACGCTAACGTCAGAAAGCTGAACCCTTGAAGCCATAGTCATGGCCGAACTGACCTTAGCCATATCAGTCCAGACTGCGCCTGGATGTAGTGCAATAGCTGTTACGTTCGAGTACTCTGCGAAACCGATCAGCTGCGGTGCATTCAGAGGATGGTGGGGATCATCTCACCGAGAGCGATGAACTCAATCAGACGGTTCAGCGCAAACTTGCTCACACCTATACAGTATACCGTATCAGTGGCTTAAAGCCTTTGGCTAGCACTACGCGCCTGAAGAGGGACGGACCGTAGTCAGAGGCACCGAAGTTACGCAGTTGTGCACCGATAGAGCTGATGGCAATCACATATCCGTTCGTCTTTGCTAGATGCTTGAGCGCAGGACTAGTAGATCTTGTCAGACATATGGCAGAGAAGGCATAAGACCGCTGTGTACCTGACGAAGTTGAGGGTGCCCAGCAGGTTAACCTCTTGGGTGTTCCACCACTGACTGATGGCGCGCTCTCCAACAGCTGGATCACGGCGAGTTCGTCAGCCGTCCACTTTCGCAGGCAACACAGAGCAAGCGATGCTTACGAGTTCCATCTGCCGGAAGCGTCGTGCCTGCATTAGCCACCACAACATCGATCCTCCCAAACTTCTCAACCATATCCTGCACGGCCTTCGCAGCAGCATCCGTATCCTTCACATCCGCTGCGAACGTCAACACCTCAGCACCTGGCACCTCCTCCTGGATCTTCTGTCTCACAGAGTCAAGTGTAGACGCGGTGCGTGCGACAAGCGCGAGCTTCGCCCCCGCGCGGGCATAGAAGGATGCGATGACGGGGCCTAAGCCGCGGGAGGCTCCGGTGATGAGGACGACTTTGTCAGCGAAGGATTTAGTGGTGAAGGCGGATTGAGGGTCGATTGTGGGGTAGATGCTGAGATTGCAATGTTGTTAGTGTAGGACCCGAAAGGGGTTGGGAGGTGGTGCGCGTACTCGTGGCGGTCGGTGAGACCTTGAAGGCGTTCATCGAGTCCTTTGAGCTGGCTGAAGCCTGAAGCCTTCGACATGACGCAGACAATCAAGTACAGGTAGTTTCAATCAAAAGAGTTAGTTGTAAGCCGCAGCTTCTCCCGAATCGACAAGCCCCTTATATACGCTCGATCGCGCTGTGGCACCCTCCCAGACAGATCTCAAGGGTGAGTAAGCAGCGCGGGGGTTCGAGCGCACTCGTCTAAAGCGCATGCGCAAACCTCTACTCTCTTGACAAAGACGCAGTCATGTCTAGTGAGGAAGTGACGGATATTCCGCATGTCGACGCACGACGGAAGTCGGTGGAATGACGAGAGATGATGGCGACAAGCGGTCGCAACGGCTTGGGACGGTGTGCATTCGGGTGCGTATCCGGAAGAGTCTCAATGAAGTGTGAACACGAAGGAATCGAGTCTTCACTAGAAGGTTATGCTTCCAAGGACTATGTCAGACTCCCATAGCGTGTTATGCATAAGTACATGGACGTTTGCGCCACGAATAGCCAGGTCTGGCGCTGGGGGTCGACGCGTCGATCGGAAGTCGGGCCGCAGGCCGAGTGGCCCGATCAGCAGAACTTTCGTCTGCAGCGGCCTTGTCCCCCACTGCGAACTCTGCACACTCAACTTAGTCCTCTCCCCTCACAGCTCTGTACATAGACCAGGCACGATGCCGAAAGCAACGAAGCGCAAGACCGCCATAACCCAGCTCAATGCCGTCGGTCCAAGCTCCTCAAGTAAACCGCAGTCCAGCCGGACTGTCATCCGGCGCTTCCACACGCTGCTCAAGCAACAAGCGCAACTCCAAGCGGGACCTCAGACGGCGCGTGCAGTCCAAGAGCTGAATGATATTGCGAAGGAAATTGACGAGCTGGGCGGACTGGCTGCGTATCAGCAAATGTCGAGTATCGGGCAGGGAGAGGACCGCGGTGGAGGGTCGCAGAAGGTGTTTATTGAATGGTTGAAGGAGGAGGGGTGGGCAGATAAGAAGGGAAAGGGGAAGCAGAAGTATGTCTCAGTATCTCTATCGTTTAATTGCCTTCTCATGAAACTGGGTAGGTTGCTCGAAGTAGGCGCTCTGCGACCTGACAACTACGCCTCCTGCCGGTCATGGCTGGACGTGACACCCATAGACCTCCGCTCTCGACACCCCGACATCAGAGAACAAGACTTTCTACTACTTGACCCCGAAGAAAACAGAGAAAGGTGGGACACTATCAGCCTGAGCTTAGTCGTGAACTTTGTCCCCGACGCAAAGGACCGAGGTGCGTCCGTATATCGCTCCATACCGTGCGCTTGCAAAGCCCGTCTTTCTCAGGACGAATGCTAACGCTTGCGAGGACGATGCTTCGTCGAGAAGGGTTACTCTTTCTAGCAGTACGTCTTACTACCCTCTGACAACCATACGCACGTTCTAATACTTATCTTCTTTCAGCTACCCTTGCCCTGCGTGATGAACTCCCGATATACCACCCCCGAACACTTGACCGCGTTGATGGAATGCATTGGCTTTGAGAAGTTACGCGAGCGCTGGAAGCAGGGCGGCAAGATGGCCTATTGGCTATTCCGCAAGTCCGAGTCTGCACCGACGACGGAGGGTTGGAAGTTCGCGAAGAAGAACGTGCTTCGGACGGGCAATAGGAACAATTTTGTTATACTGTTGTAGTACTTCATGTGACCGTAGACACTGCACACCAGTCTGAGCGTTTGGTGCTCAGATGCTATATCAGGATGTTGTGCCAGGGTTGCCGCCGGAGTCCGCGGCCGCGATGATGTTGCCTCCGACCGTCATATGGCTCGCGACGCGTAGATAACTTGCAATCGATCCTCCCTTTCATTCTCCCTCCATCTTGAGTCATGTCTCCCATACAGCTCCCTATCCTGCACTGGAACGACGTGTACCGCGTCCGACCGCAAAAGCTGCCCGGATCGAAAGAAACGATTGACTGCACGCAGTTCGCGGCGTTGTTGGATGATATTAGGGATCAGTGGGCTGAGCGCCGGGATGGGAAACGGGAGGGACTGGTGTTGTTCTCGGGCGATGTGTTCTCGCCCAGTGTTGAGAGCTCGGTGACGAGGGGAAGCCATATGGTATGCTCGAGTGATTGAGTTTGAGCGCATGTCCTGAGCGTGTGCAGGTGCCTGTTATGAACAAGCTGGCACCAGATGCATCTCTACTTGGTACGCGTACACCATTAATCCTGGATTTGTACAGTTCTGACAGTGCATACTAGGCAACCATGACTTTGACTTCGGTATGCAAGCGCCAACTTTATAACACTCGGCGTAGCCGATCACCGCTGAGTGAAGTCTAGGCTACCCCCATCTCTGCAAGCTTATGGCAGACACTCAATTCGTACGTTCATACTTTCTTTCTCGCCATCCGATTCTCATGGTCTATAGCCCTGGCTACTCTCCAACGTGATCGACAAGACGAAGAACACCGTTCCGGAACACGTAGACGAGTTCCAAGTCCTTGAGCGTCAAGGCGTGCGCATAGGCATCATTGGGTTGATAGAGAAGTACGTGCGCAGCCCGATGCATCACTCCCGTTCAGTCCTGATGGGGTCTTCAGAGAGTGGATTGGCACCATCTCTTCGTGGCCCTCCGAGTTCGAGTACTGCGATGCAGCACAAGTCGGCATTGCGCTCTCCAAGAAGTTACGCGACCCTAATGGGGAGCACAAATGCGATCTTGTGATTGCGCTCACCCATGCTCGTGTGCCGAATGTACGTCTATACCCTCTATGCCCTTGTATAGTGATCTGACCACGAGTGCAGGACGTAGCCCTGGCTAAATCCCTCTTCGCCCTAACACCCAAAGCCCAAAAGACCCGCCCCATCTCCAACGAGCACGGGGTTGATCTCATCCTAGGCGGCCACGACCACCTCTACTTCGTCGGGCGCGGCGTAGACGCTTGGGAGAACTATGATCTCACGGACAAGCCTCTAGGCGCCGAAAAGGACGAGGGCGATGTGATGGTTATTAAGAGCGGGACTGATTTTAGGGATCTGAGCGAGTTCACGATTGAGCTGGAGGATGCGCCTGAGGGGAGTGTGAGGCGGAAGGTCATCTCTCGTATTTCAGGTCCGTATCTGCCTCAAGTATCAACTGTACGCAGAAGCTGAACACCACGTCCAGGCAAACATCACGAGATCGCCCCACACATGCGCAAATGCGACGACCTCCAAAAGACGCTCGACGGCCTCCTCCAATCCGTCGGCTCAGCCCTCAAAGCGCCCCTCTGCAGACTCGAAGTCCAACTCGACGTCCGTTCCCAGCTCATCCGCACGCAAGAAATGGCCTCGTCGAACTGGTTCGCCGACATCCTGCGCCACACGTACGACGATGCGCTAGTGATGAAAGGAGTGAAGAACGGCGCGGACGGCGTGTTCATATGCGCGGGGATGTTGAGGGGCGATTCGACGTATGGGCCGGGGTATTTGACGCTGGGGGATGTGTTGGAGGTGTTGCCGTTTGAGGATCCGTTAGTGGTTGTTGAGATTGATGGGTGGACGCTTTGGGAGACGTTGGAGGCTTCGTTGTCTACTTGGCCTGCTCAGGAGGGGTGCGTATCTGCGAGCATATACACCCTTGCACTTTCACTGACGCCGTGTAGACGATTCCCGGTCATCTCGGGCTTCCGCATAACATGGGACTCTCGTCGTCCACCCGGCCAACGCGTTCTCGGCGTCTGGATGCAAGAAGAAGACGCTAGCGGCTCAGATAGTGGTACCGCTACGCCCGTACGCATCGATGGCGCAGCAGTCGAACGTACGAAGGGCGGTAGGATGTACTATATCGTCACGCGGCAGTACATGGTGGAGGGGCACGACGGATTCGAGCCGTTGATTGGCTCGAAGGAGATCATTGATGATGAGGCGGGTCAGATCACTTCTACTGTTGTGAGGAAGTACTTGCTCGGTATGTGCTCCATCATCCCTTGGTCTATGTGTGGAACGAGTAGCTGAACGCTGGTGTAGGAGCGCAATTCGTGAACAAACTGGCAGCGACAAACGAATCGCGCGAACACCTCGACGAAGAGACGCACGCCCTGATCAACCGCGCCCGACACGCCCGCCAACGCGAATCTCTCCACCGCCACTCCGCGCGCGTCCTCGAGAAATGGAAGCGCGCCGCATCGCAAGTCGCTCACCGGTTACGGAGCACGCGGCATTATAGGGACCACATACACATCACTGGCAAAGAGCATATGAGCGATGTGGACTGTTTTGATGGGAGTGCGGCGCGGAAGGCAGGTTTGGACGGGGGAGAGGATGGGGAGAAGAAGGTGCGCGGTGGGGAGGGTAGGGATAAGAGTGTGGATGCGGTTATGAAGAAGAGCTTGTTGGTTGTACATCCGGTTGTTGATGGGCGATTGAAGGACGAGGCGCGGCCGGAGCTGTCGAGGGGTCTGTCGAAGTGAGAGCGTAGGCTAACGAGCTGTTCGAGTAAAAGTACAGACGACGGTCGAACTTGTGCACTGTACATTACCACTTCAATGCGATCGGGAAGAGTCACTTAATTGATGGGCTGTCGATGACTTTGGCTGACGGGCGAGGCTTGTGCGATTGATTAGATGTGTTCACTACGCGCTCGTCCGTGCGCGGCGCAGTGGACCCGCCAGAAGGGGAACCGCATATATGCGCACTCGTGGGAAATACTGATTAGTCATCAATGCGGCTCCGCGAAGCGCCAGACGCGCGCGGGGCTCTTGACTGCACCTCCACCGTCGCGCAACGCGCACGGCAACAGTCTCCCCACTTTACCATCACTGCAATAATCATGGCGGATACGGAGAGCTTTGAGCACCAGGTCGCCATCAAGCTCTCGCGGGCGATCAACCTGGTCAACCCGAACGACCTGCTCGCCTCGCGCGTCATAGACATTGCCAAATCAAACGACGAGAAGGGGTTCATGAACGGTACGCCCATGCTATCCGCATATAATATAGTATATACTGAAATATATATACAGCCGCAAAGTCCTTCGGCAAGTTCCAAGAATCCTTCCTTTCCGAGCTGTATGCAGAGATCGTGTCCCATGCCAAGCAGGAGACTCCCGGCGCGCCTGAACCCGTAAAGGGAATCACCGTGCACGATAGCGATATGCTTGAGCCGGAACCGGTCAGGCCGGGTGGGCTTATGCGCAAGGACGCGGTAGGTATCCCTTATATTGTCTTGAAATACCTATAACTGACACTGTTATAGCGCCACGCTTTCAAAGCACCGGCAAGACCACTTGAGCCACCTACACCGCGGACCTCTGTGCTTGGGCTGGACAAGCTGGCGAGGGAGAAGCGGGAGGCGCAGGCAGATCAGGACGGGAGCAGGAAGAGGCCAAGGACGGACGACGGCTTCAAGGGTACGCAGTACGGTCATTGACTTGCCGTGACTCGGTACTAATGAATAATCATAGTTCCCGCTTTACCTGCATCTCGCATGAACAATGCCCGGCAACGCGGTCCGGAAACGCCCTCACACGGCGGTGGCCTCAGCGAGTCTGCCCGCCAGAAACTCGAAGAGCGCCGGAAACAGCGCGAACAGCAGAAGGGTGCGCGTATTCCCGCCACGGACTTGAAGTGATTGGCTGACGAACATATTCAGAGGGTATTGCTGCGCACAGGGAAGAACGCAAAGACGCGCCACAGGGTCTGGGCGACTTCCAGCGCCGGTTGAACCGTGACCAGGACCGGGGATGGAATGGCCGGAGGGGAGATGATAGGCGTGGGCAGGACAGAGGGAGGAACTGGGACGCGACGCCGCGATCCGAGCGCGGTGGACCTGCACGCGATGATGCGCCCAGTTTGCGCGTGCCGAACGTAGGCTGGGACGCAACGCCACGGAACGGGCGAGGTGGTGGCGAAGGCGGATGGGGCGGAGCGAGAAACAGAGCCTGGGACGCACCTACACCCCGCACCGTGCGCGGTGGCAGTCCCGACGGCGATCGGCCCGTACAGCTTGACGAACGGGAATGGGAGGAGGAGCAGTTGCGCATGGACCGCGATTGGTACTCTACGGCCGAGGAGGGAGGACTCGTGGGCGACGACATGCACAATCCGTTCTTCCAGTATCAGGATAAGGAGAGTACGAAGGAGCTGGAGATTCAGACGAAGGCTGTTAAGAAGATTTCGGCGAGGCAGGCTCAATACGTATGTCAATGCTATATTGCTTGTTCTCCGCTTTTACTGACGTGGAATCCTCTCAGAATGCGGATAACGACCTTTGGGAAGCGAATCGGATGGTCACGTCCGGTGTGGCAACGCGCAAAGGCGTGGACCTCGACTTCGAAGACGAGTCCGAGTCAACGGTACACGTTATGGTGCACGACCTCAAACCGCCCTTCCTCGACGGCCGCACGGTCTTCACCAAGCAACTCGACCCTATCAACCCCATCCGCGACCCCACATCCGACATGGCCGTCTTCGCCAAGAAAGGATCCCCACTCGTCAAAGAGAAGCGCGAACAAGCCGAGCGCGCAAAGGCCGCCGCGAAGCTCACCGGTCTCGGAGGGACGGCGCTGGGCAATGTGCTCGGAGTGAAAGACGAAGAGGCCGAGGCGGAAGGTGCGTGTATTACTTACGGGTCGCGCGTGCGGGTATCGAGATTGGTCTATTGATGGAGTCGTCTTTGTTTTGCAGTGGAGGGGGAACGCAAGGCGAAGGAGGACGGTAAGGAGGATTATAAGGGCGAGTCGAAGTTCGCGTCGCATCTTAAGACTTCTGCGGGCGTCAGTAGTTTTGCGAGGAATAGGACGTTGAAGGAGCAGAGGGAATATCTGCCTGCGTTCGCTTGCCGTGAAGAGTTACTCAAGACCATCCGCGAGAATCAAGGTCGGTAGACTGTCACGTTGTTCATACGATCGTGCTGATGCATACTGCAGTCGTTGTTGTCGTCGGCGAGACGGGTTCAGGCAAGACTACCCAGCTCGGTCAGTTCTTGTACGAGGACGGATACTGCCACCACGGTCTCGTGGGGTGCACCCAACCTCGACGTGTGGCGGCTATGTCAGTCGCCAAGCGTGTGAGCGAGGAGATGGAGTGCAAGTTGGGCGGCACCGTCGGCTACGCGATCCGGTTCGAGGACTGCACGTCGCAAGATACGAGGATCAAGTGTAAGTCTACCTCTTTCGCCAGCTCGAATCGCTGCTGATGTGTCGCTGTATAGTCATGACAGACGGTGTGCTTCTTCGCGAATCGTTGAACGAGGGCGACCTAGATCGATACAGCGTCATCATCCTCGACGAAGCGCACGAGCGCTCCCTCAGTACCGACGTCCTCATGGGTCTCCTCCGCAAGATCCTCTCCCGCAGACGCGACCTCAAGTTGATCGTCACATCCGCGACGATGAACGCCGAGAAGTTCTCGCAGTTCTACGGCAATGCTCCGTGCTTCACTATCCCTGGACGTACTTTCCCCGTTGAGACCTTCCACGCCAAGTCACCTTGTGAAGACTACGTGGATAGCGCCGTGAAACAGGTGCTCAAGATTCACTTGTCGCTTCCTCCGGGCGATATCCTCGTCTTCATGACCGGTCAAGAGGATATTGAAATCACCTGCCAAGTCGTGCAAGGTATGTATACGGCGTTGATGCTTCATAGGTATCGTGACTGACGAACGTACAGAGCGATTGTCGCAGCTTGACGACCATGCGCCTTTGGCCGTGTTGCCTATCTATTCCCAGATGCCCGCGGACTTACAAGCGAAGATCTTCGAGCCCACTGCTGACGGTCGGCGCAAGGTCATTGTGGCCACCAACATCGCCGAGACGTCCCTCACTGGTAAGTCGCATGGCGATCAGACTTTGATATTTACTCACGCGTGATCCCAGTTGATGGTATCTTGTACGTTGTAGACGCCGGCTACTCCAAGCTTAAGGTGTACAACCCCAAAGTCGGCATGGACGCTCTTCAGATTACCCCCATCAGTCAAGCGAACGCGAACCAACGTACAGGACGCGCCGGGCGTACAGGCAGCGGCTTCTGCTACCGCCTCTACACGGAGATGGCATACCGGAACGAGCTGTTCGAGAACACGATCCCCGAGATCCAGCGTACAAACTTGGCCAACACCGTCTTGCTGCTCAAGTCACTCGGCGTGAAGAACCTCCTTGAGTTCGATTTCATGGACCCGCCTCCTCAAGCCAACATCCTCAACTCAATGTACCAGCTCTGGGTCCTCGGCGCGCTAGACAACGTCGGCGACTTGACGCCCATCGGCCGAAAGATGTCCGAGTTCCCGATGGAGCCGAGCATGGCCAAGATGCTCATCACGAGCGTGGAGTACAAGTGCTCGAGCGAGATGTTGACGATCGTGAGCATGTTGAGTGTGCCGAGTGTGTTCTATAGGCCGAAGGAGAGGATGGAGGAGGCGGATGCTGCGAGGGAGAAGTTTAATGTGCCGGAGAGCGACCATTTGACGCTGTTGAATGTGTTTCAGCAGTGGAAGAGTCATGGGTGCGTTCTTCCTCTTCATTTCGATATACTCAGAAGTATGTACTGATGGAATACGTATAGGTTCCGCGACGACTGGGCGATGAAGCACTTCTTGCATCCCAAGCTGCTCAGGAAAGGGCGGGAGGTCCGAGTGCAGCTGGAGGATATCATGAAGTTCCAGAAGATGGACATCATCGCTGCTGGGACCGATTTTGACGTTATTCGCAAGGCGATCACTGCTGGATACTTCCACCAGGCCGCGCGCGTGAAGGGTATTGGCGAGTTCGTCAATATCCGCTCTGGGTTGCCGACGCATTTGCACCCGACGAGCGCGCTGTATGGGCTTGGATGTACGTGCTTCATCCTGAACTGCCGACGAATCAAACTAACCTACTTGATAGACACACCATCCTATGTCATCTACCATGAGCTCATCCTGACCTCTAAAGAGTACATGACCCAAGTGACCGCCGTCGACCCCTACTGGCTCGCCGAACTCGGCTCCGTCTTCTACTCCGTCAAAGAGAAAAACTTCGACGAGCGCGGCAACCGGCGCCAAGCGGACCGCGAGTTCTCGCGTCGCGCGGAGCTGGAGACGGAGATGGCGAGGCAGAGAGAGGAGAGCGCGAGGAAGGCGAAGGAGGAGGAGGAGGCGGTTAAGGTTTCGAGCGGGTCGGCTGCGGCGAGGATTGCGATGCCTGGGACGCCGAGGCATGTGGGGGGTTTTGCGTCTACGACGAGGGTTACGATGACGCCGAGGCGGAGGCCTGGGATTTAGGGTTGTTTGTGTGTGTATTGTGTAGTGCTCTGTGCTACTATACCGTGACCGTTGTTCCTTCTGGCTCGGGTGAGCTTGAGGCTTGAAGTAGGTTAGGGTCGGCACGTTCGGGCCGGAATAGTGCCACGCCGACACTCGAATTCTCCCAAGAGTCAACTTGAGGCTTGCCGCGAACCGCCATGCAACTTCAACCTTCAATACTCACCAAGTGATAACTCGCGTAGATATCTCGCCGCGCAATTCTGCTTCACTTAAAGGCTTTGAGATGGACTTAACCCAATTGGTCCACTGTGCCGCTCAAACGATAGAACAAAAGACCGGCAGGTCCCGTTGACTCCCTTGGGAAGTTGGTTAGGAAGGCGTCAAACGACTGCTCTATCTGGATGGACATGCAGGTCTCCAGTTATAAAAGCTGAGAAGCAGTCGACGTCCTTCTTACACGAATCCTCCCATCTGCCCCGCATTCTCGTACCATGGGTCAGCGCCACCAAGTCTACGTTATCGCGCGCGTGCGCCGCAAAGACGAAACGACTGGCCACCGTCGCTGCGTCGCCGCGTATCATCACCAGTGGTGCTATGGCCGCACAGCCCTACAACTTCTCTCACGCTTTCTGAAGCTCATCTCACAGCCCGATAATGCTCAGATGATACGCCGTGAGATCGCAAACGTGCAGGGAAACTGGGGCGAGGTCCCCGCCCCTCCCGCCTATGCCCCCAGATCCAGAGAGGACTACGTCCCTTGCCCCTTCATCGCTTACCTTCTGCAACTGTCCTGGAACGTCAATCTCGACGATGATCCGGTGTACGTTGCCGGCACGACCTTCTCTAACGCTGTCCTTGACGCACGGATGGAGACATCGCAGGGTGGTACGTCGTTTGCGTTGAACAGAAGGCCATCAGGGTCTAACACTGCTACATCTAGATAATAACGACGGCATTACGGTCATCGATGTTACAGATCCGGCCAATCCGTCCTACTGCTTCAACGCGATTGGCGGCCCTCCTCTCACTGCTGAACAGTACGTTCGGCAATACTACCCTCAAACTGTCGATCTCGCCACTATCGACGAGTCCGTACTTGAAGACAAAGAGGGTTTGAGTGATGATGTCGCCACCGAGCGCATGGTTATGCAAACCATATCCGCTCTTGAAGCCGTCCCTCTCATGTCTATCGACCTACTCGTTGAGGCTTGGCCTCGAGAGTACACACGTGCACGGAAGAAGATGGTCGCTGCCGGTACTTACGTGCCCAGCGATGCTGTCTCCCAGGACGACGCTGTACCGGCCACCTCTACAATTTCGGACGCACCTCTTCCTCCGCAGCCTGATATGCCAAGCTTGGCAGGTACTCCCTTCCGCAAGGCCGTTCTTCACGCGGCCAGCACGGGTGACATCAAACCCGTCGAAGACTCTCCATCCGTACCTGGCCAAACCGAGATCGCATTGAGCGCCTTGCGCGAGTTAACCCCGTCTCCTGAGGCGGCGGCGGGACTGCTCAGTCTCGTCATTGGCAGAGACTCCCGAAACGTCGACGCCCTCGACCTGTCGGACATCGAGCTATCTCCCACCGCCATCCTCGGCCTTGTCAAGGCAGTTGGCGGCGCTCTTGTCAAGCTCGATCTTACCGGGAACAGTCAAGTGGCCATTCACGACCTCGAAAACATCTTGCACGCAGCTCCCAACCTTCGGCAGCTGACCATATTCGACTGCCCCCTCGTGTCGGATGAGGACATCTACGGCCTCCTCGCATCCTCCCCAAAGTCTGTTTATCCTCTTGAGTTCATCGGGCACAACGCGTTCTTCCGGCGGGCCCGTGATGCTCGACCGTCGTGCCCTTACACTCCGGCCTTCACGTGCATTATCGGGACTCCCATGCGAGGGCAGCCGCTTATCACTTCCCTCCCGTACTTCACCCCAAGCCGCCTTCTTCGCTCCCTCTATACGTTACTGAAGCCAGTGGCGGCAGTATCCGGCGCCTTAACCTCCTCAGCTAGCGCGCGAGACCCGAGAGTCTCTATGCTTGCACTTTCCGGAAGCCAACTATTCGGTTCCTCGGCACTTCCCCACGCCGCCTTCACGACCTGGTTTGGCGATGCCGCCACGGTCACCGACGCTATCCGCGTGGCTGAGGGGCAAGAACCTGATCCTTCGGGTCTTAGGGCCAACACGCAGCGAATCATGCTGATTCCGCAGGCGTCCACGTCCTGGGATGGATGGCTCCTCATGATACAACCCCCGAGCTATTTCTCGCCAGCCGGCTTCGCCATCGCTCGCAAACGCCCCGTTGTTCCTTCTACCGATGCCGAGGCGGTTGAGAATGCTGCGCTGGACCTTGAAGTGTTCTCCTTCCCCGATTTTATCAGAACTCTCGAGGAGGAAGGTCGCCCTGCGCCACCGGCTGAAGATGTGGCGGCGCTTGCGAGCGTCATCGAGAGTGTCTTCCCCGCAGACGCTCGCTTCGATTCGGCTGGTGCCGTCGAGTTCTTGAAGGAGGCGATGATGATGTCGCGCGCGTTCGGGTCGTTCTGAGAGGATGCAGGCGTATAAGTACCAAAGAGAGTCTAAAAGATGTTCTATCTGTGCTCATGTGACTGTAATGTAATTGTATTTCTCTGTACCTTGATACACAATGAAGAAATACCGCGTCATTCATGTACCTGCAACCAGCTCACACTGAGCCTTGTACTCACGATGAGTACAGCAGGTATCGGAACGGCCTCTAGCTTGAAACTTATACCAGTAAAGGCACCCTGACGCAAGGGTCATCAGTACCAGGTATCTTCTGAAGCCCACGTTGACTCTTTCGAACGACATCGTCACAGTTGTTCGTCCATCAGTATGGGCCATGCAATATACGATGGTCATTGACAAGATTGGATACATCTAGCAGTCTACAAGCACAATTTCCCGCGTCTTTACTCCCGTGACGAGAGTCTTGTACAACCGTGTACTTCAACTACCCTCTGCTGCTGTTTGCCCCTTCCATCGAACCTCGCCCACGAACCTGCCCAGTGCCAAGGTAATAGGTTCAAACTCGCCCGGATACTCGAAGCACTGCAGGTCCAGCCGCTTGAGCACCTTTGCGCCATGCTCCGTGCGACGTATCAGAGAGGGCAGGATGTCCTTCTGAAGGTTGACATATTTCACGTTGATGTCCTCGGCCAAAACGACCTCTTTTAGGCGCGGTAGTGGTATTGGCCCGCGTTGATTCCAAAGCACGTGAAGAACCAGGGAAGTTGGTGCATTGTCTTCGGTGCGCGCGTCTCGGTATCCTGCGATGACGCGAAGATGAGTGACATTGGGGAGTAGTTCGTACATTCGGCGGTAAGGCGCTCGGTCAAGGGTCCTAACGGATGCCGATACGTATAAGAGCGTGACGCTCTCCAAGTACGTTTGCAACTGTAGGTTGGGAATTAGGCGTGGAAGGAAGTTGGGGAAACCACATCTGACAATGAACGCCTGTGGTTCTCCATCATCGTATCCGTTAATGTCGGAATAGAAGTATAGACTGGAAGTCGAGCCGTCTAGCTCAAGAGCGGGACAAGGTGTGTGTCTCCATATCAAGCGCATGACGCATGCCAGTAAGGCCGCATCCTCATCTGTCTGCGGCTCTTGTGGCCATAGTCCGAGTATGACGGCAGGGGGTAGAATCATATGTTCCAGCAGATTGACGTAGACCTCTCCTGGGTTGAGGATGGAAAGTGTGAGATTCTCCAAGTGCGGCAGTGTGGCCTGTAAGGAAGTCGATGCGATCCTATCTGGATCGTTGAGCCTCAAGTCCAAGAATTCGGCAGAACGGAGGCGAGGACATGACGCTAGTATATGTAGTAATTCAACTCCAGAAAAGCCGTCGATGCGGTCCATAAATCCGAGAGAGATGGATGTGAGGTTTGGCGCCGTGAATGGTAGATTAACTCCCGACATGACGAGCTTGTCGAGAGAGGGGGCGTTTAGCATGGGAAGGGGACCTGGCAACGAGAAGTCCATAGTGCTGGCGAACTCGAGTTTCAGTTTCTTCAGCATAGGCAAATGTCGGGCGCATATCGCGTCCGATATTTTCTGTACGTCGCGTCCCATGCACGAATCGCAGTCGATTGTTTGAATGCGTAGGTCTGGGACCACGTCGAAGATGCAAGAGTGTATAACGTGTATGCCAGTTGCATCGTCCCGCGGGCGACGCACACAGATGTCTAGGGGCACGTCTTCCCCGGATCTTGCAAGAAATGTTGCGACGGCTTTGGGCAGGAGCCCAACATTTTTGGACCATAGTGTTGGGGACGCAAGACACAGTGAGCGCCAAGCGCTCGATACGTGCGAAAGGACTATCCAGCCCAAGGTGGGTTCGTGAGGGTGAAGTTTGCCTTGGACCTCAAGAAGGATATCATCAGTGCCTGCTGGCAACAGATCTGACCAGTCGGTCTCATAGGGATGGACCCGGAGATGAGGAGGGTCTAACTTTGCGACAAGCGAGAAGATATTTGAAAGGATCTCGCGGGGAAGACGTGCAATGGGCAGGAGCGTGTTTGCACGGCGCTTATACTCCAGTGAGAGTCCCATCAAGGTTTCCGCGTCTCCCATAAGTGTCTGGAAGAGTGCAGCGCGCTGCTCATTGCTCCCAAGCTGAGAGATTTCGTCGAACTGCACCTCTCGCAGATGAGCTCCGGCATGCGCAGCGCATGCAAGCCC